ACACACACACACACACACGCACACAAGGTTCAGCCTTTAACAACATGTTAGTGATCTCTTATAGAAGGGCTTAATGGCCCCTGGGTGAAATACAACGATCCTCACACTCTTTCCTCTAAGGAAACTTTTTTGTAGCATTTTCAGCAGTTTTTCACAGTAAACAATACAAACAAAATTATTTCAGTTCTCCTTTGGGGCAGGGGTTGGGGTTCAGGATGAAAACATCTGAAATATGGTGGTGGGAAGGTGTAATGGTGGTGAAATTGGTGTTCGAATATTAAATGTAGACAAATATTGCGAACTACTTTAAAAAATAAAATAAATTTTGCTTTTTTTGGAGGGTTGACACCCAGCGATGCACAGGGGTTACTCCTGCCTCTACACTCAGGAATTACTCCTGGTGGTGTTCGGGGAACCATATGGGATGCTGGGAATCGACCCCGGGTTGGCCATGTGCAAGGCAAACGCCCTACCCGCTGTGCTATCGTTCCGGCCCCCAATTTTTAAATTTAATACTTACCTCAATGTTTTTAATCTGCCATTGCTGATAAGTGAAGGGAAGAGAACAGGTACCGCTTATTGAATAGTTGTACGTCACTACTTCCCTTTACCTAGTCAAACCTCCCCACCCTTTTAAAGCACAGTGCAGCACTTCCTTCTATGACTGAAATAGACCTGGACTCTCTCCCCTCTTAACTCTTCCTTTTTTCAGGGTGGTTAAGGGTAGCTGGAGATGGGTGGCATAGGGTGGGTGATTGGGACCACAGCAGGCAGTGGTCAGGGCCTATTTCCAGCTCTGGGCTCTGGAATGACTCCTGGCAGAGCTTAGAGGAACATACGTGGTGTTGGGAGTGGAATGTGGGTTGGCCACACTCAAGGCAAGTGCCTAACCTCCGGTTCCCCATTTCCGGGGTTCAATCACAGTCACCTGTGCTTGGGGATTATTCCCAGCTTTGTGTTTAGGAGTCACTCCCAACAGGGCTAGGGGGCCTTAGTGGTGCCAGGGATTGAACCTGGACAGCCGCATGGAAGGCAAACGCCCTGCCTGTTGTACTGTCTCTATGTTGTTTTGTATCTGTGGGCCAGAATTGTGGTCATGGAAGGTCACAAAGAAGAAGAGTCTTGAGCTAGGTAACAGACGAAATGTAGGATTTAATGAAGTAGAGATGATAACTGCAAACACTAGCATGGTACTTAGTATGTGCCAAATGCTAATATTCACTCACACTCTGTAATTTCCATACGATCAAGATATTAGTATTATTCCCATTTATAGGTGAAGAAAGACACAAAGAGGTCCAATAAGTTACTCAAGTTTACAGAAAAAGGAAAGGCAGAGCGGGAATTTTTTTTTTTTTTTTTTTTTGCTTTTTGGGTCACACCCGGCAATGCACAGGGGTTACTCCTGGCTCTGCACTCAGGAGTTACTCCTGGCGGTGCTCAGGGGACCATATGGGATGCTGGGAATCGAACCCGGGTCGGCTGCGTGCAAGGCAAACGCCCTACCCGCTCTGCTATCTCTCCAGCCCCCAGGGCGGGAATTTTAAGTTTAATTTTCTTTTTGTTTTTGGGCCAGACCTGGTTGTATGCAGGGCTTATTCCTGGCTCTGCACTCAAGGATCACTCCTGTTTGGGTTTAGGGGACCACACGAGGTGGCAAGGATTGAACCCAGGTTGGCCCCAGGCAAGCCAAGTACCCTACCTGCTGTTCTCTCTCTCTCTAGCCCCTGGAGCTGGAATTTTAGCTTCAGCAGCTGGGTTCTAAAGTCCGGTTCTTACTCTATATTATTACATGATAATAAAACAAGAGAGCAAGCCCAGTCTGGTCAAACAAGACAGCATCTGCAAAGATATACAGGCACTTGGGCCTGAGAGAGAGTTCAAAGGGCTGAGCTCATGCTTTGCATATGCGAGGCCGGGTTTGATCCCCAGCACTGCATGGTCCCTGGAGCACTGCTGGGAGCACCTCCAAGCACAGAGCTGCATGTTGCTCCTGAGCACTGCCACATCACCGCTAAAACAAAACAGAAGTCAGAGGCTAAAAGACGGTGTGTGTGTGTGGGGGGGGGGGGGGCGCTCTTTGGGATGTTTTGAGTGGCTGGCAAAGGATGGAATAAAAACAAAAAAATGGTAAGGGATGAGGCAGGTGAGAGTGAGGTCATGGAGGGCCCTGGTTTCTACCTCAGGAAATTTCTTTTTTGATAGCTAATGAGAACACACTGAAGGATGAGGCAGTAGAAAATCGGAGTAGATTTTCTGTTTTCTAAAGACATATGTCTCTGGCTTATGTGGACAGGGGAGAGCAGTAAGGTCTGACAAAACAGTGAGAAGAGTTAACAAACCAGGGCACTGCTCTACGGGAAAAAAAATCACAAGATTCTGAATTTAAAGTGGAAGGTGCGGAGGCCAGGATTTTTAGGAGGCAGAATTGAAAACTGGATCTAAGAGAAAAAAAGAGTTAAAGAAGGTTTTCTGTGTTTGTAGGCCTTGTTACTAGCTATGTAGATGTAAAAGTAAATGCAGAAGAAAGAACAGATTTGGCAGAAAAGATAATGCGTTTAACTCCAGTGTTATTCCTGTGAGACTTAACTGTCTATTCTAAAGAATCCCACAGTCTTCACGTGACTTATTTTTGCCATCATGCACAGTGATTTTCAAGTGGGGTCCAACTGGGGATGCAGAAGAAGGGGCAGAAGGGCACTGTGTCTGTATGTTTGTATTTTGAGGGCATGTACAGTTCAATTCTCATCCTCTTCTTCTTCCAGACAGTCTGATACCACAAATCTGCCTACCACCAACCACCGTCCCTCAGAGAGAATCACTGTTCTGTATAATTATCCAAGAGAACTCATAGGAGGCAGGAAGATGGTTTAAAGGGCGAGTATGTAGCTGCAAAAATTTCTTGGATACCGGGTCCTGGCTGAGACCTCCAGGGTGATCTTGAGGAGCAGGGAGAGTCAAATTACCAAAGCTCAGGCGGCCGCACTCTCATCCCAACAGCTGCCCCAGGCCTCCGCCTGGACTGCCCTGTTAAATATTCTGGATTTTCTGGAGCGACACCTCCAAACTCTACAGTGCTAACATCCTAGCCAGAGCACGTCAAATTGTGTGGGAATGTGATGTAGATGCCAACTAATCTCTACTAATGAAAATGTTCACACATAAGGCTTAACTTGCAACAAGAGCTCAGGAAACCTTCAGACAAGAACTTAATGTCCCCATGGTGAGATACAGCAGCTTTCACAAATTGTCTTTTACTGAAATATTTTTATAATTCCATTAGCCATTTAGTGGTGACAAGCACTATAGAATAAATGATTGTGGGCCTGGTACAGAGGCAGGCTTAAGGAGCGGGTGGAAAAATGTAGACACTGGTGGAGGGAAGGTGAGAGTGGGGGTGGGATTGGTGTTGGAACAGTAAAGTAAAAGTAAAGGCCCTCCCGTTGATCATCGATTTACTCGAGCGGGCCCAGTAACGTCTCCATTGGAGACTTTGTTGTTACTGTGTCTGGCATATCGAATACTCTCGGTAGCTTGCCTGGCTCTCCGAGAGGGGCAGAGGAATCGAACTCGGGTCGGCCATGTTGGCTGCGTGCAAGGCGAACGCCCTACCCGCTGTGCTATCGCTCCTGAATGCCAATAAAAAATGCATCATGAACAACTTTGTAAACCATGGTGCTTAAATTAAGTGGGAAGGAAAAAAAGAGTAGCATATATTGAAAAAATAAAACAAAAAACCTTGCCCCCTAAGACCCCCAACACTGCATGGTCCCCAGCACTGCCAGCTGTGACTCCCAAATTTTGTTTTTCATTTTTTTTTTTTGAGGGGGAGGGCTGGGTCACAGGCAGCAGTGCTCAGGGCTTACTCCTGGCACTGTGCTCAGGGATCACTCCTGGTGGTGCTATGGGATCGTATGTGATACCTGTGGATCAAACCCAGGTTGGCCGTATGGAAAGCAAGCCTTACTTGCTGAATTATTTCTCCAGCCCCAAAATTCTTTTTAAAAGAGTAAAAGAATACTAAATGAGGGGAAGACTCCCAGCACCACTGGGTATGGCTCAAAAACAAACCAAAAAAAGTGGGTGGGAAGCCTTAGAAAAAAGATCACACTAGGGGGCTGGAGTGATAGCACAGCGGGTAGAGTGTTTGCTTTGAACGCAGCCAACCCGGGTTCGATTCCCAGCATCCCACATGGTCCCCCGAACACCACCAGGAGTAATTCCTGAGTGCAGAGCCAGGAGTAACCCCTGGGCATCGCCGAGTGTGACCCAAAAAAAGAAAAGAAAAAAAGAAGATCACACTAGTCAAATACATAAACTGGAACAAAGTTCTGAAAGCACAAACACTGGGAATCTAGTAGAAGGGGATGAAAAAAAAAAACTGCAGAAAAAAAAATACAGATGAAATCTGAGAAAATCAGGGGAACTAATTAGAAAGACATTTTTGCTTTCTGTTTTTTTTTTTCAGTGCAATGATAATGATTCTACCATAACTGGGTAACTATGCTCATTGAGTCACTGTTGGCTGTCTACTTGTTAAGAGAAGTAGGATTGAGCTGAATGAAGGTTGCAGAGTCCACTGGAACTGTGCAGAGTTCTCTTCTGCTGTAGTTGTGGAGGCCATGAGACATCGATCTGGCCCTTAAGTGGGCCTCGTGTCATCACTAGCCTTACTGGATTTATACAGGGTCCGCAGAATCCTATTCTTTAATATTCCTATCAGATTCAAAAAATATATTTGCAAGAAAAAAGATCATGAACGAGGCTTGCTTTACTAGCAAGCAAAACAACCCTAGGACCAAATTACGAGATCTCTAATATTTACTAAATAATTAGAGGCATAATGCAGGCACGGATCAATGGAAGTCTTAGAGGGCGCAGGAGACAGGAAGGATGAGCAGCCGGGAACACTGCGGGGTGCAAGGGGCCAGCTTCTGGCAGCCCTCGCCACCTCCGTCAAGGTCCAGGGCTCCGTCTCTCCGTCCCGGCTCCCTTCTCACCTTCAGAGACTCGATCGTGGCCTGCTTGTAAACCTTTTCTCCAGGATCTCTCTTCTGAGGACTGCTCTGGACCCGAGGCGTCCGAACGAGGTATTTATCCATTGCTAGGGGGTGTGGCGCCAACTACCTTCCCCACGCCGGCCTCGCGGTCTCCTTGAGAGAAGAGGGCAGATTCTATAACGCGGGGAGACCACCCGGATGTTGAGGCACTTACTTGCCTTGCACGAGGGCACCCCGATGGGTCCCCGGCCCCCACATTCCCCCCTCCCACCCCCTGCACCCTCCTGGGATAGGAACCGCCCCCTTTCATCACTTTGTGGGCCCCCGCTCCCTCCGCCCCACCTAGCATCCCCTTTCCAAAAAGAAAAAAGAAAGAGAGGGGCTGCAGCGATAGCACAGCGGGTAGGGCGTTTGCCTTGCACGCGGCTGACCCGGGTTCGATTCCCAGCGTCGCATCTGATCCTCTGAGCACCGCCAGGAGTGATTCCTGAGTGCAGAGCCAGGAGGAACCCCTGGGCATCTCTGGATGTGACCCCAAGAGCAAAAAAATAAAAAATAATAATAAAAATAAAAAGGAAAAGGAAAACACACAGCGAAAAAGTTCACCCAGACCACTCTAACGCGTGGTCCCCAGGAGCACACCCAGCTGCCGCAGTCCCGCATCCCGCGGACTCCGAGTGCAACGGACAGGAAGACTTCCTCCCGGAGGAAACAGCCGCATCTTTCTCAGGCCTGAAACGGAACCGGCGGTCGATCCGGAGCAGGACGAGGCCGCCTCGGCCCCCGCCGCCTCCCGGAGCAGGTGGGGCGGGGAGGGCTGGCCGCGCTGGGCCGAGCACGGAAGCCGAGATTTCCAAACCGAGGTCGGGCCGGGACTGGACTGCTACTCCACCATCCCCGCGACCCCAAGCTGCCCCCCGCAACAGCGGGCGACGACCAGATCCCGGGCAGGCTTCGCCCAGCAAGCGACGGCCACCTCCAGAACCCGCCCGGAGCGCCCTAGCTCCCCGCCAAGAGCCCCGTCTTCCTCTGCCCTGCGCAGCCAGGAACCCAGAAAAGGACGCCTAACCCCCCAGGAGAGCAACCCGGGGTTGCCGCGTACCGCAGGAGCCGACCCCCAGCCCGTCGTCCTCGGGCGGCGAAAGCAAACGGACGCCGCCACGGGTGAGCGCTTCCCCGCGGGCAGCCGAGCGCCCAGCCGCACCACATCCCCCGGCATGCACTGCGAAGGAAGCGGCGGCCGGCGGCCGGTAGTTCTCCGGCGCCGACACGCCCGCCGGCACGGTGCGCCTGGGGCCCGCGGAGAACTACACTTCCCAGCGTGCCTAGCGAAGAAAAGGGGGCGGGGCTGGGGCGGGGCGGAGGGCGGGGCGGGGCGGGGCGCGTCACACTGGCGGGGGTTGGCTCGCCCTCCTCGTCTCGCCGGCCTCAGGGGCAGTTCAGCGCCCGGAGGCGGGGCCCGAGGCGGCGATCCCGGGCGGGGCGGGGCCGAGCGGGGCGGAGCCGGGCGGACGGCGGCGGAGGCGGAAGCGGCGGCCGCGGGGCGGGGAGGGAGTCCGGCCCTGCGGAGCCGAGGAGCGCCTGGAAGGAAAACAGCCTCCCGGCCGCGGAGCTCGGTGACAGAGGCAACCAAGATGGCGCCGAGGGGGCACCTCTGGGCCGGGGCCCGGCTGGGGCTCCCGCCGCTGCTGCTGCTCACCGTGGCGCTGGCCGGGGGCTCGGGCACCGCCGCGGCGGAGGCCTTTGACTCGGTGCTGGGCGACACGGCGTCCTGCCACCGGGCCTGTCAGCTGACCTACCCCCTGCACACCTACCCCAAGGTAGGGCCGACCGGAAGTGGGGGGCACCCGAGGGCCGAGCCCGACGCGGCCCCTTTGCCCCCCTCCCCGGGAGCTGGGCCGCGGGGCTGCAAGGGAACGACCGAGGCTCCCGAGCGCGGGGAGGGGGCGGCTGCGGGGGCTGCACCCTGGGCGCGGGGCGGGACCCGAGCGAGACCCCCGCGGGCTGGTGGTGGGCGGGGGAGCGGGGGCGAGAGGGCGGCGAGCTCGCCTGCCCCGCACGCCGTGCGCAGCCAGGCTGGGGCCCCGCACCCCCATATGGTCCCGCGAGCCCAGCCCGGAGGGAGCCCCGGCGGGGGACCCCCAAACCGCGAGGAACGGAGAGGATGGGCTTGCTCAGAACGCGCCGGATTGGTGTCGCTGCCCCCCCACCCCCGCCCCCGGCGCCCCCCGCCCGGGACCCTCTCCCGCGGCCCCGAGCCGGAGTGTTTGGCCGATGCGGCTGGCTGGCCGGGCCGGCCTCGCCCTCCTGCGTCCGCTGCCGTTTGCGCTGTTGACTGTCCACTTGCTGTCCGGCCGTCCTCTGCCCGCTGCGGTCTGGGGAGGTGGAGGCCCGCCAGCCCCGCGGCGGGGGCTGCCAGGCCTGCGAGACCCTCTCCCTTCCCAGATGTCTCCTGCTCACTGCTGGCGAGGATGTTTCCAGGGAGAGCAGCGGGAGACGGGGATGTTGGGCTCTAAGGTGGATGGAACAGGGGAGGGAGCTGGGAACCCGACTTAGGGACCTACCTCGATGGAGGCCGCCCTTAGTGTATCAGTTATGTTTCTTGTCAGTTACGTTTCTTATGCTTTGTATCCAGCCCAGCCCTTCCTCTTCACCAATACCGAGTGGATCTGGAATTAAGGGGAGTTTTATTTTTCACCGTTAAGGATTGCTGGTTTTTTCTTTTCCTTTCTTTCTTTCTTTTTTTTTTTTTGTTTTTGTTTTTCTCTTGTATGTTTTCCTAACAATGCAATATAAACTAGAATGCTAGGATGGACCATCTCAAATAGAGGCGCTTCCGTAGACTTGAGGAACTTCCATAGTATCCAGATTTCTGACACTTGGTATCTCTAAGTCACTTTTCATCTTTGAAGATGCTCTCTTCAGGAACTCTTTAAGTCATCTGACTCCTTAAAATGCATGAATGCGGTATGCTGTGTTTTTTGCTAGTATGATAAGAGGTTGACCCAACATTCTGAATTCTCACGACCACCTCGCAGAGCAGGCTTTTCCTTCCGTGGAGGAAAGGGAGCCCCGGAAGGCTTCCATGACTTGCCCAAAGTCATTTTTCCATAGTAGTAGTTGAGCCCTCGAGTTGGGTACCTCATGCTGCCTCCTTTGTAAAGTTGGATTAAAACTATTAATAACTTCTATTGGTCCACCTCTGGAATACTCTGCCTTTCAGAAAAAAAGCAGTGCATTGTAAGAAATGAATTTAGATGCTTGCGTATCATCTCTGGGTCAGGTTTTTACAAATAGAAATCTTACTGTGATGACTCAGTATTGTTTGTTGCAAGAAAGCAAACTTCTTGACCTGTTTGTAAATATTTTACTATAATTTCACCCTTTAACTTTCCTCAAAAGCGCAGTGGCATAATTGGTCTGGTCCAAATACAGGAGACATAAATCATATTAGTAAACTGATTAGAGCCAGCCTGGTCATTTTTTTAACAAGGTATGGGCTCTAGAGCCATACAAATGTAGATTCCAGTCCCAGTGTCATTTTTACTAAGTGCCTTTGCTGGTCATTTTATGTCTCTTTGCTTCATTTTGCCAGTTACAAAAAAAAAGGCAAAAACTCACCCCTTCTTTTTTCTTTTTTTTATTAGTGAAACACCATGAGGTACAGTTGTAGATTTACAATTTTTTGTGCTTGGGTTTGATTATACAATGATCAGATACCCATCCCTCCACCAGTGCCCATTTTCCACCACCATGGATAATACCCCCCCATCCCCGCGCCCCCCCCCCCCCCCCCCCGGCAGGGCAATCCCCTGTGTTCTCTCTCTCCTTTTGGGTGTTGTGGTCTGCAAAAGAGGCATTGAGTGGCAAACATGTTCAGTCCATAGTCTACTTTCGACATGCATCTCCCCTCCTGGGAGGATCCTCCAAACACCCTTTATTTGGTGTTCCCTTCTCTATCTGAGCTGCCCTTTCCCCTTGAGTGCCCGGCTGGCCTCTAAGCCATGGAGGAATCCTCCTGGTACTGATGTCGGCTATTCTTGGGTATTAACCTCATATTTTGTTACTTTATATCCCCCAGATGAATGCAATCTTTCTATGTCTATCCCTCTCTTTCTGACTCATTTCGCTTAGCATGATACTTTCCATGTTGTACCACTTGTATGTAAATTTCATAACTTCATCTTTTCTAACAGCTACATAGTACTCCATTGTGTAGATGTACCAAAGTTTCTTTAACCAGTCATCTGTTCTTGGGCATTCAGATTTCTTCCAGTTTCTGGCTATTGTAAAGAGTGCTGCAATGAACAAACAAAAACTCACCCCTTTTACAGACCTAATATGAGGACTGAAGATAATATATTAGGCACTATTAGAATAGTACCTGACTCATGGCAATAGATAGTTATTTCTTCTGCTGAGTATCTTAAAACCAGTCTGATGTGTTTAGTATTGGTAGTGCTGATGAATGAGAGAACAGTTGACTTAACTCAGGATTTAAAAATGCTTATAAAATCTATAAATAGTATCATTGAGGTTATTAGCTGGCATTGTTTGGTGACTAGCCCCTTTTCCTTGCTAGTCATTTGGAATGAGTAGGGTGTGAAATTTTTACTTGAATAATAATATTGTCTAGAACAGGAAACACTTGGAATAGGATGTGAATAGGATGTGATCTTTTTTCTTTGAGGGAAAACGGGGTTGGCCCGAATCCTATTGTGCTCAGTGCTGACGCCCGGCTCTGTACTCAGGGATCACTCCCGGCTCTGTACTCAGGGGATCATTTGTGATGCCGGGATTTGTATCCAGTTCAGCCACATGCAAGGCAAGCATCCTATCCACTGTACTATAGCTCCAGCCCTAGGATATTCTAATTTTGTAGGGAGGGGTGGGGACTGTTGGCCACACCCAGAAATGCCTCAGGGGTTACTCCTGGCTCTGTGCTCAGGAATTACTCCTGACAGGCTCGAGGTACCATTTGAGGGACCAGGGATTGAACCTGGATCCACGGCCTGCAAGGCAAGTGCCCTATCCTCTGTACTATCTCTCCAGCCTCAAATATTTTTAATAGCTATTGAGTGCCTCTTACGTGCCCATATTGTATGGTGCCTTAAAAGTTAGCCTGGCATATTGTGGCTGCTTATTAAATAGATTCTTAGAATGCTATATATTAGATCATATAGCATAGTAATGATATTATAGATAAAAATGTATAGCCCTCATATTCAAGATTGACATGAATATTATCCCTGTTTTACAGTTAAGGAATGTAATGTCTCCATTGGAGACTTTGTTGTTACTGTGTCTGGCATATCGAATACTCTCAGTAGCTTGCCGGGCTCTGCTGGGCTGGAGCGATAGCACAGCGGGTAGGGCGTCTGCCTTGCACGCAGCCAACATGGCCGACCCAAGTTCGATTCCTCCACCCCTCTCGGAGAGCCCGGCAAGCTACCGAGAGTATTCGATATGCCAGACACAGTAACAACAAAGTCTCCAATGGAGACGTTACTGGGCCCGCTCGAGCAAATCGACGATCAACGGGAGGGCCTTTACTTTTACTTTACAGTTAAGGAAACTGACACTGAGAAATTAAGTCATATTCAAGTTTGTAGAGAAGAAATAAGAGGCCGGTCTTTAAAACAGGGCTGATTCCTAAAGCTCGGCTGTTTTTACTGTGCCATAATCTATTCTGAAAATGGGGTGGGGGGACTTACAGGTTGGCTTAATGCAGGAAAGAAAACATGAAATGGCATGCAGTAGGGTTGGCGTGTTTCCTCTCTGCGAGATGCAGAGAAATATGGGATGCTGCAAAGACAGAAGAGAATTCTTCCACTGTTTTTATGAAGCCTGGAAAAGCCACTCAGGCACGAAATTGATGTGAATGGTAAAAATTCTTTCAGTTTCACCTTAACAGTAAGTGTAACCAAAACTTGGGTCCAAAAAAATGTGCTGCCTTCAAAGCAGTATAGGAAGTATTACTGTGTGATTCTAGACCGTAGCCGGCTCTCATTGCGTTGTTGCTACTGATAATCCTCCAGCAGGGAACGCCCGCCTTTGTGTTCCATTGGTCACTAACTGGCAATGTGCACACACTTTTCCTTCCTTCCTCGATGCCTGCCAGTTTGTACCCAGTGGATCATACAATAAGTTATGGTGGCTTACTGTGCCACATGGGCTGATTTATTTCAAATACTGTAGTTACTTTATGGATGAAAACCCTGATTGTCCTCGGTCCAGAGACATAGTACAGAGGGAAGACCCTTGCCTTGTTCACGGCTGAACAGGCTTTTTTTTGTTGGTTTTTTTTTTTCTTTTTGGGTCACACCCAGCAATGCACAGGGGTTATTCCTGGCTCTGCACTCTGGAATTACTCCTGGTGGCGCTCAGGGGACCATATGGGATGCTGGGAATCGAACTCAGGTTGGCCGCGCGCAAGGCAAACGCCCTACCCGACTGACCAGTTTTGATACCAGGCACCTCACACTGTCCCCTGAGCGTAGAGCTGGGACTTAGTCCTGAGCATAAATAAACCTTGAGAACAGCCAAGTGTGGTCCAAAAACAACAAAAAAGACATTGTCCTTAGTCTTATAAGCGTATGTTGAATTTATTCTTATCTTGAGATCCCACACATATATTATGGCTTGAACTGTTGTTTTCGATAAGGAAAAAAAATCTATTGTAGAGGCCAGATATTATAGCGGGTAAGGTACATGCATTGCATATACCCAATCTGGCTTCAATCCCCTGCACCACACATGCCCCACAACCCCCACGCACGACCAGGAGTCATTCCTGGTCACAGAGCCAGGTGTAAGCCCCGAACACAGCTGAGTGGCTAAACATAGCCACCACCCCCAAAAGCAAGCAAGCAAGCAAACAAAAAATTATGATTAACACCGTCATGTACTGAGCACTTTCTATGTCCCGAGCACTGTATTGAGGGGGCTTGAGATAAATTGTAGCTAGTGTCTTCTTTTATGTAAGAAAGCTAAGATTCCATAGGTAAAGACACTTGTGCAGCGTCACTCACCTAAGAGGTTTTCATCCAGATCTAGCTGGTTGCCACTGGCCTTCCCCTGCACACACTATGGCCCTTGTTTGTGCTAGGGTGTTTTCTGGCAGCAGTTGCCTTGTGAGGCTAGTCGTGGTGACTTCCTGATAAGCCGGATGGTTTGTGTGAAATATTCATATTCTGGACATATGCTGCTGGTACGTACTTGCTCACTCGTTTCTACATATGTCGAAGTTCTGATTATCTCTCTTCGCCTTATGTCAAATTTTCTCCTACAGAATAGGAGCAGCAGCTCTGGGAGGAAGTTTCTGTTTTTGCCTTCTAGGCTTCTTTCTTGGGTTCCACTATAGAAGTAAGACACTGAAATAATCTCGTTGTATGATTCCTGTAAATCTCCCTGCCTTCTTAAGTTATAAAACTGATGGGATAGTTGATGATAAACCCGACTAATTTTGCTTTCTTTTTGACTTTCTTCCCCCGGGGGGGAAATTTTTTTGCTAATCCTCCCTGTTCTTGAACTTTCCCAGGAGGAGGAGTTGTACGCATGTCAAAGAGGCTGCAGACTGTTTTCAATTTGTCAGTTTGTGGATGATGGAATTGATTTAAATCGGACCAAGCTGGAATGTGAATCAGGTAAAGTGCTTTGTTAATGACAGCATTATAATGTTGTTTTCTCTTTTCTATATTTTTTAATTTTATTTTTATAAAGTTGTTCACAACATTTGATTACATTTAATATTCAGACACCAATCCAGCCACCATTCCACCTTCCCACCACCATATTTCCATCCCGAACCCCAAACCCTGCCCCCAAAGCAGAACTGAAATGATTTATTTTTTATCGCTTATTATAAATAATCCACTAAAAATAAGACAAAGTTTTCTTAGAGGAATGTGTGTGAAGATTGTATTTCACGCAGGAGCCATTGAGCCCTTCTATAAGAGATGAGTAGCATGTTGTTAAAGGTTGAGCCTTGTGTGCTTAAATCTTCATCTGTATAACTATGTTCCCCTGTAAGGGTGGTTCCCTTCTACTTTAAACCCAATAAAATTGTGGTCTACTACTCTTGGTATATGGATATGTAAAGTACGAGGTGTCCAGGAATAGATTCACTCATGGGTGAGGCTTGTCCAAGCCGGTGGAGAGTAGCCGTGAACATGGTGGCGGTTGAATTCCGAAAGTTTTGGCTGCTGGGGCTGGCTCTGTTGGGGCTTGGAGGGTCTCACCCCCCACCCCCACCCCAGGTTGCCCTGAATGAAACAGCCTGGTGCAGGGTCTGGAGGCATGGCTATGGAATATCGTTCAATGCTCTCTTCCGAAAGATTTATATTGCATAATGTTGTTTTCTTCTTTGAGTTATGTTCTACTTAATTTTTTTTCTACTCATAAAATGACATTCTGTTTTTATTGTTTGTTTTGGGGCCATGCCTGGTTGTGCGCAGAGCTTACTGGTGGCTCTGCACTCAGGGAACAATCCTGAGGACCATATGGAATGACAGGGATCGAACCCAGTTTGGCTGCATTTAGTGCAAGCGCCTTTCTGCCTTACGGTCTCTCTGGCCTGACAAACATCCTTTTAAACTAGTACTTTAATTATCATGAAGTTAGAATTTTAGTAACCGCTGCTAGAAATTTCACGGACATTAAATTTGATGAAACAGTATTTTTTTTCTTGTACTGTGGATAGGATACCTTTATTTAACCAAGGATTTGAGTTTTACAAATACAGTAATAATTACCTTGCTCATAATTCATCACTAACTTTTCAGTGGTTGACTTTCCTAAGCCTTTCAGTGTAGAAAAATTGGTTGGTCTAACCAATTTTGATTTTTTACTGAATTGGGCCTTTGACTCATTATTTAGTGGTGAATTCTTTGTGGTGTATGCCAGTTAAAGAATCAAAGTCTTTTTCATCTCTTCCTTTTTGCTGAAAAAGATATGATTAGTAAAAGAAACCTGTAATCTGGACAAAATTGACATTTAACCTTTTAAAGAACTCTAATGAAATTTTCCCCATTCATTAAGTCATATGCGTGTATTCAGCCGAAGGGGAGCAACCTTTCTCCATGTCAGTATGCCCTGACTCAGGTGCAGTCTCCACAGGACCACAGTCTTCCTCTCCACTGCCCAGGCTCCAAACTGGCATCTTAGTACATAAAACTATTCACTACAGTTTTTGCGCACCTTTGAGAAACAGTAGAAAGATGTAATTGGGTTGTAAATGAAAATAGAATTTTTATAGAGGAGTGTTCCATTCAAAGAAGTGGTTCTAGTGAACTACGTGATGAGATTAATGAGATTATACCTGGTAAAGAACCATTTTAACTTTAGGAGCATCTGTAGCACATTTTCTAAGTTCAGTTTTTCTAGAATTTAGGATATTGGACTAATTGGATTTTGTATTATTTTTCTCTTCCTATTTACATATTCTTCTCAATTAGGTGATTCCCGTAGCAGTTTTATTTATATAAATATACATTTGCGGCCGTGTGACCTCTTATTCTCTAATTCTCACTCTCAGAGAACCCGGCAGGCTACTGAGAGTATCATGCCCATATCTATGCCTGACTGGGAACACCTGTAAAGGTGATTAGATAGAGGCTGCTCCAAAAGCCTCCATCCCTCTAGGAGAGCCCGGCAAGCCACCGAGAGTATCCCGTTCGCACGGCAGAGCCTGCCAAGCTCCCTGTGGAGTACTTGAAATGCCAAAAACAGTAACAATGATGGTCCTCATTCCCCTGACCCTGAAAGAGCCCCCAATATGTCATTGGGCTACACTAGCACGTGACAGGGACGGATGGAGACGTTACTGGGCCCGCTCGAGGAAATCGATGAACAACGGGGTGATAGTGATAGTGATACATACATATTTGTATAAATCACTGAAATACGTATTCTTTCAACCATGTGGGTGGTGGTATTTTCATTTTAAACACATAGAAAATAATAATCAGAGGGGCTCACCAGTTCTGCTCAGATCACATATAGTCAACAGATGGAGCCAGAAGTTCAATATGCCAGTCCCAGTTTTTCTACTTTCCAAACTTCAGCCACAGAGAACCCCTCATGTTAATGTCATATATCCCTCGCCTGAGTATAACTAAGATTCATACTTGAGACATTGGACTTGTGGTAGAAGTTAGGGAGATTTATTTTATTACCAAATTTGGAGATTCCTGTCGATGAGATGCTTTTTCAGTATGAGATTTCTTTGTAAGAGCCATGAGATGATTCCCAGGCGTGGGGCACATGCCGGGAATGGACACGGCCCCGAGTGAGATCCCCATCAGCACATGACATCCTAGCAAGATTGGGTGTCTCCCTGGGAACCCTCAAGCATCCTGAACACTGCCACACTGTCACCAAATGTCGGTGCCATGCTTTCATCAGGAGGGGCCCCCTCTGTCACCCTACGCCCCCGTCTCCTGAACACCACGAGGGATACCAACCCCCCAAAACCAAATTTTTATAAAATGCCAAATCCTTTACTTTCCCGTCTACCTTTTGTAATTTCACTGGTTTCTCTTACAGCATGTACAGAAGCGTATTCCCAGTCTGATGAGCAATATGCTTGCCATCTTGGTTGCCACAGTCAACTGCCATTTGCTGAACAGAGACAAGAGCAAGTAAGAACTAGTACTTTGACGTTGCCTGTTTCGATCGCACTGACCAGTATTGAAATGTTTATCACCCACCTGATCCTAGTGTTACATTTCATAATTAGTTGTCAGCAAACATATTACATGTTGGCAAATAGAAAAGAAGTTAATTGCATGGTTATTTGTGTTTAATGCTTTACTCCTGGGGGCTGGAGCGATAGCACGGCGGGTAGGGCATTTGCCTTTCACACAGCCGAACCGTCCAAGCCAGGTTCGATTCTTCCTCCCCTCTCAGAGAGCCCAGCAAGCTACCTAGAGTATCTCGCCCACATGGCAAAGCCTGGCAAGCTACCCGTGACGTATTCAATATGCCAGAAACAATAACAACAAGTCTCACAATAAAGATGTTACTGGGCCCACTTGAGCAAATCGATGAACAGCGGGAGGACAGTGCTACAGTGCTTTCCTCCTAAAAAGTCCATATATGGGGCCAGAGAAAGAGTTCAGTAGCCCGGACGCATGCCGTAGGTGCAGGAGACCTGGCTTCCGGTCACCTGCACCTCTGAGCACACAGCTGGGAGTAGCCCTGGAGAGTTACAGGGAGTCACCCAGTATCAAAAGCAAAAAGAGGGATGTTCGTGTTAGTAATTACTTTGTTTTTTCTCATGGTCCAATGAAGACACTCTTCTGCACGTGAAAAATTGAGTTCGTGTTCGTTTGGGGGCAGGGACCCGGCAGTGCTTGGGGACTTGCTCTCCAGCCCTTTGAACGATCTCTGGGGCCTGTTCAGACCTTTTTATTTATCCTAACTACCATTGCCCTAACTCGGGCTAGCATCATTTCTATAGTACATGTCTCTAACTCTCAGCACTAAATTAACTCCCAAGTGATTTCGCACTTCAGTGCTTCTTAGTCATTTCGCTCTTCAGTGCTTCTTAGTTCTTCCTTTAGTTTGTGTCCAGATATTTTTCTAAATGGAGAAATCACCATGTCTTTCTCCTAGCTTAGATAAGTCAATAGATGTTAAGTCCAGAGCACGTACCAGAGCCTGATGTATTCGGTATGCCAGTTACCTCTCCCGTATCACCTTTTATAATTCCTTATTCTATACGCTGAATAGAATACTGGTTGAAGTTTCTTAATTTTAAGGGCCAGCGATATTATTATATATATATAGAGAGAGAGTATAGGATATATATATATATATATATATAGATATAGATATATAGAGAGAGTATAGGATGTAAGAGCTTGCCATGCTTAGTCTCCAGCACCTGACTAAATGTGTATATCAAAAAGTAAATATTTTCCATGATTTATTTTAAAGCTCATGACCCTGATGCCAAAAATGCATCTTCTCTTCCCTCTGACTCTGGTGAGGTCATTCTGGAGTGACATGATGGACTCTGCACAGAGCTTCATAACCTCTTCGTGGACTTTTTATCTTCAAGCTGATGATGGGAAAATAGTTATATTCCAGGTGACAGCTCTTCTTCCTCAATTCATTTAAATAGCAGCAACTGTAAATGTGTTTATCTAACAAGAACTCTTAGGTTTTCTAGATTTTATAGTGGCCAAGTTGATAAAATGAAATCCATAGATACAGGAGATAAGAGTCATATTTTTGATTCAGTGACATATGTATATATCATGTTGATATTAGAGAAAAGAATTACAAGATTCTTTTTGTTTTGTTTTGTTTTGCGGCCACTCATGGTGATGCTCAGGGGTCACTCCTGGCTCTTCACTCAGGAATCATTACTGGCAGTGTTTGTGGGACCTCATAGCAGACCACATGGGATGCCAGGGATCAGACCCAAGTTGGTTGCTTGCAAGGCAAGGACCTCATCCACTGTCCTATTTCTCCTGTCCCTATTTTTTAATCTTTAATAGCATTTTACCTAATAACTTATATGGAAGCTTGTTGAAAGCATATTTTCTCCTTAAGGGAGAACCTTTTCTTCTACCTCATTATTTACCATGAGATATAGATAATAGAAGCAGCTATTTCTGGAAGATTTTTATGTACTAGGCACTTTACACATACTATTTTATATATTCAGACAACTATGAGGTTGTATTACCCCTATTTTATTAATGAGGACACCAAGAATCTAATTTGTATTATCATTACTGAGTGGCCTGCTATAATATTAGTTTGTGATATTTAGCACATTTTTAGCCTTGCAGCCCCTGTACTTAATTTGGTAGTAAGTCAAACACAAAAGAAGTTCTCTCTTGTTAAATTCAAGCTTTTCGTGAGAGGATAGAACACCATCCCTAAGGTCTTGTCCGCTTGAGTGTAAATAGAATGGAGAAGCCCCGACTCCAGAGCGTCAGTGCAGTGTGGAAGATGGAAAGTATGAAATCTTTAGCTGCTGTTTATGAATTATTTATTTCTAGGGAAGACTTGGATGTTTTAGATGAGAAAAAATAGAGATAATGTGTGTTTAGTCAAAAATTTTGACAGTCTGCTGAATTTCTGATCAATTAGATTTGGTATAGTACTCATTTTTGCGCAGGGTTGAATCCACTATGGTATAATTTATGCTTTTTTTTTTTTTGGTAATGTCAGGAAATTAGACTGAGTACTTGATGATGCCAGAAATTTGTGCCTCTATAAGGCTGTGGATCTGCTATTCAAGGAATGCAATTAAAATATATTGTGGATAATGTGTTTTATTTTTTATACCATACTAATGTTCCTTTTATTTTCAGCGTGAATGTTTATAGAGATGATGTGTTGTAGAACTTGCTACTGAAAAAAAGCTCAAGAAGTACAAGTGACTTAATTGCTTTCATTATCATTTTAGTCTAAGCCAGAAATCCAGTATGCGTCACAGTTGGAGCAGGAATCTACAAATTTGAAAAAATCATCACTAGGCAAAATGTCCTGTAAGTTTTATTTTAAGTAACAAGATAAAAACATTAGCAGATGGGTCAGGGTGTGGCTCAATGGTAGAGCACAGACCTTGCATATGCAAAGCCCCGATCTGATTTTCAGTATTCCTGGATCTGACTCCCCAGCACTGCAGTGGCAGTAGCAACTGCAAAAAAACATCAGCAGACAAATGTGGATGTAGTAGAACTGGTTGTGCGATTGTTTTTGTACTGTGGAAGGTGAACAGATAAACACTGGAAGAGTGTTTCTTAAACTTTAATGTGTGTTAAGATCCAGAGAACCTGTTACAACAGCTTTCTGAGTCGCACCGCCAAGTTTTCATTTTATGAGAATTGGGATAGGACCTGAGTATTTGCATTTTTGGCATGTTCTTGGGAACCACACCTTGAAAACCATTATTCTTAAAAACTGCTTTGCCTTAAATAATATTTGGGTATGAACTCCTGAAATATTTTGCTATTTTCAAGTAAACTAACCAAATAATGAACTATTTGAAAGTATGCATTCCTGTACTATAGGGTGGATTTTAGCTGATGGCATTATGAAACATCAAACCAAAGCTTATAAAATAAACTAGCATGCATACTTTTTTTTTAGATAAATGATTTAATTAACTCTAATTTTGGTGGGTAGACTGCATTTAGTAAAGGCTTCTTTAGACTGGACTAGATTTTATATTTTCTTCTTTTTATGTCATACCCGGCGATGCACAGGGGTTGCTCCTGGCTCTGCACTCAGGAATTAATCCTGGCAGTGCTCAGGGGACCATATGGGATGCTGGGAATCGAACCCGGGTTGGCCTCATGCAAAGCAAACGCCCTACCTACTGTGCTGTCGCTCCAGTCCCCTAGACTAGACTAGATTTTAACCTTAAAACCAATACATAATTTAGAAAAAGTTCCAGTACCAATAAGAATTTGAAATCCGTAATGTAGAATATCCATTCGTTTAGAAGTGCCAGAAGACAGTCTTATAAAATGTATTAGATCATATCTGTTGAGGACATCTAGATTCTAGACGTGATCATGTGAGAGTGGCCTTTGAATGATAGACTGTTGTAAATTCTTGTTTCATTATTTCAGCAGATCTGCAGGTGAGAAGTTCACAAGCACACAGGAACTATCTTGAAGATGGAGAAAGTGAAGGCTTTTTAAGATGCCTCTCGCTGTATGTATCTCTCTCTTTGTGTATAGAAGGTAAACTCTGGCTTGTCTCAGAACAAATACAGTCCTTTTAACTACTCAAAATTTTATCTATTACTTAAGCATAAAGAAGAAAAATTTTTTATCCTTTTAATCTTTTCCCTGACATACTTACACTTTCGTGTATTTTAGTTTCTTTAAAAGATAATTTTCTCACAGTACAAAAAGATTCTTAATTTTTTTTTAGGATGCCTTGATTCATGTTAAGAAATGTACTTCTCTAGATAGTTAAATTTTGTAGTTAGGGGGATGATTTTCACTTTTATTATTATTATTATTATTATTATTATTGGTTTGGGGGCTATACCTGGCAATGCTCAGGGGTTACTCCTGGCTCTGTACACAAGAATCACTTCTTGCAGTGCTCTGGAGATCAGGCTGGGCACTTGCAGGGCAAATGCCCTACCCACTAGACTATTGCTCTGGCCCCCAGTGCCAGGGATTTTCAAGGATGGCAGGGAAAGGGGCTGAGGGGGGTGGGGGTTAGCTCAGAGGGCAGGAACTCAGGCCTGTTATCTGCAGGGTCTTGGGTTCAATCCCCAGCTCTCAGGGCCTCCCGAGCACCGCTGGGTCACCCTCTGTCCTCCCACAGTTCTGGGGAGGATCACCCCCCAACAACCCCCAGAAAACAAGAACAAAGGACAGCAAGGAGAGTGGTCAGGTACTTCTACTTTCCCAAGAGGGCATATCAAGCATCGGAGGGGAGGAAGGTGTTAACAAAGTATGCCTGCTTCCATCTGCCAGAATGTTTCATTTTGAGCGCTTCCCACTTCTCAGAGATAGACAGTGACCTGTCCTGACTGCTCTGTCCAGAGTGGTCTGCTGTGTTGGTGCCCAGCTGAGCAGGGAGCACGTACTTGCTTGGGGTGGGTTTGCTCCCCCGGTGGGCCCCTACTGCAGGCCAGAGAACAGCATTATTTGATTTACTGGGGTAGAAGTCATTTCCTGCTGGTCTTATCAGAGATGGGTAGAGGCATCTGGAATCTAAAAGTTGCTATCATTCACTGACCAAAGTCTTTGAGCACTGGATGAGAAAGTGAAGATTCAATCTCATTTCCAGTCTCCCCTTCTTTCCTTTCTGAACTTATTGGCTTTGTGCCCCCCCCCCAAAAAAAAGGGCAGTTTTTTTTCTGGTTTTTAGGGTTTTTCCTGCAGTTTGATGGTTTTCTGAAACCTTATAACTTAAGTTCTGATATCTAATATTAAATTACAATTTACTTTCAATATTGTGGTACCTGGAATCATATTGGTAAATCACTGCCCTTTAACATACTGTCATTATATTTTATGTTTTTTTAAATATAATATTTCAGAAGTATTTTGTGAATGTTTCTTAGGTGGCAGGCTTTGTAAGAAGAGGCGGGCAGGAGGTCATAGACGTGACCTAGGGCCCTTGGGCCCATCGCTGGTGTAGGGTGCCGTATGTGTGTATATCCAGACCACAGAGCCCACAGCACTGGAAGCAGGAGACCCCAGCCACAACGACACTTAAAATGTGCCTGTTGTAGAGGCGGGCCGGAGGCTGGAGGGAACCTGGTAGAGGGCATTGGTGGAGGGAGTGGACAGCACAGCACACTGCCCGCCCCCCTGTGGGATGGATGCTGGCACATGGATGTGGAACTCTGAAACAGGTGTGGCGGTCCTGGTGCCCTAACAAAGACGAGCTAACAAACAGAAAAAAAATGCCTGGTAGTTTCTTAGAATTAGACTCAGTGAGTTAAAAAGAAGATTGACCGCCTTTTCTTTGGAACTTATCCTATTCCCTGACAATACATTGATTTGAAAAACACTCCAGCAGCTGAATCTTGCAACTCCTGGTCTTTCGCCTTTTTCCCCCCTTCGTGTGGTGTTTGGGCAACCAGGTTGCAGCAGCACCTGCTCGCTGTGCTGCTGGGCCCGACTGGCTGGTGATCGGAGGGAGAGGTCCCCAGCACTGCTTGGTTCCCGCCACCCCCAAGTGTGAGCAGCGTTCAGAGAGCATGCGCAGAAAGTTCTCATTGTATCCCTAACTAAGCACAGATTTACTATTGGAAGTCTCTTATTTTAACCCACTGTGACTTTTGCAGTAACTCCGGGTGGATCTTGACCACAACTCTGATCCTGTCCGTGATGGTGTTGCTCTGGATCTGCTGTGCGACTGTCGCCACGGCTGTGGAGCAGTATGTCCCCTCAGAGGTAACTCAGTTCTGACCCTGCACACCATCGCTGCGCCAAGTCCTCGGGGCCGCCAGTTTAAATGCCTTATTTACTTAACTAGGAAAACAAGACCACTCCGCTAATAGATGAGAGATTTGCTGATTCTAGTCATGTGTGGGGTTGGCGCACACCTGACAATTACAGATCTGCCACAAAAGAACCGCTAGTTCAGTATCTTGTGGCGCCAACTACCCTGGTGGCATGTATGTGTGGTGGCTGGCTTGGGTAAAAGAAACCTGGGTGTTTTGAGAATGAAAAGGACCTGTTGACAGATCTCTCCAAGGTGATAATCAAGACTTGTAGCACTGTAGCACTGTCCTCCCATTGTTCATCGATTTGCTCAAGCGGGCACCAGTAATGTCTCCATTGTGAGACTTGTTACTGTTTTTGGCATATCGAATACGCCACAGGAAGCTTGCCAGGCTCTGTGGCAAGATACTCTTGGTAGCTTGCTGGGCTCTCCAAGAGGGATGGAGGAATCGAACTCGGGTCATCCGTGTGCAAGGCAAACGCCCTACCCGCTGTGCTGTCGCTCCAGCCCTAAGACTTGTAGAACCTCTTAATTTTGAATTAATTGCTGCAAATATTAAGAAGTAATTGCTGCCTTAGAAACAGCAAGGCTGAGAGCGGGAGGGGTAGCACAGTGGGGAGGGCTCCTGCCTTGCACACGGCCGACCTGGTTCCAATCCCTAGCATCCCCTGCGTGTGACCCCAAAACAAAAAAAAAAGAAAAGGGAAAAAAAAATGTGTAAGGCTAGAGTATTAGATCCTGAGTTAGTGTGCTCGGGTACCTAGCCGTGAGAGAGATGGCCTATTATAATTCCTTGGTAATTAAAGTTTAACTGGCCCAGGTCTCAAGGATGGCTCAAAGGGCTGGAGCACATGCTTTGCATGCAGAAGCTGAGGGTTCAGTCTCCAGCACCACTCGGTGCCCTGAGCACGGTTTGATGTGGTCCAACAAACAAAATAAAGTAATAGATTAATTTAACTGGCCCAAGAAACATAATTGTTACAGCATTTTCATTTAGGGAGATACAGTTGTATTTAGTTTAGCTCTCAAGTAAGGAAACTTATTTATAGAACCAAATGTGTGGGCTAGAGAGAGAGTACCAGTGGGTAGGACAGTACTGTTGCCTGGCTTGCGGCTGACTCGGGTTCAATCCCTGCCACCCCATATGGGCCCCCGAGCCTGCCAGGAGTGATCCCTGAGTGCAGAGCCAGGAGTGAGATCTGAGCACATTCAGGTATGTCCCCCAAACAAAAACAAACCGAAAGATAATAAAAAGAAATTCAATATAAACTCGTATCTATTGACATCAAATCTAGCTGAAATAAACCTTACTTCTCCTGTTCCTCCAAAACACAGTATGACTTCAGCCCCTAAACTTTTATTGTTCCCTAAACTCTAAACCAGGGAGTAGCCCTTGAGCCCTGTCAGGTGACCCTAAAACTGAAAACCCAAAGAAAAAAGTGTAAAGAGGAAGGAGGAAAATTAAGTATGGTGCCTGAGCTGTAAACTTGTTTGAAAATGGAAATCAGTTTTGATGTAAGATTTACATAATAATGATTAATCTCATTTTGATGATTGTAATATTGGCAGCTAGATACAGTATTGACAGGATATTATTGATCACTAGCATTTACATAGGCCTTTGAATTTTACAGAGCTGGGGCTGGAATGATGGTACAGCAGCTTGTTTTGCGTGTGCTTTGCCCCATAGTTGATCCCTCGCACTGCATATGGTCCCCCAAGCACTGCCAGGAGTGATCCCTGAGTCCAGGGCAGAAGTAAGCCCCGAGCACAGCTGGGTATAGTACAGTGAAAAACAGAATTGATAAAGTGGGGCCAGAGAGAGAACTCAGTGGACAGAGCACGTGCTTTGGAAGACTGGGTTGGTCCCTGGCGCTGCATGGCCCCCTGAGCTGTAGTGGGAACAACCCCTGAACACAGCTGGGAGGACCCCCTAACACTGCCAGGTGGGGCCCCAAAGCAAAGCCAACAGTATCTACAAAGTATTTTCCTGCTTTTCACCTGTCTGGCAGTGCTGGGCAGCAGCCTTCATTAGCCTTATTAGAGGGGAGTCAGCACGCACAGCTCTCGTTGATCTTCCTTGGGTTTTATAGTTGTGAGGGTTCGTGGGTATAGGGTTTGGGGCCCCACCCAGCTGTGCTGGGGGCTACTCCTGCCTCTGCTTGGGGGTCACTCCTGATAGTGCATGGGGACCACATGGTGTGCCAGGGATTGAACCAGGCCTGAGCATATGCAAGGCAGCCCCTCCACTGCCTCCAGCTGACACTTGTAAGGTTTTAGATCTTTAGATCTTAAGTCCATGAGGGCACTGAGACCGCATCTGGGGCATGAAGCTCCTGGTTTTCCCCACACAAATAATTGATGTGCAGATTGTTAGGAAAGCACAGACTAGGCTTTAGGTGATGGGAGTCTTCACCTGAACTTGGAAGGTGAAGTAGCAAGGTTTGGGCTAGCAGGGAGATGCACTCTGCTCCCCCAGGTTCAGGTCCCTTGCGGAAGGGACTGTCTGAATTAGGTAGCCTAGAGCAGGAGATTAGACCGAGTGGTCCAAGTCAGGCTTACAGAGAACTTCAAATTGCAGTTTGGTTAGATAATTGGGTCCATTTCTTTGTATTTTGTTTATAATTTAACTTTGCTGATAATTTTCTGTATTGTTACCAACTTGTATTTTTGTTTAATTCTGATGTGTCTGTATCTTAATCATGTTATTGTTCCTTGTAAAGCTGAAATTCCTCATCTACATGAGATTACCTTACCTCTCTTTCTCTCAAGAAGATAGATAGATATATACGTATATCTATTCTATTTTTGGCTAGCCTCTGAGATTCCCTTCTCTACCTCCCCCCACCCCCAGCCCTTCCTAAATCCTCCTGGTAACAGAACTACAAACCGATGACATAACCTTTGGTGACCTGCCACTCTCTGGTACTTTGTCCTTTTCAAACCCCTTACTCCTGAGGTCTTCCCTTGTGTAAGAAAGATGCATGTGAGGCTGTATCTGCATGGCTGACCTCAGATAGAGCTGACGTTCATGGATTCACTGTGACCTCCATTCCATGTCCCAGTTTCACTGGCGGATGTTGAGTACATTCTACTGTTCCTGTTCGTCTTTGGTTTTGTGCCACACCCGATGCTGCTCAGGATTGAACCTGGGTCAGCTGTGGGCAAGACAGTCGCTCTACCGGCTGTACTATTGCTCTGCCCCTTCTTTTGTATCCTGTTCTTGGCTTTATGTGATTTAGCTCCGTTAGTTCTCCTAGTAATCCTGTGAGGTTTTCTGTTATTGATATCTTTCTTTTTCCAGGTAGGAAAACTCAAAGAAAGTGTGGTTCCACAGTGATCACAGAGCAAGTGTAGAAGCCTGGTGCCTGGACTCCAGGGCCAAACCCTGGGCTGCTTTGGTCAGCCTGCACCTGTAAGCAGGGTTGGGACCCGGCTGCTCTCAGCCCCCTCCTGAGTGCTCTCTTGGCCACTAGGCTGGCACCACCCCTGGGAGCACGTGGTTTCTGCTTCTGAGCCAGGCCACGCAGACTCTCCCATGCCGAACACTTCCGATGGACACTTAGTGCTTTTCTCTTAGCTCTTTCGGAGGACTCCTGTCTCTCTAGCAGTTTTAGGCGCCAGGGTAGCCTGCTAAAACTTTGATGCGCTTTGTTTTGACTATATAGCTTCAGTTGTAGGAAACTTTCTCCACAGGTTCCGGTGGTCTGTGGGGAACCCCTAGCTGTGCCCACAATGCACCCCTTCCTCCCCACAGCGCCTCTGAATCAAGAAGCGGTATGACAGCAGCACCCGGAGCCTGTTGGCCACTTTGGTCTCTCCAGATGACTGCCACACCCGGCGCTGGCCAGGCCATACTCCTGGCTCTGTGCTCAGGATCACTCCTAGCTCTGCTCAGGGCTTACTCCTGGCTCTGTACTCAGGGGTCACTCCTGGCTCTCCTTAGGGCTTACTCCTGACTCTGTGCTCAGGGGTCACTCCTGGCTCTGCTCAGGGCATACTCCTAACTCTGTGTTCAAGGGTCACTCCTGGTTCTGCTCCAGGGTTTACTCCAGGCTCTGTGCTTAGGTAGTGCTCCAGGGACCAGATGGTGTGCTGAGGATTGAAGCCAAGTCAGCCATATGCAAGACAGATCCCCTCCCCACTGTGCTATCTCTTCCACCCCTAGATGTTACTCTCATGCTTCGCCCTGGAACTCTTCCTCTCCTAACAAAGCCATGGTGGTGGGGAGGTAGCTCAAAGGCTGGGATGGATGAGTTACATGCAGACGCCCCAAGTTCAACCCCCAGTCCTACGTGGTCTGCTGAGAGCCACCGGGTGCGGTGCCCCAGCACTGCCGTGCCCGGGCAGCTCCTGTGCTGGGTCCAGGCTCTGAAGCGGGAAGCCGCGCTCCGGGTGGAGTCGCACCAACTCCATTTCAGCCTGAGCATTTAAGAGTTTTAATTTGAGAGATGCAGAAAGTTTCCTTTGACCATTCTCTGGGAGCTACATTCAGGTATAATATGGAATAAAAGCATTCTTCATTCTTGAATGAGTTTTTAGAGCTGCAGGGGTTGGGTTTTGGTTTTCTGGGGCTGCAACCTGAGGCACCGCTCAGAGCTTCTCTTGGCCCTGCCCCGGAGCCACTCGTGGGAGCGGGGGACCATATGCAGTGCCAGGGATGGGAACAGGGCCCACCGTATGCAGACAAGCTCCTTAACCCACTTACTATTTCCCTGACCCTAGAGTTGTTTTAACCCAATATCCATAGAGTAAATTATTTGAAGACGTAGGTTCCGCATTATTCAGATTGCTAACATATGGTGATTTTCTTTTGCAGAAGCTGAGTATATATGGTGACTTGGAATTTATGAATGATCAGAAGCTAAGCAGATACCCAGCTACTTCTATTGTGGTGATTAGGGCGAAAACTGAGGATCATGAAGAAGCAGGACCTCTGCCTACAAAAGTCAATCTCGCTCATTCAGAAATTTAAGCTTTTTTTTTTTTAGAAAAAAAGTATGTACTAGACATCTAAACTTTCCTCATTGAGCTTTTTAAAAATGGTTTCATTGGATACAGGGCTTAAAATCACTATAAAATGCAAATAAAGTTACCCCAAAGTTTGAAGACCATTTGCTAAAACTTTACCTATGATTTCTTTCTAGTAATTTAAGCGATAGATGTCTGGACTGTGTTTTTATTTTACTTGATAGCTGCACTAATTCCTATTTGTAGTGTTTCATTTCCTTAGCGCTGTGTACTGATCATTGTTCTTTCCTACCTCCTGCCATGAACTGTCAATCACCTTAGTTAATATTCTCAGTAGGATATGATATTTCTGCTCAGAAAATGACAACTTGTAATTGGAAGTGCCCTTCAGTGACACTACATTTTCAGTTGTGTTGAACTGAAATGATTAAAATATTATTTCAATAATTACACTCTGAAATTTGAGTTAATAAATTCCTGGTTTCCAGATTTTCCTTTCTATCCACCCCAACCCAGAATAATAATTATGAAATAGTCTATATCTGTATAATATGACCAGAGATGGGCTGAAGCCATAGCACAGCGGGTAGAGCGTTTGCCTTGCAAGTGGCCAACATGGCCGACCCAAGTTCAATTCTTCCACCCCTCTCGGAGAGCCCGACAAGCTACTGAGAGTATCTCGCCTGCACGGCAAAGCCTGGCAAGCTACCTGTGACGTATTCGATATGCCAAACACAGTAACAATCGTCACAGTGGAGATGTTACTGGGCCCGCTCGAGCAAATTGATGAACAACAGGAGGACAGTGACAGTGATGACCAGAGAACAGAATCCCATAAACTGTATTATCAGAAAGAAGTAGTTTGGTTTGGAGGAGTGAGGTTGGTTGGGGGCCACATCTGGCAGTACTCAGGACTTACTCCTGGCTTTGAGCTCTAGGGTCATTCCCAGTGACGCTCTATCCCCTTAATTTGGACATGAGTCAAACCTGGTTCTCGCACATGTAGATTGTGGCCATGGGCTTTGTCAGAACCACATTTTTATGTTGCTTTGCACAGTCTATGTAGGTTCTTGTCAGATTGAGTCATCCCAAAGGAAAAGCATATCAAGTGTAAATTAAAAATGTTTTCAGAGGAGCCCAGAGTCAGCCCAAAGGACTGGTATACATGCCTTGCCTGCATGAGGCCCTGCCTTTTATCCCCAACACGTCATCTGTCCCCACCCCAACCCCACAGTGCTCTCAGGTATAGACCTACAGACTCACTGGTCCCAAGCACTGCTGGAGAGCACCTCAAAAAAAGAAAAAAAGCAGCTATTTTCAGAGAGTGCATTTCATTTTGACATTAAGATTGAAACTCATGGTATGAAGTATAGATTTCACTTGGCAAAAAAAAAAGCCCTTATTTTTTACCTATAATAATGGATTTTAATGTAAGAGTGGTATTAGGTAATATAATACACTAGAACCTGAGCATGACTTCATGTCATTATGCCATGAAATGTTAGCTTGCAGATCGAGCCTCTCACAGACGCTGGCAATAGCAGCTGCGCTGTTTGAAGAGTGAGTCACCCACCTCACAGCCCCGGTTTCAGCTTTCTCTGAGTCAGAAAAAGTATAATTAACAATGAATCAAGTAAGATTTCAGTCACAAAGTACAGGTTTTGGTTTTTTAAAGTTTGGCTTAGTTGGCATGCGGGTTAGAAAATAACGGGACCTGGGCTGGAGAAGGAACACAGCAGGTAAGGCACTTGCTTTACACGCAGTTGTTCCAGGCTCAATCCTTGGTGCCCTAGATGGACCCCAAGCACTGCCAGGAGTGTTTTCTGGGTGCAGAGCCAGGAGTAAGTCCCAAGCATGACCCAAAACTCAAAAATATGGGGCTGGAGTGATTGGACAAAGAGTAGAGTAGGACACTTGCCTTGCATGCGGCTGACCTGAGTTCAATCCCCAGCACTCCATATTTCCTGAGCCAAACAGGAAATGATTCCTGAGGCAGATCCAGGAGTAAGCCCTGAACATTGCCAAGTGTGGCCCCCAAGAAGCAAAAGAAAATACGTGGGCGCATCCAGATGGGGAAGAAAGGAGGAAAGAGGAAGCGCTCATTGTTCCGCAGTCACCTCTCAAATTGAGTGCAAAAACGTTAAACATAAGGACCAGGAGACACAACGCAGGGACTAAAGTGCTTGCCGAGCACCCAGTAATCCCAGCTTGATCCCTGGCACTGCACAGCTGCCAGGAGTGATCCCTGAGCACTGTCTTCTAACAAAGACGGAAAATACAACCTAAGTAGTAGATTAGAGTCACTTCTTAAAAGTCCCAGCTGTCCTTTCTCCATCCCTGTTACCTTCGCCAGGCACAAATTTAATTGTAGTCAGTGAGGCAAAGGGGGGAAGATACACAAAAGTCTGCCGATTTATAGAAGGCAGGGAATCCGGGGCTGGAGCAATAGCACCAACGGGTAGGGTGTTTGCCTTGCACGTGGCCAACCAAGGTTCGATTCCCGGCATCCCTTATGGTCCCCTGAGCACCGGCAGGGGTGATTCCTGAGTGCAGAGCCAGGAGTAACCCCTGTGCATCGCCAGGTGTGACCCAAAAAGCACCAAAAAACAAAAGGCAGGGAATCCCAGAGGTTGGAAAAGGAAAATGATAAAGAGGGACATCTAGATAAAATTGTGTTTAATTCTGATATCTAATTCTGTATTCTACCTCTCTGAGTTTTGTCTGTCGTTTACTGCATAAGCTATTCTGGGATGCCCTCATCCTTCTGATCTACATTTAGGCTGTTTCACTTCTTACTAGTAGGAGACAATTCTTTATACGTTTGAACATCCAGTCACTCCTGGTATTAGGCTCAAATATTTGTATTCTACCTTTCTGACTTTCAAACCCAACTGATTTTGTTGAAGAGTTTGGCTTTCAGGAAGAAAGAAAACTTGCCCCAGAAAAAAAAATGTACACAATAAAATACTGGACTGGAAAAGGCTGAGATGCCCAGGCTCCAGGCTCCTTTCGAAGTAACAATGAACCCTCCTTGCATGGTTCCAACTGCACCTGCTCCTTGCAGAGAGCGCCCGAACCACCTTCTGTAGAACCTTGTCTTGGTCTCAATTCTCAAGATCCAAGACTGGTTCCCACCTCCCAGATTCCTCCTTCCTTGACAGATCAGGTTTCTGGTCTAAGAACATTAAAATTCAGGCAGTATAGATACTATCACCTTTATTTAATGATCTAGATCGAAAGTTCCTAATATTTTCACAAAACATGATGCACACATTTATATATGACAGGTATGTCTGATAATCAGAAAGTATCACATCGGGCTGAGGAGATGGCCCCAAGGCTGGAGAGCATATGCTCTGCATCTCAGAGCCTGGATTTGGTCCCCAGTACCAAGTGACCCTTACGGTGCTGCGAGGAGCAATGAACTGGAGGGAAGGAGCCTCTGAGCATGGCCAAGTTTGCTCCCCCCCCCCGAAAAAAGACAAGTGTCCAATTATGTGGCTATCAATCTTATCTTAGAAAGTCCTATGACAGGCTGGAGCGATAGCACAGTGGGTAAGTGTTTGCCTTGCATGCGGCCAACCCAAGTTCGATTCCCAGCATCCCATATGGTTCCCCCGAGCACCTCCAGGAGTAATTCCTGAGTGTAAAGCCAGGAGTAACCCCTGTACATCGCTGGATGTGACCCAACCCCCCCCTCAAAAAAATGTTCTATGACACATCACCAGCCAATATGAGATTTTAGTTCTACCCATTGGTGCTCAGGGGCTAATCGTAGGTGAGTCCATCGGGATGGTTCCTGGCAGGGGATTTGCAGTGCCAAGGATTGAACCCCGCCTAAAAAGCATGTGCTCCAGCCCACTGCACTATCTCCTCTGGTCTCCGCAGCCTATCTGAACTGCTGATAATGTGAAACCTAGTATTTTTTTCTCTTGAATTGATATTCCACCCAAGAGCAGCTGTCCTGTATTCTTGGTCTCTTCTAGCCTTCTCTTAGATACATACGCTGTTTCCCTTAAGATTTTTGAATTATAACTCCATTAGAAATGACTCCATTTAAATTTCAGTGAATTTAGATGTTTTAGGGATACACAATGGGAATCATCAGCCTAGAAGTTTCTGGATCTTTTCTGATAAAACTAATCAGTCCCCTTCCATCTTTCCCTGTGCATCAATACATAAAAACTTCCCAGGGGGCTGGAGAGAGAGTATAGCAGGCAGGGCTCTTGTCTTGCCCTCCGCTGACCCAGGTTCGATTTCCAGCACCATGAGCCCTTCAGGAGTGATCTCAGAGCACAGTGAGGTGCAAGCCCTGAACACCACTGGGTGTGGCCCCAAAACAAAAAACATTCTCAGCTGGGCCCCCCATAACACCGCAGAGATTTTGTCCTGATGCTCTAGAATCACTGTTGACCCATTCAATAACCACTTGAGATTCTGAGTGACAGGCCCTGTACTAGGTGATAGGATGGCAGCAGCCAATGCCCAGCGCTTAACTCCTGGTTGCTCAGTCTTACTGTTAGTAAGGAGCTGAGTGCCACGACCAGGGAGGCATAGAGCATTCTGGGAACGCACAGGAGACGCTCACTCAGAAGCGAGAGCCAAACTTCATCCTGGAGGAAAGCGGGAAGCCAGACAGAACACAGGGAGCAAAGCCCCAGCAGGAAGGGCAGGAAGCCAAGTGGGCTGGGAATCGCAGACAGCTGGACAGCGAGTTACAGACGGAAGCACAGCCGTGGATGGGAACTGACAGACCTGCTAAAGCCCCGTGTGAATCTTGAGCTGCCCCTGACTGGTGTGGTCAGTTTGAAGAAGAGAGAAACTCTGTAAATGATGCGGAGACAGCAGAGAGGGGCAAGTCCCACAGCTCTCTGACGCCTTGTGAAGAACCTAGCCGGCTTTACCCAAAGGAGACAGAGAAGAACCTTTCCCACATGAAAAATTCCATTCCCTTTCCACTTACACATTTTTTTAATGTGTAAATCATCAAATTCCTTTCATGTCACAGACACTTCAAAAAAAAGTTTACAGGACCATAGTTGGCGATGCAGGGAGGCATGAAAATGACAGGGCCAGGGGTCATGCCCAGGGTCTTAGCCATTGAGGCATTCGCCCTACCACTCGCGGTGGCACCTCAGCCCACGAGGACTTTTGAACTCACCCCTGCAAGGCCCTTTGTTCCTTCACATATTTGTGCCGATAGTAAAGTGCAACTAGAGTCAACTTGCTTTGGCCTCTCCCTGGCCCTCGTTCACTGTGTCGAAGAGTGCTCTGGGCAGGCTGCCTCCCAGAGCCCACACTTCTCACCAGGATGCAGGGCGGGCTTGGAAACCACAGCGCTAGGTCAACTTGCCTCCTCAAACATCGAAAGGTCTGCCAGCCCCACCTCTACCCACCAGGCTGCTGCCACCAGAGTCCCTCCCAGCAGCTTCCAGTTGCTAAGCAGGTTGTGTTTACAGGCTTAGAAGATCTCCGGAATCAGTTACCTGTTAGAAATATTTTTCCTTGACTACCTGTTCTAGAGTAGAGGCCAGGGTGGAGGTATGAACGGTGACAGAATGTGTGGGTTTCTTAATTCCTTGCAGGAATTCATTTCTCAAGCATGGTTAGTAAACCTCTTCCGAGATTCGCAGTTCTTAAAGTCAGCTTGATCGATTTCACTGCAAAGTCCTCTCCTTCTGGGATAGCAGTGACGCAGTTCAGAGTAGGATGTTCTGAGGATCAAGCTCAGCAGGAGAGCACCTGCCTGGCATGTAGAACACCCTGGGTTCAATATCTGGCATCCCTCCACCCCCCAGCCCCCCAAAAAATCTCAGCAATAGTATAGGTGTGCTCTACCCTTTTTTAACGTCATGAACCTCTTTGGCAATCTGACAAAAACTTAGACCTCAGAACAATGACTTCAAATGCATAGACCTAAATGTGAAGTATTGCAGAGGAAACCATCTTAAACCACACTATTAAAGTATTTTCACAGTTCCGTGATACTTGCATGTGCACTTCTTTATTTAACACAAGCCTTGTTGGAGATCACGACCTTGAGCTCATATCCAAACATCAGTGATTTCCAGTGGTGACAAAATACTGCTAATACTATTTAAGTGGCTGCCTTTGCTCATGAGTAAAGGAAATGTTGCACTTTAGTCCAAAGTGAGTGAAAATTAAGACTTCTCTTTCCCCCAAACCCAGGTTTTCTGAGCCCCGGTTCTATAGGTTATCTAATTTTGACTTGGTCACTTAAGAGTAACGTTTTTTGTCTGTGTGCTTATTCAGATCTAGACTATTGGGCTTTATTTTATTGCCTCTTGTGGGCTTCTTACACTTGAATTGTCTTTGCACTGTTGGAACAGTTGGAACAGCAATAATTGAAGGCTTGTGTGAGAAAAAAATGAGCAAGAGATTAGAAAGGAGAGGTTTCAAGAAAAGCTCTTGATAATGTTTCCTCAAGCTCTGCCAGCACGCAGTCATTACAGAAGATCCCTATCTGATGATTTCATAATGCTTAAGTTTGTAAACGGCAATAACATTCCCATCACCTGCGTTGTGGAATATTATAGTGCTATCATGCACAGCATCTTCGAGCGATTTCAGGAGGAAGTTTGCTGTGGCTGCCCCAGGACTCCGGCAGGGCCCGGGAGAGCACTGTCCAGCTGCCCCTCCCACGGCTCCTTCTGACAAGGCTGGAGAAGAGCAGAAGTGGAGATGCCTTCTCTGGGCTGTGGCCCACCAGGGTGAGGAGTGTCCCTGCATTAGCTTCCGTATTCTGCTCCCCACTCTGTCGTTTCCTGGGTTCCGCCCAACTTAGTCTATGGTTGACTCCAGAGCAACTCAGGATTCAGGGCCCCAAACCCACGCATAACTTTTGGAATCCCCCAAATTTCACTGTTATGACCAGTTGACGGTCGAAATCGGTGAATGAGCACATACATGGTGGGGTTTCTACTTCATCTAGTAGATTCTTACAATAAAGTGAGCTAAAGAAAAGAAATGCTACTACGGGTCACTAAAAGGAGGAGAAGAGTGCACTTAAAATCAGAGATATTTTCATTTTATTGCCTTCTTTTATTTATTTTTGTTTTTAAAGCTACATCTGGTGGTGCTCAGGGCTGATTCCTGGCTCTGGACTCAGAGATCACTCCTGGGGAAACTGGTGGACCATACATACAGGGTGCCAGGGATTGTACCCAGATCAACCACATGCAAGGTAAATGTTCACCAGCTGTACTATCCCTGAACTAGGGATTTTCATCCTCTATTTATACGATGAATCACGTGTCACTTCTCACTCCGCCAAAACCATCTTCCATGACAAGAAACACTGCCAAAGGCGTGTGTCTCCACCAGCCAGCAAAAAAGGAAAAATATGCATCTTTATTTACAGGTGTCATGATTCACTCACCCCTACAATTTATTGAAAATAGTCAATTTGGTGGGGCCAGAGCAATAGTGCAACACATTCGCCTTGCATGAGGCAGACTCAAGTTCAATCCCCGGCATCCCGTATGGTCCCTCAAGCATCGCCTGGAATAATTCCTAAGCAGGGAGCCAGGAAAGACCCCTGAGCATTGGCAAGTGTGGCCCAAAATCAATAATAATAATAATAGTATAATTGATTTGGGGCAGGCCCTGCGCTGTCTAACCCTGTGTGACTCGAGCATCAGTGACTTTCCAGCCAGGTCCTGCGTCTGGTCATGGGAACCCTCAGACCAAGACATTCTCATCTAATCCAATCTTTTCATTCAGCATGAGCTTCCGAGAGGGGTGGCCCAAACACTGTTCCCCTGAGCCCTGGCTGGACACCCCTCCTGGGAGGCTTCCTGCATGCTGCCCACCTTCCCATCCAGCCCACCCCTTCCTCAGTGGTGCAGAGTTTCTCCCAGAGCAGAAGGCCAGGCAGACACAGGCCAGAACACCCACAGTGGCAGAAGCAGCAGAGCGACATCCCTTGCACCCCCAATTCACTTCCCCGGGGCTCTGCCACCTTGGCTGGCTGGCGGGGGGGGGGGGGGTTGGGGAGAGGGTGACAGGCCTGCAAATGCCCTTCCCCATCACAGCGCCACCTCCAGAGAAATAATGATACCCACTGCCTCCTTTCAAGACAAGTTAAAGGAGTCACAGGGAGGCGCTTAACACATGCCAAACTTACTCAAGGCCCTGAGTCCAATCCTTGGCATCGCATTTACCCCCACACCGTAGGGGCAGCCCTGTCCCCACCTCCGCCCCCCGCAGCACTGTTAGGGTCACCCTGATACATAAGACAAAACTAAATGATTTTTCCTTTTTCATTGCAGTGGGAAATGCACAGTCTTCCAACCTGCAATGCCCGCCTCATGGGACAAAAGAAACGCGTGAGAAACGACCCTTGCCTTGGATGGGGGAAGCTGAGACGTCCCCCAAGGACAGGGCCTGGCTGTGCACCCCCATCTCCACTAAAAATAAACCAAACTGGAGCGACACGACAGCAGAGAGGATGCTGGCCTTGCATGTGGTTGACCCGGGTTCGATCCCGGCATCCCGTATGGTCCCCTGAGCATCGTCAGGAGTGATTCTGGAGTGCAGAGCCAGGAGTAAGCCCTGAGCACTGTTGGGTGTGACCTCAAAAAAAAAAAGGAGAAGAAAGAAAAGAAAAAAAGAACCCCAAACAATAAAGAGAAACAAACAACGCTGAAAGTGGAGCCCCTTCACGCTTGTCCCTCTCACCCCGAGACCCGAGGCCACTTTCTCCCCCTCCTGTCAACTGTCAACTGCTGTCTGTCTCTGCACTGAGAACCCCAACCTAGGAGTGTGGGTGCTGCCGGGGAGCAGCTGAGAGGGCGAGGGCGTGGCCGCGATCGGCCGCCTGGCTGCCCTGGTGACCGGCCCAGCCCTCACTGCGTCCCCAGTGCCCGAGACTGGAGCTGCGACATGAACAAGGTCTTCCCCGAGGTGAGAGCCCCCACGGCTCTCTGGGGGCTGCCCCAGGAGGGCTTGTAGTCGGAGAGGCCCAGCAGAAAGCCCAGGAGCAGTGTCAGGGAGGGGGTGCATGGCACATGGCAGCGGCGGTGGGTGGATGTGTGCAGGGCAGAGGGCAACTGAGACAGGTTTGACCAGTACCCCTGAGGGGCCATGATTCTAGAAGCCTCTGCTCTGAGCCCCCAGGGGAGAGAGGACTCCAGCTCTGTGTCCCAGGAGAGAGGCCCGGGCTCTGTGCCTCAAGGAAGCAGCCCCCCCCCCGCCCCCCCCCCCCCGTCTGTGCCCCAGGAGAGCCCCCCTCCCCCGTGGCCTGCTCACTCTGTCCTCTTGGGCAGGGTCCCTCCAATGATCGCACGTCTGCAGGAGCCAAAGGAGCAGGTAAGGAGCACTCCCCTGCGGGGCGCCATGGGCCTGGGGAGCAGGGTAACCCACTAGAGACCCCCGCCCCGGGGAGCCTCTCTTGCCTCCAGGCATTCCCTGTGTCCTGGCCTGAGCACCCTGCCTCTGGGCACCCCAGATCAGTGCCGCCCTGACTAGCAGGGGGCAAACATGCCCCGCACAGGCAACAGGGCTCTGCCTGGCCCTCAGGGTCAAGGGCGTCTGGGCTCTCCCTTAGTGCCTCCTGCCCGCCAGCACCACAGGCCGGGAAGTTCAAGCCAGAGGCACCGGGAGCTTTGCTGCTTCCTGCACCCGAAAGAGAGAGAAGGCAGATGCAGGCCCAGCCCCAGCCCCTTGGGCCAAAAGCCAGGGGCCTCCAGGGCTGCCCATGAGGCTGGTGGTGCTGGCTGGCTCTGGGGGGCCCAGACAGTGCCCCAGCCCCTAATGCCGTGATCCTGTATCTCGGCTCCTGGCCGGGGTGGTGTGGCCGTGGGACAAAGACCCCCCTTTTCTCTGTCTAGGGGGTCTGCCCTGTGCCCCCACCGTGTCGGGTCCGTACCCACACTTACTTGCACTGGAGCCTCTCCTGGTTACTGGTTTGAGGCTGGCAGGCGGTCAGGGTCCCGGGGGTGTGGGGGGATTGGTTTAGATTCCTATTGGGAGAGAGACCTCCTCCCCTCCGGCCAGGCCACACCCTCCTTCCCTGCTGTCCCCCATCAGCCTCCCAGACCCCCAAAATCCCGGCTGAGCCTGCAACACCCCACACACCTGGCTCCCAGCCGTTGGTGGGGATGGAGCACAGGGAGGAGGCAGGGCAGTGGACAGGGCAGCGGAGGGGGTGCTGGACTGGCCAGTGGGCGCAGAGGAAGCGGCCCGGACTCCTCAGTGGGTTGGTTGGGGGTGAGCGGGAACAGATCAGACTTGACCATCCAGATTCCCAGGCCACCGCGGCCCGCTGCTGGGAACACAGATGGACCTTGGCTTTCCCAAATGCTGTACAGCGGCTGACCAGGGTGGCCCTGAGCTTCCAATGGGCGGAGAGCTTGGACAGAGCCCAACCCGCTTTCCTTTGTTGGACAGTGTGGAGTGCGGGGAACAGAGTGCAGAGTTGGGGAGGTGTGGAGTGTGAGTGCAGGGGGCGGAGTTCTGTGGGGGGGATGTGGAGTGTGGGGCGGGGAGAGTGTGGAGTGGACACTGGAGCATGGAGTGGGGCATGGAGTGGACAGCAGAGTGTGGGTGCAGGGGAGTGGAGTCCTAAGTGGGGGTGTGTGGAGCATGGGGGTGATGCAGATTGTGGGGGTAGGTGAGTGCATGGGGGGTAGTGTGTGGGGGGCGTGGGTGCAGGGTGCAGGTGCTGAGCAAGGCTGAGGCGCCCCGTGAACCAAGCCAGGTCTCAGAAGCACCAGTAGCAGCTGCTCACATGAGCCAGGGGGACCCTCGAGATGACAGTGCTCAGGAGTCAGGCCCCCACCTCCACCGGGAGAAGCAGACCCAGAGAAGGAACTTCTCAGGTGGCCCAGTTGGGGATGTGGGGCGGCCGCTGACCTTGAGGAAAGGCCGTGAGTCTGGAGTGACCCCCCGGCCTCTCCTGGGGTGACCTGGACCTCAGCTTCCCTGAGCCTCAGTCTCCTCTCCCATCCGAGAAGTCGGCCTTGGAGGCTCTTGGGCACCTGCCCTGCGTGTGCAGCTCTCCTGGCCCCACTGGAGGACGGTGGCCGGGGGCGCTGGGGCAGAGACCCCAGCCCTCATCTGACCCCCACGCACCAGCTCCGGGCCTGGCGCGGGCGGTTGGCAGGGGGAATACACAGGCACACGAGCCCAGGTCAGAAGGGGCCTAGGAGCCCCCTCCTCCAGGGAGCCTGCCGTGCCTCCCCCTTGAAGGGGCCCAGCAGAGGGAGCCCCAGCACTGGCCCACGGTCACTGGCTGCCTCTCCACTCCGCAGGCCGCCACCGCCTGGGCTGCTCGCGGGCAGGGCTCTGCCTCTCAGCCTCTCTGCTGCTCCTGCTGGCAATGCTCGCGGCTCTGCTGGCCCTGGTCGCCGTCCTCGGACTCCCTCCGCGCACGCCAGGTCAGAGTGGACAAGACACCGGGGCTGGACTTACGGACGGGAGGGCGGGCAGAGAGGTGGGGTGACCGAGGCCACCAGTTCTTCCAGAAGCCGGGACCCATCCTTCTGTGGGTGTAGGGACACACACAGGTAGGCATGTCAGTAAACCTGGCAGGCCCCAGGTCTGATGCTACCTCCTCCAGGAAGCCTTCCCTGCCCACTGGCTGGGTTAGAAGTCTCATCTCAGCTCCTATGGCCTTCATACTTCCTTGGCCTCCTGCTGGGGAAGGTGTTTGCTGTCACTGTGGAGGATGGGGCATGTTGCCGCGTGTCCCAGGCCTGGCTTGTTGCCAGCCCGTGCATCCCCTCATGGAGCTGAGAGCAGGAGTGACCAGGACACTGCGTGGAGTGGGGGAGGGGCTCTGAGAGGCTTGGACAGCCCAGAGAGCACTCAGGGAGGTGCCTGAGGAGAGAAAGGGAAGAGGCAGGAAGGCAAAGAGGGACCAGGTTGGTGGCGGTGGGGTGGAAAAGCATCCGGCACAGGGAACAGCATGGATGGAGTCCCCGGGAACAGCATGGACGGAGTCCCCAAGGGCAGCATGGATGGGGTCCCCAGGGGCAGTGTGGACGGGGTCCCTGGGGGCAGCATGGACGGGGTACCTGGGGGAAAGTGTGGACGGAGTCCCCGGGGGCAGCGTGGACAGAGTCCCCAAGGGCAGCATGGATGGGGTCCCCGGGGGCAGCGTGGATGGGGTCTCTGGGGGCAGCGTGGACGGGGTCTCCGGGAAAAGTATGGACGGGGTCCCCCAGGCAGCGTGGATGGTGTCCCCAGGGACAGTGTGGACGGAGTCCCTGGGATGAGGAGGCGGAGGGGAGGCAGCATTCCAGGGGCCCCGGAGGGTGGGAGGACGGACCCCAGGAGAGCCGGTTGTGAGGGACTCCCAGGCAATTCTCTGGATGGCCCCAGTGAGCTGTGGGTGTCATGGGCAGGGTGGGCTGGGAGCAGCCCGCAGTGACCTCCTGGCCTGGGCGGACAGTGAGCCCCTGAGGAGGCATCAGTATCCTGTGGGGGTCTGGTGCCCATCTGTGTGCGTGTTTGCGGGTGCATCTGTGTGGAGGGATCCACCTGTGTTTGTGGATATAGGCATGTTTGCTGAGTGTGTCCGTGTGTCTGTGTAAGTGCAGGTGTGTGATCACGTGTGTCTGTGCTTTTCTATGTGTGTGCCTGTGTGTATGCTGGTGTTTGTATGTGAATTTGTGTGTCTGTTTTCTGCACATAGTGCGTGTGTGTTGGTCTGTGTCTGTGTTTCTGCACATGTTTGTGCATACCGGCTGTGCTGTGTCCATATGTGAATGCATTCCAGTCCGTGTGTTCAGTCGGGATATGTGTGTGCTCAGCTGTGGGGGTGCTAGTTTGAGTGTCTGAGCTCTGATGTCCCCACACTAGCTGGCCAGTGCTCAGGGCTGACCCGACCCCCCACCCGTTCCCTGTTGCCCCTCCTGGAGCCTCCACTCGACGGTCACTTTCTCTCTTCTACCTTTGCCCGGGTGGGGCCACTCTCAGCAAGCCCGGGGCCCTCGAGCATCCCCGTGATGCTGGGCGCCCCACCCTGCAGTGGCCCAGGCCTGTATGACACCGGCCAACAGGACGGGCTTCCTGTGCCACGACCGGATTCACTGTGTCCCGGCCAGCAGCGTCTGTGATGGCACCCGCACCTGCGCCCACGGCGAGGATGAGGACGAGGCTTTGTGCCGTGAGTACTGCTCCACCCGGCCCGGTGCCCCCACGAAAGCTCAACTGCCCCCCAGTGTACAAGCACCTTCGTGCCGCAGGTGCCCACGGCCGGCAACACCTGCCCCAGCTCTGCCGCAGACACACCTGTGCCCGCACTGGGAGATGCTCTCTCTGCACACCTCACTCTGGGCAACCTCATTCACCTGCATGGCAGAGCTCCTGTCGCCTCTGCCAGGAAGTCTTCCCTGACTTCCAAGATAGACTCTGGTCCTGCCTTGGGATTCCAGAGATCCATGTTTCTCTGGGTTCCAGCCCGAGATACCTTGATCATGGGGTCCCGGTGCTCTCCAGGCAGGAAGGAGGGAGCAGGCGTGTGGGGGAGGAGGGGTGCTGAGAGGGACGCGTCATCGCATCTTGGAAAACCTCTCAGAAGGGAGCTTCAAGTCACCTAGTCAGTGCCGCAGCTCAGGCCCGGGCCCCTGTCGAGCACAGCCCAGCAGAGGCTGCCCGGCCTCCGGCTCCTGTGTGGGCCCATGGGCTTCTGTGTGCTCTCAGTGCTCCCAGTGTGCTCCCACACTCCTGTGTGCTCCCGTGTACGTCTGTGTGCTCCCCTATGCCCTTGTGTGCTCCCTTGTGCCCCTACCTGCTCTCACACCCTCCCTCCTGCTCCGGTTTGCTCCCGTGTACTCTCGGGGGGCTCCCGGGGGCTCCCACGGGCTCCCATGCAGGGGAGCGAGCTCCCTGCTCCCTCCCCGGATGGTGCACAGGGAGGCACCTGCTCGCCCTTGACTCCACCAGCTCCTGGGAAGCCTCCAAGGCTGAGCCTTGGCCAGTCCCCCGGGGCAGGTGTGGATAGGCCCTGCCTCCTGTGTCCCTCCATAGGAAACGTGCCCCACAGCCTCCCCAACTTCCTGCTGGCCTCCTGCGGAGACCGGGCCTCCTGGATTTACTCAGACCAGCGCTGTGACGGGGTGAACAACTGTGGGGACTGCTCTGACGAACAGAGCCCAGGTGAGGCTGCGCATTCCCGGGGGTGAGACACGGGTCAGGCACCCCAAGGCTCCTCCTGCACCCCTCCGATATGCTGGGAAGATTTAGGGAGCTTACCTAACTCTACACCCCTGATTGATTGCCTCCTGTGATGGGGAACTCACTACCATGCCAGCCTTGGAAAGGTTATTCTTCTGGGGGAAGGAGAGAACTGGAGGGCACAGAAGAGGGAACACAGAGAGTAGCCATGAGAGGAAGGTCCACGGCCCAGCTGCAGGAAGCCTGGGCTTTCCCCCAGCCACTCTGAACCTCACAGCAGCCTCGGAGGAAAGCAGGGAAGGAAGCTCCATACCCAGCTGACACATGGGAAAACGGATCAGAGCGGAGAAAAGATTTAGGGCGGGAGGCAAGGAAGGGAGCTTGTGTCTGGAGACCCCAAGCACCTTGCTGGCTGTGACTGCCGCTGGGGGCCGGGGTGGGGGGACTGCAGGGTACTATGCCCTCCGCAGGACGCCCCTCACACACAGGCCTAGAGGAAGTGCTGGGGCCGGAGGAGTGGCCGGGTGAGGGGTGGTACCGGGGGTAGTGGGTCTCGATCTCCAGCAGGCCTTGGGAGAGCGGGCAGGCCCCGACCGTGCAGAGCGAGTCTGGGGTCTCAGCTGCGAGAAGGGGGAGCCCCGACAGGCTGAAGGGGTGAGCTAGCGGGGCGGGGGCCGCGGGCTGGCGCCCCTGAACATCTGAGTCCCGGCTGGACAGCAGCCCGAGCAAGGAGAGGCTGCCTGGAGAGCATCCTCGGCTCAGAGCGAGGCAGGGCGGTGGGCGGGGCCCGGCGGGGGCGTGTCAGCACAGCCTCGTCTGCCGTCCCCAGTGTCCGAGTGCCCGGCCTGTGGCCCCGGCTGGTGGCGCTGCTCCCCGACCCTCTTCAAGTACTGTGACTGCATCCCGAGGAGCCTCTGCCGGGACGGCAGGCAGGACTGTGCCGACTGGTCCGACGAGTACTCCTGTCCCGGGCCCTGAGCACTGCTGCCCCGACCCTGAGCACTGCTTCCCCCCTGAGCACTCCTGCCCCGGCCCTGAGCACTGCTGCCCCCTGCCCTGAGTATTCCTGCCCCCTGTTCTGAGTACTTCTGCCCCTACCCTGAGTGTGGGGCACGCAGCTGCTCAGACTCCAGGACCTCAGAGGTTACGGAACCCAGGTGGACCTTTTAAGTGGAGACACACTGTGGCTGATGGAAGGGAATGGAACTGCCTCTCCTGCTTTCAAGTTGCTCAGCGTCTGCTTGGATGCCTCCAGGGACGGGGAGCTCACTCCCAAGCACAGAGAACCTGCTCCTGGGGTTTCAGGCCTCTGGGTGGGGCCTCACAGACAGCCGGTGCCTCTGCTCAGACCGCAAGTCCCCAGCTAGTGCCCTTAGAGTCTGGAGCCCAGGCACTGAGCTGAGGCATTTACCCTTCTCGAGTACAACGCCAGGCAAGTATGCCACTTCCTGTCTGGTTGGTACCTACAGCAGGTTTGGCTGAGCTTGGAGGCGGCCTGAGCCTCTTCCTCATCAGTAACCCTCGCCTGCGGGTCAGCCTGAGTTGGGTTACTTGTCATTGCAGAGGGCTCTGAGCTGGAGAGGCCACGAGGAGACCCCTGCGTCCTTCTCCACTCGGTCCAGCTGCCCCGTCCAGCACCCAGGGGCAAGAAGCAGCCGTTAGGATCTGGGCCTCCCAGCCCACTAATGTGCTGCTTCTCTGTAGGCCTCTAAAGTTTCCCACCACTCACACGGGCCAGGATGGAGGGTCCCACTGAACAGATGAGGAAAAACTCAGGCCCAGAGGGACAAAAAAGAGGTTCCTCGTCCTACAGCAAAGCAGGGCTGGGGTGGCACAGAGACACAGGCTGGGGCCCTGGGCTGAAGCCGTTCAGCCTCTGTGACAGGCCTGGCAGGGGGTGTGGGACACGTGGACGCTCATGGGACCCGGGAAGGAGACAAACCCAGCCCATGGGCAATGAATAAAAGGGATGGAAATCACTTCTGTTTCTGTCTTCTGGGACACGGGGACAGGCCCAGTGCACCCGCCCACGGGCTCCGTGAACCCTCCTTCCCCGTGCTCTGACCCAGTGCAGGTGAGAGCTGGGAGCCCCAGGCTCAGCCCTGAGCACTGAGCAGCGGTGCTGCCTTCCCAGGAGGGCATTCGGGCTGACCTGGGGGAGCAGCCCCAGTTCAGGGCAGTGGAAGAGGGAGAGAGGCCCATGGGGGAGGGGTCCAGGGGGGTGGGTGGATCCATGGGGGGGGGGAGTATGGGATTTGGGGAGGGGCAGCTAGAGGGGCGCAATGGCCCCTGGAGTGCAGCTCCCCCCGCTCAGGGCCGTGGATGGGGTCTGACACACCATGTGGACCCTCAGCACCCTTTCAGGGGGCTCCTCTTGACAGAGCGGTGCTAGGCCTGGCAGTGCTCAGGGGGCATCAGGCGTAGTGCTTGCAGGGGCATGTGGCATCAGGGATCCAACTCGGGGTCTTGAGCACTTGAGGCGGGCACCGTGGGCGCTGGCCCTGTTACGGTGACCGTCAGCAAGGATGCATGCATGGGGTGCGGCGGGAAACGGGGAGGGGGCGGAGGTGGGGCCTGAGAGGGGGGTCCTGGCCCCCGTGCTGGGCTGCGCCTTCTTCCCCAGGGCTGTCTGCTGTGGGCTGGGAGACGCTTGTGGGCAGGGCCCATGTTAGGAGGCATGCAGCCAGAGCCGCTGGTTTCTGTGGCCCCGAGTTAGGGGAGGCTGTGGGAACGGAGCCAGTGGGTCCTTGCTGAGGGTGGCTGGACCCAGGAGTCAGGGAGCCGGGGGTGTGGGTGGAGGGGCTTCGAGTTTCAGAGCGCAGAGCTTGGGGAGCACGGGGGCACAGCGCGGGCACAGCTGCAGTGAGACCTGCCCCAGGCCCGCTCAGATACGCCCTGGGCAGCACCTGCTGTGAGCCCTTGGCTCTGCACCCCCTCGGGGAGCACGTAGGGGACCCTGGAGGCCATGTGGGGGTGGGCTCACGGCCCCACAGCCCCGCTTTATGGAGACATCGAGGCTCCTAATAAAGAAGTCAGTCATCTGGGAAGAGACCCGGCAGTCCAGGCCAGAGTTACGGGGTTCCCTGGGCTGGAGTGGGGCCCGCAGCCTGGAGGTGTGACTGCTGAGGGGGACCAGTGACCCAATGACCGGGGACTGCTGCTGCAGGGGCCCGAGGGGCCTTAAGCTGGCAGACACGCGGGCAGGGACTAGCGCAAGGCGGCCAGAAACTGTGGGGCGCACTGGGGGTCCTGGGATGCCGGCCCAGAGGCTTAAACCGGTGAAGCCTGAATGAGGGTTCAGTGCATGCCAAGTACCATCCCAAACTTCTCTGTCTCAACTCGTGAATTTTCTTTTCTCAAATCCCCACCGTCGCCCCAGGAACCTGGGTTGGTTATCTGCACCTCACTGTGAAGTTGTGTCCCAGTGACTCCACTGTCTGTAAGTGACCTGGCAAGGGCAGACCTGCAGCAACCCACCCGGCAGTGCGTCCCCCTCAGCCAGGAACCCTGTGTGAAAGGTGTGGGGGGCTGGCTGGGGCATGGCAGGAAGTTTCCTCCCCCCAAGCTGCACTCCTTAAACTGGAATTGGATCTAAAGCGGGAGTTGGGGTATGCAGAGAGGTCGGACAGCAGGGAGGGCCCGTGCCTCGCCGGGGTTCGATCCCCGGCCTCTCATATAGTCCCCGGAGCAGCGCCAGGAATGATCCCTGAGCACAGAGCTAGGAGGAAGCTCTGGATAGCATCGGGCATGGCCCCCCAAAACCAAAAAGATGTGTGTGTGGGAGTTGAGGGGCAGCTCTCCCCCATCTTGGCTCACATCAGCAAACGCTGCAGCCTGCCAGAGGGCCCCGGGCGCCAGCATCAATATTTGCCATCTCCAGGCTCCCGGCCCTGGCGCAGCATCAGGACCCAAAGTACAACAGGTTCTTGGCGGCTCAAACAAACACACACGATAGATTAACGGAATTTTAAGTGGCTGCGGCTACGCCCCAGGGTCTGGACTGAAAATCGGCTCTGGCTTAACCCTCCACCTTGCCCTCTGCTCAGGACCCTCCTTATACCCCTAGACTCGCTGTCACCGCCAGGGGGGGATTTTGGGGGAGCTCAGCACCCAACTTTTGACTAGGGGGCTCCATTGCGGAGAGCACTTGGCTGAGATTTGGAGAAAGCCCAGGCACACCAGGCCGGGGCAGAAACTGTTTCTCTGAGTAGTTCTTTTTTTTGATTAGTTAAAGAAAAATATGCATGGGTTGGAGCCATAGTGTGGTGGGTAGGGTACTTACCTCGCACATGGCTGGCTCGGGTTCAAGTCCTGGCACCACATATGGTCTCCTGAGCTGCCCCGGGAGTGATTCTTAGCACAGAGCCAGGAGTAAACTCTGAGCACCATAGGCTCTGGTCCAAAACAAATATATATATATATATATATATATATATATATATATACAAAACATACACACATATTCTTACAGATGAGTAGAAATTACGCAATTTGCAGCTGTATGGATGGATCTGGAGACTATCACGCAGAGTAAAGTTAGTCAGAGGCAGATCTCACTAACTTTACAGCATGATCTTCCTCCTACGATGGGACCTACAGTGACAGAGAAAGGAAACAGCAAATACCCCCAGGCAACAGAAAAGAGAGCTGGTCTTTAGTAGGAAGCTTATCACGGGAGGGGGAGGTGGAGGGGATGGGGCGGGTGTGGGCACCTTGGGACGCTCTGGAGGGAAGCTGACATTTGCAGAGACGGTGGTCCTGGGTTAGTTTTTGCATGAAACCCTGCCAGTATCATTACTGTAAATCGCAGTGCCTAATTTTCTTTTTTTTTTGATATTACGAAGTCTGAGTTATATATTCTCAATGTACAGATGTGTTTGAGGGAGGGGCCGCCAGGCTGCTGCGCAGGCCAGGTGGTGCTGCTCTCTGAGGTGCAATCCTACTGGGCTTCAGCGGCCCCCAGGGCCACACCCACAGAGGCTCCGGGGGCCCTGGGGTGCTGAGTTCAAACTGGCCCCAACTTCTGAGCCATGAGCCTGGTCCTCCGAATGTGCAGACCCTAAACAGACAAGTATGGAGTTTTCAGATACCGCTCTATGAAATTCAACTGACATGCACAAATCCACACGTGTTTAAAGTAGTATCCCACATGTGTACACAGGTGTCCATATGTGACCCGTACAGGATCACAGCAATGACAACTGAGCTGGTGAATGGGTCCCCTCAGGAGGCCCCAGCTTTGATTCGGGCCATTGCAAGGTCACCCAAACATCACCAGGAGCGACCTTCAGGCACAGAGCTCAGATAAGCCCCTGAACACCACTGGGTGTGGCCCCAAAGGGGACAATAAGCAAATGGCAAACGTCCCAAGTGCTTCCGTGTAGGGAAAGCAACTTGCTGGCTCCCTCACACACCCCAGGCGCTTTCTTTCTCGTGTATTTTCTCTTGCCTTCATGCTGGGGGAGACTCCATTTCCTTCCTTTTTTTTTTTTTGTTTTTGTTTTGGGGGCGACAGTCTTGGGTATGGGGGGGTGAGTGGGGGAGGGGCAGGAGCATGCTCTGGGCTTGCTCCTGGCTCTGGCTCTTACTCAGGGGTCACTCCTGGAGGAGTTCAGGGGTCCCCAGAGAGTGCTGGGGATGAAACCCCGGTTGGCCTTGTTCAAGGCAAGCCCCCTACCCGCTGTACTGTCTCCCGACCCCTCTTTACCTGCTTCATCTGCTATTGACTCAGTTCTTTTTCCCTCCCTGTGGGTGCACATGGACAATCCAGGGGAATCGTCCCATCACCAAATCCACAACCATACCTGGGAAGTCCCTCACCACCACAGTAGCAGATTCACGGGTTCTCCTGGGCAGGAGCTCAGGGAAGGGCACCATTCAGCCTACACATGGGTTACTGTGGACACGAGGTTTGTTCTAGTCTATTTTAAAATATTTGAATAAAAAGGGGCCAGAGTGATAGTACAGTGCCTGGTAGGGTGATTACCTCACATTCAGCCAACCCAGGTCTGATCACAGACATCCCATGTGGTCCCCGGAGCACAGGAGTGCAGAGCTAGAAGTACACCCCGGGGACCACTGGGTGTGATCCAAAATTTAAAAAAAAAATAAGGAAATACTTCTTGGGCCCCAAGACCCAGGACCTCCAGAATTTGGACTTTACATCAAATGCCCCTGACTAAAATGCAGGTCTCTGCCTCGCCCATCCTCTAATCTATTCCAGTTGGGTTTTCAATGTTCACTTTCCTTCTGAGCTAATCAAGGTCAATAACAACCTCCAATTTGCCAAACTATTGTCCTCACCTAACTTGACCTCCTCAAAGCATTCAACACAGTGCATTACCTCCACTCCCCCCCCCTTTTTTTTGCTTTTTGGGTCACACCTGGCAATGCACAGGGGTTACTCCTGGCTCTGCACTCAGGAATTACTCCTGGCAGTGCTCGGGGGACCATATGGGATGCTGGGAATTGAACCCGGGTCGGCCACGTGCCAGGCAAACACCCTCCCTGCTGTGCTATCACTCCAGCCCCACACTACCCCCTTTTTATTTTTTATTTTTTTGCTTTTTGGGTCACACCCAGCGATGCTCAGGGGTTACTCCTGGCTCTGCACTCAGGAATCACTCCTGCTGGTGCTCGGGAGATTATATGGGGTGCTGGGAATCGAACCCGGGTCGGCTGCGTGCAAGGCAAACGCCCTCCCCGCTGTGCCATCACGCCAGCCCCACACTACTCCCTTTTTAACTAGACGTTTGATTTGGGGGACTGGAGGGATAGTATAGCGGGAAAGGCACCTGCTTTGCATGTAGCTGATCCTGTTTCAATCCCTGCCACCACATAAGGTCCCTCAGCACTGCCAGGAGTAACCCTGATCATCATCAGAGCTGCACTCCCCCTTCCCCACCCTCCACACACCAAGGACATTTTTCACTCCTAGGCTTGTATTATCCAATGACCTGCTACTAATCTGTTCTCCAGGACTTCACCCCCAGGGTTCCCCTGCACCCCATCCGTCTCTGCTTGTTAAGAGTCTTAGCCCCCCACCTCCACCACCCATCTCCTCAGGGGAGAAAGCAATGAAAAAAATCTCAGTTTGATTTTTCATCCACATACCCCAATATCCCAGTATTCTCATCCAGTTGAAGAGCTTATCAATAGATAAACTCAGGTTGTTGACATACTGTTTATTTTCTGGTCTGTCTCACCCTGAAAGAACAGAACTTCTAGAACATGAGGTGGCTTTTATGTTCTGTTTTGTTTTGGGGTCATCCTCAGGGTTGCTCAGGAGTTACTCTGCACTCAAGAATCACTCCTGGTGATGCTCAGGGGACCATCTGGGGTCCCAGGGATCCAACTCGGGTTGGCTGCTGGCAATGGAAAAATACCTGAACCTCATAAAGTGCCTGACCCACTCTTCTATCACTCTGGCCCCAAAGATGAGTATTTTATTTTTCTTTTTGGGTCACACCCAGCCTGGCTCTGCACCAAGGAATTACTCCTGGCGGTGCTTGGGGGACCATATGGGTTGCTGGGCATTGAACACGGGTCGGCTACGTGCAAGGCAAACACCCTACCCACTGTGCTATTGCTCCAGCCCCAGATGAATATTTTTGATGTGTTCACTGTTGAGTTCCTTGGCACCTGTTAAATACATTTCTAAATGAATAAACAGCCCAACATTCAAAAACTGAATGTATAAGGAGCCAGAAAGAGAGGGAGTCAGGGGCTATGAAAGCAAAAGCAACCCCCCCAAACTAAAGTCCACAGGAAAATGTGTAACTTATGGCAAATTCTTATCTAAAGCTCTAACAAACAGAGTGGAAATGGGTGAGGGTCAGGGCTTTTCGCCTTAACAAATACTCCAAGAGATTCTGGGGTCAGGCCCTATTGATCTTTTTTTTTTTCTTTTGGGTCATACTTGGCAATGCTCAGAAATTATTCCTGGCTCTGCACTCAGGAATTACTCCTGGCGGTGCTCAGGGGACCATATGGGATGCTGGGAGTTGAACGTGGGTTGGCCGCGTGCAAGGCTAACGCCTTACCTGCTGAGTTTTTGCTCCAGCCCCCACTGATCATTTTTGAGAAACACTAATTAATTCTTGCAATCATAATGTAGGCTGATGATTTTTTAAATCTTAAAATGAGCAGAATTGAATGACTGGTTCAAAGTTTATAAGTCAGCAAATGAATTCTAAGAAATAATGAATTCTAAAATTAAATCTTCCCTTATAAACATATATACACAGCTCCTAATTTATTACTCAATTTTATGAGTCATAAGTTCCCACCTTCACTTTAGTCATTTAAGTTTAGATTTGCACTCTTCATTTGAATTACAACAATGAATTTTTTTTTGGGGGGGGCACATCTGGAGATGCTCGGGAGTTACTCCTAACTCTGCATTCAGAAATTATTCCTGGCAATGCTCGGGGAACCAGATGGGATGCAGGGGATCCAACCCAGGTTGACAGTGTGCAAGGCAAATACCCTACCCGCTCTATGATAGCTCCGTCCCTATAACGGATTACTTGAACAATAACTGTTGAAAGGAATCACCAGCAGAGGAAAGCAATCTCCTTGAGAAAGCATTCAAGGCCACGAAAGCCAGGAAAGTACAGTGTATTAACGAAAGAGAAGACATCACAAATGGCTTTGTGAGCTTTGTTCTCCCAGAGAGGAGGCAGGATGCTTGAAGGGTTGTTTAGGTGCCAGCTTGTGACTTGGCACTGTGTTACGGTATTATCCGGGGTCGCGGGAAGGGCCCTAAAGTCAGTCCAACTTACAGGACATGCTGAGATTGACATGAAAAGCTGTCTGACTGTCTAGGATCTGGCGAAATGTACTACTCTCCTCCAAAGGACAATTTATTTATTGGCTTTTGGGTCACACCCTGCAGTGCTGGCTCAGTATTTGGGGGAGTGGGCATTGGTGTCAGGATTAAACCCCGTCCTCCCACATGGAAAGCATGCACTCCTGTCTGTGGAACTATCTCCTGGGCCCAAAGAACATTTTAACACTTTAGTTCTTCAAAGAAAAACAATGTGCAAGGGACCAACCCTTTTCCCTCCCCAGATTTCAGGCATCAGGCTTCCAGCACGCGTGCGGCATCTTCTGGAGTTGTGCGGTGCCTGCCTGCCTCTGACCAGCAACCCTCATAGCGAAGTGAAGAGACCCGCCTTCATCAAAACCCTGGTTTAACTCTAGCAGTGTGCCCGGCCTTTGTCCAGCGTGGCCCCCTTGTTTCCTTCCTGGGCCCCCCCAGTCTCATAACCCCTCCCGTTAACATGACTTTACTGACTATCCCACCCTCCTAGAGGGGCCACATGGCCTTCAGTTATAAAACACTTCTGTAGAACATCCCCAAGCATCAAACCTAGCTGACCAAACCGATGTTATTTCCTTTTGTTTTCTTAGACCACACCCAGCAGTGCTGGGGGAGGGGGGCCTCCCTGCGGTGGTCAGTGCTGGGGATGGCAGCAGGGCTGCCAGCTTTGCGTGCACTTGACCCCCTGAGCTACTCTCTCTCGTTTACTTGCAAGCCTTGACTTGAGAAATAATACCTTTGGAGCACGGGAGTTTTTCCACCTGCATCTGCTTAGTGCCTAGACAAGTGCTGCCAGAAACATCTCAGAAGATCTGATCATTTTGCAACTGATTTTGAATTAGATTTTGGCCACTGGGCACTCCAAACCTTGTATGGTTACCTTTTCCTTTTTTGTGTTTTTTTTTTTTTGGGGGGGGCCATACCCAGCAACGCTCAGGGCTTACTCCTCGCTCTGCACTCAGGAGTTACTTTGGGTAGGCTTGAGAGACCACATGGGATGCTGGGGACTGAACCTGGGTTAGCCTTGTGCAAGGCAAATGTCCCCCCCGCTGTACTGTCACTCCAGCTCCTGACTACCACATTTTCCAAAACTTCACATACCAGTTTCTAACCCCATACGGGGGTCAGAACACACCATGTAAGAAATGAGGGTCTAAAGCAGCACTGTCTAACAGAAATATGCAAATCACAAAAACAAACCTTGTATAAATTTCCCATCACATTAGAAGAACAGGTGAAACTGACATTCTTTTTTTGTTTGGGGGCCATATTCAGGAGTGTTCAGGGCTTACTCCAGGCTCTGAGATCTGGGGTCACTCCTGGCAGTGCTCAAGGACCAGATGGGATGCCAGGGATCGAACCTGGGTCAGTCACGTGCAAGGTAAATGCCCTCCCTACGGGCTGCGCTGGGCTGGAGCGATAGCACAGCGGTAGGGCGTTCGCCTTACACGCGGCCAACATGGCCGACCCGAGTTCGATTCCTCCGCCCCTCTCGGAGAGCCCGGCAAGCTACCGAGAGTATTCGATATGCCAGACACAGTAACAACAAAGTCTCCAATGGAGACGTTACTGGGCCCGCTCGAGCAAATCGACGATCAACGGGAGGGCCTTTACCTTTTACCTTACGGGCTGCGCTAGTGTCGACCTGAAATTGACATTCTAAACCCTAAATCACTTAAGGACAGCAAAAACGTTTATTTGAAAAAATTACTATGTATTGAAAATATACATCAGAAATTATTACATACGTTCCCCCTCCCCCACCACAAAAGTAGAAATATCTGCTAGGCTAATGCCGTAGGAAGATCCAAACAAAAAGGAAAACGCCGTCAGTCCCCTTTCCTCATACAGTGGAGCTGGGGAGGAGAGAGGTCGACCTCGGCCTGCCCATCAGTAGGAGTTTAGCAAGTCCCAGTCCTCCACGGTCAGACACACGCACTTCTGTTTCGAAGACGGCGAAGAGCTGCTCTGCTCCTTCTCGGGCTCTTCGAACGCTCTCTTCTTGCTTTTCTTGGACTCCTGGCCTGACGCCGGCCCGTGGCAGTCCGGGGCCTTCTCTTTATAGAACTGCAGCTTTTCGGCGGAGTTCGCGAGGCTCTCTGCCAGGGGGCACTTCAGGGCGGCTTCAGTCCGAGCCCGCTTCCCATCTGTGAGGGGGACAGGGGGAGGGCAGGGAGTCGGTCTGCTGCGGAGAGGCCGGGCCCGGTGGGGCGGCAGTGTGGCGGCCTCAGCCCACTGCATCCCCGTGCAGCGGTGTGTGCTGTGGGGACGCAGGGGCTCACCCTGCAGGGTCACGCGCTCCAACTCCAACCCCCAACCTGCTACTTCCTGGGAAAGGGAGGAAGAGGAGGGTGTGCGAGTAACGTGCCTACGATACAGTTTTCTCATCTTCGAAACAAAACCTGTTTCCACAGAATAGGGTGAAGACATGATGGATGCAGAGTACTCAGCACTTAAGCCTTGGCATCTAGTAAGAGTCCACAACTGCTAATTATTATTTTTCAAAATCTGGACTGGATTCTATGTCAGAGTCAAATCTGTGGCCCATCTCTAGGGAGTGATACCACAGACTATATTTTAAAGTATGATTTTGGTTCTTAGCTTGCTTCCTTAATTTTCCTATCAGTTTGCTTTTTTTTTTTCCAGGGCCTGGAGTGATAGCACAGCGGGTAGGGCATTTGTCCTGCAAGCAGCCAACCGGGTTTGATTCCTTCGTCCCTCTCGGAGAGCCCGGCAAGCTACCAAGAGTACTCCGTCTGCATGGCAGAGCCTGGCAAGCTCCCCGTGGCATATTCGCTATGTCAAAAACAGTAACAAGTCTCACAATGGAGACGTTACTGGTGCCCACTCGAGCAAATCGATAAACAATGGGAGGACAGTGCTACAGTGCTTTGCTTTTTTCTACACTTAGCTCCTTTTTTGTTAAAATGCAGAACACATAAATTTACCCTTTGAACCATCTTTGAGTGTACATCACATATTGTGGTTCTAAGTACCTCTGTGTTGTACAAATATCACTGCCACTCATATCCAGTACTTCTTTATCCTGACAAGCTGAAACTGCATCTAGAACTCCCTATGGTCTCCCCTGACTCCAGTCCCCGACAGCTACCATTCTACTTTTTTTTTTTTCCATTTTATTTTCTTTCTCTAGGAATTTTACTATCAATGGAATCTCACGTAAGATCAATGCTTTTAAGTTTCATCGGAGTTACAGAATGTGTCAAAATGTCATCCCTTTTTAAGTCTGAATATTACATACTATGTAAATATGACAATTTTTAAAAAAAATTACATTTTACTTATCCACGTATCTATCAATGGTCACTTTTCCGATTTTTTTCTTTGTTTTTGGGTCACACCTGGAGATGCTCAGGAGTTGATCCTGGCGGTGGTCAAGGAACCATATGGGATGGTGGGGACAGAACCCGGGATGGCTGCATGCAAGGCAAATGCCCTACCTGCTGTACTATCACTCTGGCCCCATTTTAGTTGCTACTTCTACCTTATGGCTACAAGTAGTTCCTTTTTAATCATCTGCATTCTATAAACTTTTGCGCCATCACAAATCTTTGTTGGAGGAAAATGGGACCTAACTAGATAAGCACATAAGTTCTAAGAAGTTATTTTTCTGGTGCTGCTGCTCCAAGTTAAGCATGAACTTAGGACAAAGCTACGCTGGTGAAATATGTCTTAGAGATCTAATTAAGTCAATATGATCATAATTTCCTAATGAGCAAAGACAGGCTGTTTTAAGGGTCAAAAATGCCAAAGGAAAGAGAGCTTCTCACAGAAGTGCTGGGCTGCCTTTCGAGCCTCCGACGGTTCTCGTGACTTCACGGCTTCTGAGGTCACCCGCTCCCACTGCCGGACGATCTGAAATAAATTTGGGAAGATTTCATTGTGAACAAAATCCTTAACTATCACTTGCAAGCCTTCCTTGCACCTCCACCCTCACCTCCCTCTTTCCCAATACACAAAGCCTGTGTAAATTTTACTCTAGATGAGTGGTAAGAATATAAACCAAGGAGGCTGGAGTGATAGCACAGAGGGTAGGGCGTTTGCCTTGCACACAAGCTGACCCGGGTTCGATTCCCAGCATCCCATATGGTCCCCTGAGCACTGCCAGGAGTCATTCCTGAGTGCAGAGCCAGGAGAAACCCCTAAGCATCCCTGGGTATGAACCCCCCCCCCCCAAAAAAAGAATATAAACCAAGGACAGTTGGGACATACTGTTTTGTTGTGGTATGGCTCTTTTTATTTTTTGGTGAAGCAAGAAAGCTTTCATTGAAAGTTCATTAGAAAGATGTGAGGGTAGAGAGAACTGTCTGTTCAAAAGGGAACACAGGCTTCTCCAGAGTGGAAACAGGCAAAGGGACATCGAGACAAGCAAGTGAGACACATGTTCAAGGGGGAACATGGGCTCGAAGAGCCAGGACGCATTTTCTGTTTTAATGTACGAGCTGGCCAAAAGAGAAACAAGTTGGAGAAATAGATCTGGATGACTCAGAAAAAAATCTGCATTGCTGACTCACTATTTTCATCCCTGTTCTAAGCAATACATAGTAAAGACTGAGTATTAAAACGAAAATCCTTAGTCATTATAATCTTCACATGTTTTTCTGCTTTAAAATTTACCAACTCTATTCTTGTATGACTGTCAAATACCTACATCTGTTGCTCCGGTAACAATTCATGCTCAATTTCCATTTTTTAAGTTGTTTACAATCTAGTACTTTTAAAGACTGTTTTTATTGAAATACCAGGGTTTATTATACAGTTAATCACACTTCTCACGCACGCATCATTCCAACACCACACCCATCCCCAGGGAGCCCAGTTCCTCCTCCAGCATCCCCATAGCCTTCCCAAACCCCACCCAGGTAAAATCAGTTCTACCGAGAGATCTCCAATTCCGTATAAATCTAGTTTGACTCTAGGTTTTAAATTACAAACCCTTTTGGAAATCTGGATGACTATGAAACTTCAGAAATAAAATGAAGTGATTTGCTCACATTTCCCATGAGGAATAAAAGCTCTAGATGCAGTATTTCCCTTTCTGGTATGTGAAGAAAATCACGTAGAAGATTTTCGGGACTCAGAGGCGTCTAAGAGTTTGCGAAGACAGTGACAAAATTAGCTCCACCATTTACTAGCCGGAGAGAGGCACTCTAATTTCTGAGCCTCAATTTCTTTATACAATGGAAATTACTAATAGTACCTACCCCATTTAGGTCGTTCTAAGAATTAAATAACACACATGGAAGTTTAGCAGAGTCTGACTCACAGAAAAATTAACATATAACGATGGCCACTGCTTCTTGGATACTTTCCTGACCATGGGGAACGGGGAGAGATGGACTGTTTGCATCTGGTGTCTCAGTGGACGGTGGGGAAAGTTAAGCCGCTTGGGGACAGGGAAGAAAAAACAAATCTGGTTCTAGACAGCCAAGCGTGAAGCGGTAGGTGATTTGTGGACAAGATTTAGGAAGGGGAACAGAATGTGAGAGGAGGTGGACCATCCCCTGCAGGGACAGTTACAACTCGCTAATAGCTGAGATCCCCAGGAAACTGAGCACAGAGAGAAGAGAGGAGGAGGGGAGGGATCGCCGAGAGCTGAAGGGAGAAGTGAGAAAGTTACGGGACCCAGGAAAAGGTCAAAGGGCGAGACGCTTAAGTCACACGTTTACCTCAACAGCAGAGAAACATCTAGAAAGGTGAAGAATGGAGTCTTGGGCCTCCCGAGAATACCCACAGGGGTGCAGCGGAGGCCAGAACTAGATTAGGGGACTGAAGGTGTGACTGGTCAGCGAGGGCACACACAAGACAAGAAACTACAAAACAAATTGGAAACAGGCCGGGGATGTGGCTCAGTGGCAGAATCCACACCTGCAGGAAGGAGACGTGGGCTCAGTCCCTGGCACTGTGACAGGAAACCATTGCAAAATATTCCAACCCCTCGGATTGGAAAACAAGCTGCTAAAATGACAATCCTATAGCTCAAGTATTATACGGATTCTATGCAATCCCTACCAAAGTTCCGACAGTGTTCTTCGAAGACACAGAACATCACCAATAAGTTGTCTGAAACCACAAAACTCCCCCAATAGTCAAAGGGATCGTGATAAGCCGAAGGCAGAGAGACAGTGAAGGGGTTTAGGCACCTGCCTTGCATGGAGACAATACGAGTTCTGTTTTTGTTTCTTGGCTTACTCCTGGCGCTGTACTCAGGACTTACTCCTGGCAGGCTTGGGGAATGGTATGTATAGAGATCAAAAAATTTGTTTCTTTGTCTGCACCACATCCAGCAGTCCTTAGAGCTTACTTCTGGCTCTGTGCTGGGGATCACTCCTACTCCAGGTTGATCTAGGAGCGATCCCCAGAACAGAGCCAGGAATCAGCTCAGAGCACTGCTAGGTGTGACCCTAATACCAAAAAGAGAAGAAGAAAAAGAAGAAGATGGAAGCATGATTATGCTCGATTTTCAGACTGTACCCTAAAAGCTTAGCCGGCGCTAGCAATAGTACAGTTGGGAGGGTGTTTGCTTAGCATGAGGCCAACCTGGATTCAATCCCAGGCACCAGATATAGTCCCCAAACTCACCAGGAGTGATCCTTAAGTGCAGAGCCAGGAATAAGCCCAGAGCAACGCTGAGTGTGGCCCCCAAACAAAAAATCATAAAGCTGACCAATGTGAGAGTGGGAAAAAGCAGAAACCCAGACCAAAGGAATAGAATCAAGAGCACAGGAAACCCCACCAGACATACAGTTAATTTCCCACAAAGAATCCAAGAGCAGGAAATAGAGAAAGACTGCATTTTCAAAAATAGTGTTAGGAAAACTGGAGAACCAAATGCAAAGTAGTGAAACTGGACTGTTACCTCACACCATGCATAATAGTTAACTCAAATGGATTAAGAACTTGAGACAATGACCCAAGTCTGTAAAGCACATCGATGAAAACAAGCAAAACACTCCTTATTACTGGCTTCAGTGTTATCTGCCATGACTCAAGTAGGAAAAGTGAAAGAAAGGAGACGTCATCTAACTAAAATAGCTTCCTGCGCTGTGAAAGAAATTACTATTCAAATAAAAAGATGTCCTACTTAATGGAAGAAAATAGTTACATACTATACATCTGACAAAGGGATAAAATGCATAGTACACAAAAACTCACAAATTCAGTAAGGAAAAACCCTATCCTGGACTGGAGAGATAGTCTAGCGGGTCAGGCGCATACCTTGCACGCCCCGATCCATGTTTGATCCCAGGCGCCCTAGCTGTATCCAAGTCCCAGCAGGAGTGACCCCTGAGCACAGTGCCAGGAGAAAGACCTGAGCACCACTGGATGTGAACTTAAAAAACAAAAACAGAAAACAAAAACGAACAAAGCAAACAAAAACCCATCCCATCAAAAACGGAAAGAGCTGGGGAGACATTTCTTCAAAGGCACACGAGGGTCTACGAGACGGACGCCTCAGGGGATAAGACCTGAGTTCAACCCCAATGCTGCCTGCAAGCACAAGGCCATCTGACAGTCCTGCTGCTGGGGGTCGGGGTCCCGGAAAGAAAGGGTCCAGAGGGCACTCTCCAGGTGGCTGAGGCAGTGGCCAGTGGCCTATGGGAAGGACTGAGTCTGGAGATCCCAATTGTCTGGGGTCTCAAGAAGGGAGAGAAGACAGAGAAGCGGCCAAGAGACGGGGCCGGAGAGATAAAACGGTGTGAAGGGCACTTGCCTTGTGCAGTGGCTGGCGTGGGTTCAATCCCTGGCCCCCCATGAGGTCCCGAGCCCTGCTGGGAGTGATTCCTGAGTGCAAAGCCAGGAGTAAGCCCTGAGCACAGCCAAGTATAGCCGCCTCCTCACCCCCCACCCGCAAAAGGCCAACAGAGAGATAAAAAAAAGCTTGTCATGGCTGATGACTAGGTGCAAATCAAAGCAAGGAGCCAGGGAATGGGCCTCAGTGGGCCAAGTGTACGTCCTGCAAGCACAAGACCAGGGTGCGATCCCAGGCACGTGAAAAAAATGAAACACACCAAAAAAGCAAACCAAAATCGAGACAGTGCCTATGTCAAAAGGGTGGCAAGAAAGTGCTGGCAAAAGCGTGGGCGAAAGGAACCTTCAGGGAACAGCCACAGTACAGCAGGTTGGGCACGGCATTCGCTCTGCACACAGCTGATCCAGGTTCGACCCCTAGCACCCCAATGGGCCCCCAATCCCTGCCAGGAGTGATCCCTGAAGCAGATCTAGGAGTAAGCCCTGAATGCCATCAGATGTGGCTCTCCCAAAACAAAACGAAAAAGGAACCTCCACTGCTGGTGGGAATGAAAGTTGGTTGAACCTCGATGGAAAACAGCATGTATGTTTCTCAATAAATTAAAAATACAAGTATACCCTATTACTTAGCATTTCCACTCCTCCTCATCTAAAAAAAAAAACACGAAAGCACTGATGTATTTAGGAAGAATACACACATACCCGTGTTCACCACAGCACTATTTACAAAGGCCAAGACCGGAAAACAGCCAATGACAGGAAGTGGATCAAGACACTGAGGTACATATAACTATGGAACAGTACTCAGCTATGAGAAAAGCTTAAATTTCACTATTTTGCTGCTACATGATTGAAGTGGAGGGGTTACTTTGTGAAGTTAAATCGGGTGGAGAAAGGCAAATACCAAATGGTATCGCTCCTGCAGTACAGAAAGAAAGAAACCAAACAAGGGAACAGACAGGGCCCTGTGAAAACAAACCTTGGACTCTGACCACGACTGAGGTTTGGGGGCGGGGGGGGGGGGGGGAATGTGTGTGCAAGCAGAAAGGGTTCAAAGGACTGTGTTGCAGGGATACTGGTGGGAGACCTAGCAAAGTAACACTGTACCCCTGAGTCACAGAGATACTTAAAGACACTTTTTAAACAGTATCAGTGCAATCAAAAATATTTTCCCAAAATAAAAGAACTTCACAATTGTGCTGGTAGGTGACCAACAGCACAGTAAGACACACAGGAAGGAAAAAGTGGACAGAGGGTATGACTGAAGATGTGGTGGCGGGCAGTACAGGGAGGTTTGCGAAAAGAAGCTGGTGACAGCAGGGAACAGAGTGAAAAAAGACGACGGAGAGGGTTATCACGGGAGCAAAGCAGCAGGTCTGTGCCTGCAGACAGGAGAGAAGCAGAATATGGCAGAAGGCAGGGAGAAACTGACACCGAGAGAGGGGAGCCAGAGAGTCCTGCTCGAGGTCCTGGTTTCCGTGCATGATCTGCCCCGAGGAGGACAGGAGGACAGGAGGAAGGTTTTCACAAGGACCCACAAGAGGCCGGTCATCACTGCTGCTGGGTCGTGGGGGCCTCGAGGAGGTGAACCTACCAAAACTCTGAGCTGCGAGGGCATTCGCCCACTGGGTTGATGGGATTGAGTCAGGAGCTCAACCCCAACAGAATCCAGAGTCTACACTTTTTCCTTTTTTGGGTCACACCGGGCGATGCACAGGGGTTACCCCTGGCTCTGCACTTAGGAATCACTCCTGACGGTGCTAGCGGGACCAAATGGGATGCTGGGAATCGAACCCGGGTTGGCCGCGTTCAAGGCAAACGCCCTACCCGCTGTGCTACTGCTCCAGCCCCTTTCCCTTTTTGCTGTTTTGCCCCAAGCTCACTGGCTACCTCTGGGGTCCGGCCAGTGCAACCAAGTCTGGGGATGCACTGTGGTCCCATCTCAGGATGCACTTCCAAAACCAACCTGAAAGTGCTTCTAAAATGTGGACTTTAAAAAAGAAAAATAAATAAAATGCGGCCTTTCCCGCACGCCCGGCCCAGCTGCGGGGAGGGGAGGCAGCTGTCAAGACAGGCGTGGTGGAACGAGGTGTGGGCCAGCGAGCAGGCCCACCACTGGGCACCGAAGCCTGTGATCACAGAGCAACACGGGACAAAGGTTTGGGGGTTCCCTCTCGACCTCTCCCGAGAATCATGGGTTTAAGAGTCTGAACGTCTGAATGGTACCAGCACAGAGAACCTGGCATCTACTACCGGGTTACCTTCCCACGTCCGCCTGCACTCACCCCACGATTGAAGATCACTGAGGGGGGCAGAGTGAGCTGAGCTGGGCGGGTGGACATGGGCAGGCGAGGGGAGACAAGCACAGACACTCCCCACTAAGGACCTGAGAGGTGACCCATCTGCACACGGCAAGGGAGAGGTAACGCCTGAATGCTTGGCAGTGGGACTGACTCTCTAAGGAACACCCATTTTTGGAAGTTGGGCCAGAATTCACTTATTTTTGAAATTGTTTGTGAGGTGGCATTTTCTCACTGGTCCACTAAAATATGGCACAATCCAAGGGGTCGAAACATGAGACTGTGGGGCCGGAGTGATAGCACAGCAGGTAGGGCATTTGCCTTGCACTCGGCTGACCTGGGCTTGATTCCCAGCATCCCATATGGTCCCCCAAGCACTGCCAGGAGTTAACTCCTGAGTGCAAAGCCAGGAGAAACCCCTGTGCCTTGCCGGGTGTGACCCAAAAAGTGAAAAAAAAAAAAGAGAGAGAGAGGCTGAAGGACCAGCAACCTTCCCTTTGGGCAGTGGGTCGGTGACGGGTCATCAGTGCTTTAAGCCTGGAGGTGGGACGAGTCAGCCAAGACTCTCAAGAGCATGAACATCTGTCCAAGGGTGGAGGCAGACACGAGCAATGAGGATGGGCACAGAGGCACGGGCCGTGGGTGGGGGCGGCAGCGACGTTACCTGGTCAGCCCAGCCCTCCGTCTTACAGTTACTGTGGTCAAACTCCTTCAGAGGCACTTTGGAGTGGACGAGGCCGATGTGGGTCTGGAGCTTGTGCTTGACGGCTTTGACATCCTAGGGCGGGAGACAGGACAGGAGTGTGGGGTCTGAGTTACTCTGGTGACTCATGATGGTGGTGGTGGTTGTCGGGGGGGGGGGAACCCCACCCGTAATGCCAGCCATTTCTAAGCAGCTCGGAGCAGAAGCAAAGTATCAAACGGGAAGTTGGGGAAAAGAAAGGAAGGAAGTGATCTTACCTTGAGCCCTGTCCCAGAAATATCTAAGCAGTTTAGTTTTTGGAAAGAGAAAAGGTATCCAATTCCTGCATCTGTGATCTCAGGGTTACCTAAAGGTTAAAAAAACACAGGTAGTTTCTATTAAATTCTATGCCACACAAACCACGAGGACATAAAACTCTTGCTAAAAAGCCCACAATAAGCTCGGGGGAGGGAGGAAGGGAGGGAGGGCCAAATGATGCTTCACTGTAAAGCACTGCGTGAGCAATGCTTTTGGAGTAAAGGAAACAGGGATTTCATCTTTCCTAACTGTGACAGACGAGCCACACGAGGCTATCTGCGAGGCTCTGTCGGCTTGAACTTCCCATGAGTTGGGCGTTAGCAGAAAAATGAACAAAAAATTAACAGGTAGTAATCCCAAAGGGTTTAGTGTGGAACCATATGATAATACAGGAAACACATATTAAAATGTGTCAAAAGACGCTTTCAGTAGCTGCCCATCTCCAAATTGAAAAGATTCCTATAATGAATGTTCCCAAGAGTGCTCAGATACAGAAATTATTACGGCTACCGTAACTGGCCTTTCCTGCCAGGATCCTCGCTCTCCTACTTCCCGGTCACGCTAGAGTGTGCACTGAGCTCTTTGCTGCCAAGGCCCTGAGCACAGGCCAGACACGGCAGAAATGCTCTGAAGACATGCTGAAGGAATGAATGTACTTTCCTCGGAGGTTAGGTAGGGAAATATTGTCTCCATTTTACAGAAGCTAAAAGCCAGGATCCGAGAGGTTAAATAACTTGTCCAAGGGGACACAGCAGCAAGTAAAAACAGCAGCGCCAGATCTGCACCTCAACCTTCCACTCTGGCACCTTCTGTTCTTTCAAGACCAACACCCGATGCTCAGTTAAGTCGTAAATGAGCTCGTCAATTTTCTACCATTGCAGTTGTATCTGGGTTAAGGCTGAAAACAACGTCCCAATTGTGGACTCATCCAGATTTAAAGCAAATATTGATAAAATGACTTAGCTGACAGACACCACAGACCGGGAGCTCAGAGAACATATCCAGAGGAGCACGACATCCTTGGCCATGAAAGCGAGGAAAGGCTGCCTGCTGGCACCAAGCGAATGGGCAGCACAGGCGAATCCCTACGAGGAGCAGCAAAGCCAGGAAGGGCTTCTTGGCAAGGGGCCAAGGGCCTCTGCTTTGATCCTGCTGGGCCAGTGACTTAATGTGACACCTTGGAAATTCACTTTCTGAATTATCACCTCTTCAGCGAAGAAGTATTAGGAAAGTTCTAAGCCCATATTTCCAACATCAATAAGCTGTAATTTCTAATAAAACTTACAAGATAGGTCTAATAGCGTTAGGTTTTCAAGGCCTCTTTTCATGACACGAACGGGTGCTGTCATTTTCCGAACCCCGGCATCAGATAAACAATTATCCTTCAGGTGGAGCTGAGTTACACTAGGGAAAACAAAGTCCATAAATACGAGACTTAGAGAGTCTGTGAGGTGTAGGCACGACATACTTTCATAAAACTCACTAAAAAAAAAAAAAATACCCTCTACCCACAATTTTATCCCCAGTGCACTGGCAGAAGCTAAAGCTTGTACGGCGCTACTTCACTGACCGAGTGTGGGGTAACCTCAGTGTTTCGTACCAGGCTCACATGGCAGAGGGCGTTAACAGTTAAACAGGGTTGCAGAAGGTAAATAAGGGCTTTACTAGGGAAAAAAGAGGAAAAAAGACAACATAAAAGCTGAACTACTGACAAATACAGTGTGAAAACTAAACAAACAAACAAACGCTTTCTCAGGAAAATCCGCTGAAGAACTACTCCAGAGTCCTTTCTGCAAAGCCTTTTACTTTTTTTTTGCTTTTTGGGTCACACCTGTCAATGCAAAGGGGTTACTCCTGGCTCATGCACTCAGGAATTACTCCTGGCGGTGTTCAGGGGACCATCTGGGATGCTGGGAATCGAATACTGAGTTGGCTTCATGCAAGGCAAATGCTGTACCCGCTGTGCTATTGCTCCAGCCCCAAGTTTTCTACTTTTTTGTTTGTTTGAGATGTGTGTGTGTGTGTGTGTGTGTGTGTGTGTGTGTGTGTGTGTGTATGTGGTGGGGGTGTTGAGGGTGGGTCAGACCTGGCAGTGCAGGGTGGGTCACTCAGGGCTTATTCCTGGCTCTGTGCTTAGGGATCACTCCTGGCAGGGCTTGGGAGACCAGGAGGTGCCAGGGGAGCAAACCGGGGCCAGCGTGTGCAAGGCAAGTGCCTTACCCGCTGTACGATCTCTCGGGCCCAAGGAGTCTCTATTCTTAACTGCTGTTGCAAATTTAGATTTCAGATTGGGTTTCTCAGTGCACCCGGGACCCAATCCAGCCAGCTCATTTGATACTGGGGTATTAATGTGCTTTTTGTCCTAACACAGTAAGTCCAGACCTTCACCAACACCACACAGGAACACTTCTGTAAAGGGCACATGTAGGTGCTGCTGTCCCAGGTGAGCCCAGACAGCAGCAAGGACTCGGGTTTACTGTGGGCTCCCCCTGACGCCTAGGAAACCACACAGGACGCCACCTGCCACCAGCCACCCTTCTCTGCTGGTCAGCCTGAGTCAATGCCAACTGGGAATGTACTGCTGGGGGATTTCTTCCAGCTCTGGTGGGTCCTTGAAACGGCTTCCGTGACCCTCTTTAATGGTTCACTGTTTAAACTGATTTTAGAGTTCACTGAGAGTTAAAACAGAAAACGATGCTCCTTTGCTAGAATATATCAGAGCTGGATAAAAAAATTTTTTCCTTTTCTTCTTTTTAAATGGAATCACCAACAAAATAAATCAATAAATCATTCGAATCGCCATGAAGTAGAATCGCCATGAAGTACAAAGTCACAACGATATTTATGATTGAGTTTCGGGCTTCTATTGCTCCAACAGCCCAGCCCTTCCCCGGTGCCTCGGTTCCCTCCCACCCCACCCTCCCCCACTGTCCTAGTGTTCCCTTCTCTACCTTATTCCCTGCCCCTCCCCAATGTCAGGCGTCCTACTGAAGACCAGTTCTTTGTTCCTATTCCTCTGTGCATCTGCTGTTCCCCTGTGAGGTCTCTCTCTCTCCCACACATGAGCGATCGGAGTCTGCTCCTCTCCCTCTGGCTGATTCCACTCAACACGATACACTCCAGAGCCATCCACACCGCAGCAAACTGCTGACTGGATCAAGTCATTTTTCAACCCAAGAAGCCGTAAGGACTACAGTCAGAAATGAAGATGATTTAGAAAAGAAAATAATTTCTTAACTTATTTTCTAACAAATGCCCAATCTATATCGCTTTGACCAAGTAGATGGAGACTAAAATATTTTAGGGGGAAAAATTAGCAAATAAACACATTCTTCAAGATCATCCCATGGGTCAGCCTTTCACACAGGTAATGAAATTCATCTACAATTTGTGACAGGTTCATACCTAGATAGGGCCTCATTGGTGAGATGTTCTAGAAGTTCGTGCTCGTCTCCAAGCTTACAACAGGAAAGATCCAGGCAGGTCAGCTCCCGGAAAGACTTAATCTCCTCAAGTTTTTCTGAAATCACCAGATACCTGTAGGGTATGAAAAGGGATCACGATCACGATCATCCTGTTGTTCGTCGATTGCCTCGAGCTGGCACCAGTAACATTCTCGTCCTAGCCCTGAGAATGCTCTTTCAGGGGTAGGAGAATGAGACCCATCATTGTTACTGGTATTTGGCATATTGAGTACACCACAGGGAGTTTGCCAGACTCTGCCGTGTGGGCAGGATACATTTGCCGGGTTGTCCAAAGTAAGAACGAGATAATAAGATGTCGTTCCTTTTTTCCTTTCCTTCTTTCAAAACATCTGTGGCTTTGGCTAATATTCCATCAGACAAGGGATTATGGATAATCAGATTTCACTGACTATGTGAGCACAGGTTAATTTTTTTTAATTAGGAAATGTCTCAAAAATCTTTTACACTACAGTGGAATCAAAACTTAAAACTATCAGCAAAGGCAAGTTATATACTAAACAGGTGTTTTGTTAGATGACCAGACCGACCTAGGTGCTGGTGTTAGGACTTTATTGGAGAATTTAGGATACTTTGGTTTTTGGCTACACCCCGTGATGCTCACGGGTTCCTCCTGCAGTGCTAAGGGAGCCACCTGGGTCCAGCCAGGGACCGAGCTCAGGTCAACCATAGGGAAGGCAAGCACCCTACATGCTGTACTACCTCGCCAGCCCCAGGACATGCAAATCATTAATCTTTCTTCTTTCCTTTCTCTTTTCCATTTGCCCATCCCCAGCGGTGCTCAGGGTTAGTCCCGGCACCCTGTCTCGTGGTGGGGCTCGGAGGGCCGTGCTGTGCAGAGGCTCCAAACCAGGCCGCCTGCACACTCCCGCACTCTGTATTCTCGAACTGTTGTTTTTCTCTAATGCTCAAAGGCTTGGAAACTGGCTACGACCTTTGGCCCTACAAGCCCAAGAATATACCAAGAGATAATTGGGAGATCCCTTTTTGTTCCCCTAACCAAACTATTGGGCTCATTAGCTAAGTTTACTCCAAAAGCAGGGGCTGAAGAGATGGCTGGAAGGGCGAGAGTACACGCTCTGCATGTGGGAACCTCGGGCTTATCCCCAGCAACATATGGCCACTGGAGCAGAGCCAGGGGTGCCTCGGAAGCCCCACTTGGTACACCACACCCTCGCCAACGTCTGTACAGCAAGACTCGAACATGATCCAATCTACATGGTTATTAGACAAACCTCTGAGCACAAACAACTTAATTATACTGGATCATTTTGCCAAGCTACTATCAGGGCGCATCAGGGAAGCTTCTGGAGAAGAGGAGATTTAAAGAATAAAAAAAAAGGAGGGGGGCATTCCACAGTCCTGGCTGGCTCAACTCTCCCAGGTGACATCAGTTAGAAAAAATGAAAAGGGATCACGGATGACAGGAAACAGAGAAGGCTAAGGGAAACTGCCTTGTGTTAGGAGTAAGGGAAACTGCCTTGTGTTAGGAGTCGGCCCCGTCATCCACATTCCTCTGGGATATGTAGTTTCCTCTGTAAGACAGTCTGCTAGGACCGGTGGGTTATACTTAAAAAGTGCTCGCCTCTTCCTTCTGTCAGCAGGATCTTAACTGCCCCACACAGGATGGAATAATTTGAGGGCAGGAAAGGAGTTAGATCTCCTTCCTTTCTACTTCAAACCAACGGAGAGGCACTGAAGCCAATCACTGGTCCCGCCTGCTGGGTACAGATGGCCAGGGGCACTGATACCCCTCTAAGCTGTCTGGTGACTGAGCTCAGCTGGGTACACAAGTGAGCCTTATTTACTCAGAAGTATTTTAATTGCACTGTAAATAAAGCTGCTGTTTTCCATCTTCCAATCACAGAGTTGAAGTGGGTTAATAGGGACTTGGGGGATTATGACAATCAGAGAAAGGAAAATAAACATTCTTTGACCAATTAACAGAGGATTATTAGTATTCCGAAACAAGGGTTATCTGTGAAGGACACAACAATGTTCAGCAGGATGCACAAGCGCCATGGAAGTCAGAGTTGAGAACCAATGTGCAAAGTCACAGGAACAACTCGATTCTTTTCTAGGATGTAAGACAGGGTCTCACTGGCAACAATTCTTCCAATCTGTCCCCGAAACAGTTCAGAACGGTGGAGAAGCAGCACGAAGAACAAGGGCAGGTTTTTGTGGCAAAGAGACCCGAACTCGAATTTTAACAGCGCGAATGACTGGGAGAAAAGTATTTCACCTGTCTGAGCCTCAATTTCAGCACCTCCGAAACGGAGCTGATCTTTTTGCTTGTTTGATGAAATGGAGCTGATCTTGTTTGTTCTTATTTTGAACGCCAGGGATCGAACTCAGTACTTGGCACATGCAAAGGATACAGACCCACCACTAACATCCGAGTGTCTAGTACTAGACTCACGTGGCAGAAGGCACTAAAGGTAAACAGGGTTGTACAAGGAAAATAAGGCCGTCATTAAGGGGAAAAAAGACTTAACATGAAAGTTCATGACTGACAAACAAAAAAAAAGCTTTCTCAGGGAAGTCCGCTAAAGAACTAGTCTGGGGTCCTCTCTGCAAAGAATCTTCTACACTGTGTTTTTGGGGAAATGTGGGGTTGAGGGTGGGTCACACCTGATCGTTTCTTCTTTTATTTAGAAAACAACAAGCGATGTTCCAAAAGTACAGGGCATCTCATAAGCTCTCTCATTAAAGGGTGGCTATTCTAATGACTTTAGTTACATGAGTTGCTATTTTTAGGAAAACATACTTGCCTCCCTGCCACCACCACTGTGATTAAAAAAAAAAAATCACGAAGTTCAAATGCCAGAAATGTCGCAGAGGTGAAATCCAACCGCAAAGACACAGGTTTCTCCAGGCAGTCAGCTTTGTCGCCAAAAGTCAGGACAGCAAGTTACTTGCATCTGCTCAGCTATCTTATTCTCAATGATTTCCTCCAGCACCCTTTGCAGCTGGCGAAACTCTGCGGCTCCAGCTTCAACGCCGAGCTGGACTGCAAAGGGAAAGCCCAATCTCCTCTCCTCTTCCTGCTTTCCTTTGCCAACTCAAAAGGAGAGGGAAGGACTAATCAAAACTGAAAATCTTACTTACGTCTGAGTAAGACAGTGAGGTCTGGAACTGTGGCAGTAATATGTGAGTTCAACGAATATATGAAAATATTTCTCTTGTTGTTTTGATTATAAAAGTAATAAGACTCTTGGGGGTTGCAGCGATAGCACAGCGGGTAGGGCGTTTGCCTTGCACGTGATCAACCCGGTCAACCTGAGTTCGATCCCTCTGTCCCTCTCGGAGAGCCCGGCAAGCTACCAGAGTATCTCGCCCGCACGGCAAAGCCTGGCAAGCTCCCCATGACATATTCGATATGCCAAACACAGTGACAAGTCTCACAATGCTACTGGGCCCGCTCGAGCAAATTGATGAACAACGGGAGGACAGTGACAGTGAAGACTCTTGGGGAAAATTTTTTTTAAAAGGAAAATTGTAAAGAAAATCAAAATCAATTTCAATGTTGCAATGGTTTACATTTCAGCCTGAGAAGGGGCTCAGCAGCAGAATGCAAGCCATCAGGTGGGAAGGCTGCGGGCTCTGTGCTTAGCCTGCTGGGGGGCAACTCAGAAGACCACATAGTGCTGGGGACCCAACCCAGGGCTCCCCAGTATGGTCCAGTCCCGGCCCCGAGCCATCTCCTCTGTCCATTAGTTTTATTATCTAATGAACATTTCACTGGATTATTTTAAATGAGCTTTAGGTGTTCATAATTACTTAACATTTTGCTACATAAATGTACGGTCGTTAGGTCGTTAGTTTAACTAGTTTCCTGTCAACCAGTTAAGACAGTTTACAGAATGCTACAATTACAAATAGTACTAACATGTAGATCACATCATGTAAAAATATTTGCTTCCATATATAATCATTCAATGAAAAATTAGAAGATTCTTAATCAAAAAAATAGCACAGCGGGTAGGGCGTTCGCCTTACAAGCGGCCAACATGGCCGACCCGAGTTCGATTCCTCCGCCCCTCTCGGAGAGCCTGGCAAGCTACCGAGAGTATTGGATATGCCAGACACAGTAACAACAAAGTCTCCAATGGAGACGTTACTGGGCCCGCTCGAGCAAATCGACGATCAACGGGAGGGCCTTTACCTTTACCTTTAAAAAAAATCAGAAGTTCAAAAAAAAATTCAGGGATAGTGCCAATATTTTAAAAGCTTTTTGATACATCATGCGGAGCTGCTTCTGAAGTGCTACACTATTCACATGCTCAGCAATTGTGAATAAAAGAGTGGTCCTCACCCAATCTGACCACTGACCACTCTATCAGCACCACACAGGTCAAAGGCACACTAAGAATCACAAGAAATACTTTGGCTCTAGGGCCAAAGAAGTAGTACAGTGGATAGAGTGCTTGCAACTTGGGTGGCCAACTTGGGTTCAATCTCTGGCTCCGATATGGTCCCTCAAGCACCAAGGAGTGATGCCTGAGAAGAGCTAGGAATAAGCCCTGAGCACTGCTGGGTATGATCCCAAAAAGGGGGGGGGGGGAGGAGAATAAAACATAAAACACTTTGGCTGTAATGGGGGGTAATTAGAGAGCAAAAATGCAGATGCGTACCTCCAAACATATAAAGATATGTATTTGAAAACAATCACCTTTAATTTACGAATTTCCAAGATTAGTTTCCCAAATAGTATATGTACAGCCTCGATAAAACAATTAAAAAAAATGTACGTTATAATCCTATTTTTCATTTCTTTTTCTTTGTTTTATACGATGAAGGTAAGTAGTTTGGAATAAATGTGAGAGAATGAACTTAATTTTCTTTTGCTTTGCTGTGGTTCTGTACTCAAGGGCTACTTCCTGGCCCAGTACTTGGGGGTCACTTCTGTAGTGCTTGGGGGACTGTACGGCACCGAGGATTGAACCCAGGCCTCCGGCAGGCGAAGCACATGCTCAAGCAGTTGGGCTAATCTCTGGCCCATGAAATGTATTTCAAATGTGGGAGAGACAAAGAAATCACCGCTGTTCTTCATTTAGCAAGGGAACTTTTTGGTTTCCCAGGGGCAGCCTGAACCAAGACCACACAGTGCATCGGTTTTCCTTCTCTCTGTTGTGGGGCCACACCCAGTGGACCTGGGGAGCTACTCCCAGCTCTGTGCTCAGGGGCTCCTCCTGGTAGTGTCCAGGGGCCCATGCGGCCCTGGACAGACCTTGGGCCACTTGCATGCACTCAGCTAAGACTTTACGTCACAGACCCGGGACCCATGAGTTGCTTGCTCAGTTGATGAGTAGGTGTTACTATTCCTGTCTACACGTGTTTGTCTTTTCGTTTTAAGGTATAAAATTGGGCCTGGGAGTGAAACCACTAGGTCCCTGGTCGATAAAATATAGATTACGCTCCTCTCCCCACCTTTTTTCCCCAACAATAAACTTAACTTACACTTTCTGGTGTGATTTTTCTTTTTCTATCACATGCTTTTTTGTTTAGAATTGTTTCTCCTTCGACTGTGCATCCTAGTAACAAGCTGCTTTTCACATTTTTAACTGCAGAGATGGCTCTGGAGTGGTTTACTATACAGCTCTATGAGAATTCCAGTCTACAAAACTGTTGTTGATTGTCACAATATGAGAAGAAAGCGAGGTTCTTAACAGGGTACAGCAGTGAGGTTCCCTTTGCATGACAAAGGGGAAAGCCGTATCTGCAAGTGGGAACACACGGAATCGCTCCGGGATGTGAGAAAAGAACCTGGCAGCAATGGGTGCCTTTGGGGAGAAGAAACACGAGATGAGCTGGGAGGAAGGTCTGTTTCACTTCATACGTTCTGGTGTCTGAATTTTCCTATGCTTAAAAAAAATCATTTTTATTTATTTTGGTTATACTGGCAAGTGATCAGGGACCACTCCTGATTAAGGGGTCACTCCCCTAAGGTGGTGGGGGCTCAACTAGGGTTCCTGCATGTAAAGCATGCATTCCAGCCCTTTCATCTATTTCCCTGGTGCAAGGAGATGTTCAGACAGTAATTTTTTTTAAATCATGGTGGAATAAAAATCATGGTGGAAAAAAAAATACAGATGTACATCCATAGAAGCAAGCAAAGGCATGTCACAAGAGAAAAGATGGCTCTATTAGACCTTGCGGTTAGAGGAACAACCTTACTTGGGAATTCCCAAACATTACAATGTTACTGTCACTGTCCTCCCATTGTTCATAGATTTGGGGCAGTAACACCTCCATCATGAGACTTGTTGTTACTGTGTTTGGCATATTGAATACATCACAGGGAGCTTGTCAGGCTTTGCCATGTGGGCGAGATACTCTCAGTAGCTTGCCGGGCTCTCCAAGGGGGGTCAGAGGAATTGAACTCAGGTCAGCCGTGTTGGCGGCCTGCAAGGCAAACGCCCTACCCGCTGTGCTCTAGCTCCAGCCCCCAAACATTACAGGATACTCAAAATTTAAAATCGCTCAGTGTTTGATTTTTAAAAATTATTTATTTGGGGAGAGGCCCACGCCCAACAGTGCTCAGGGCTTACTCCTGGTGCAGTGCTCAGAGCTTACTCCTGGTACAGTGATCAGGGATCACTGTGGCACATCTTCGGGGACCCTATGTGGTGCCAGGGATTGAACTCAAGTCAGCTGCATGCAAGGCAAATGCCTTCCCCCCCATACTACCACTCACTCAATCCAGTTACTCAGTATCTTAAAGTCTTTTTTAAAAATTTTTCGTTAGAGTTCTGGGGATTGAACCTATGTCTCATATGCATTTACAGTGGAGTCATCTCTTAGCCCCGAAAGTTGCTCTTAATCTAATGCTCAATAACTAAAAACAAGTGAAGGACCCAGAACTCTGCTTACTAATCCTTATATTCCCCAAAGCATTCCAAGAGTTACCTGGCAAATTACATTTTGTTTTTCTTCTATCCTCCTACTAGAAAAGTTGGTAGAAGAGTCTTTTCTACCTAATGACAGAGGTTTGGTAATCAACTTGTAAAGTGTTTTCAAAATCTAATTAAGCGTTGTTTCAGAGTGGGCAGGTAGAATTTTTCTTAAAATTGGCCTGCCGCTTTGTGTTTGGAAGTTTTAAACAGAAGGGTTATTTTGGTCGAGGAAGCCCCCAAATCCATTAGATCCCAGAGTTTTACGGAATTAACACACCCAGTAAAATACGCATTATGCTCATCAGAACACCCACCTGTTTCGCAAACAAAGGGAGCACAGCACCAGACTCCCGTAGGCCTCCGTGAATTTCTGCAAGGCCCGCAGCCCCGCACCTGGCTCTGTGAACTTCTGCCTGGCTTCAGCAGCAGAGAACAGCTTCTCGGCAATCTGCTCCGGGAAGCCGATGAGGGAGTCGATGTGATCCACATTGTCAGAGATGAAGCCCAGCACGAGGCTGAAGAGGGACTTGGCCGAGTACCGGAGGTTGCCCTCCCGGGTGTACGTGAAGATGAAGTGGTCCGTCTTCTCTTTCTGGGCGGTGTCATCTTCCCTGTTCATGCAGAGCTCCACAGAGAAGCCCTTGGGGAAGAGTCTGAAAGGCCTGGGCTTCTGCAGGTTACTCCTGACGCCGTCCAGTGCCAGGTTGACCATGTGTAACTGCCCGTTCTCTCTCACATAGATGGGTCCTGGGTCTAGGTGGTTTTCTGAGTTGAGGTAGTAAGACATTGCTTTGGTTGGTACTACAAAGGCAAAGGCAGAAGGGAAGGAAATCCAATTAAAATCCTATTTGTAACATGTTAACTTTCCCCAGTGTACAGAGCTTTCTGGGCCTACAGACAAGCCCCAAGAGTGTAGCAGTATCCTCCCATTCCTCATGGATTGCTCGAGCGGGTCCAGTAACTTCTCCATCGTGAGACTTGTTGTTACTGTGTTTGGCATATCGAATACATCACGGGGAGCTTGCCAGGCTTTGCAGTGCAGGCAAATACTCTCGGTAGCTTGCCGGGCTCTCCGAGAGGGGCGGAGGAATCGAACCTGGGTCAGCCACGCCGGCCCCATGCAAGATTCTGGGGAAAATAAACTTACCAGTTGGCCTGTGGCCTGTGAACTTCTATGGGAGTAATCACCTTTGCTGTCTCTACCGGCAATGCTCTCAATGTCCTTTCCTCTATTCTCGATTATGTATGTATGTATGTGTGTAAGTATGTTGGGCTACATCCTGGGGTGCTTTGGGCATACTTCTGGCTCTGTGCTCAGGGATCAGCCCTAGCAGGGTTCAGAGGATCTTATGGGATGCCACAGATTGGACCTGGGTAGTCCGTTTGCAGGGCACGTGCCCCACTTGGCCCTACTGTCCTCTGGCCTCTACTCTCCCTTCTCTTGTCTGTCTGGTCCACTCTTACCCATCTTCAAAAGGCCAGCTTGGGGCTTGAGAGACAGATCGCTTACCTCCGAAACCACATGGTCCATCAAACAGAGCCAGGGAGCAGCCCCCAGCCCCAGGTGTGGCCCAAACACCACTCCCTCACCTCCCAAAAAGTAAAGAAAAAAGCCTCCTCAATTCTTCAATTCTACCTGGAATATCATGGCAGCCCGATCTATATAAGCAATACAATGTCCACCTAAATGTCCACCAACTAGGGTGTTATTAAATGAATGATGACACATCCATTCCGTGAATGTTAGCAACCATTACCAATCGAGTCTTTATTGATTTGCAAATTAGATACAGTACACAATTTACACACAGTATAAAGATTAGAAATTAGAGGTGGAGTTACTGAAAAGAGTAAAAGAAAAAAAAGAAAGAAAGAAAGTGGGCTGGAGCGGTAGCACAGCAGGTAGGGCGTTTTGCCTTGCACGCGGCTGACCCAGGTTTGAATTCCAGCATCCCGTATGGTTCCCCGAGCACTGCCAGGAGTAATTCCTGAGCGCATGAGCCAGGAGTAACCCCTGTGCATAGCTGGGTGTGACCCAAAAAGAAAAAAAAAAGAAACAGAAAGAAAAATAACTAACTCCTCAGTTACCTGGGAATGGGCCAGTCACTTCTTCATTGCACTTGGCTCACTGTTCTGCACTAATTTGTTTCTGGACCTGTTTCTGCTGTTCTGGCTTTTCTGAAGGGAGGAACTGCACTGATTTCACTCAGACTCCATACATAGTGCTCTCTCTGCCTTCTACTCCAGGCATATTTCACTCTCTACCGTCCCTTCACAGTTCACTACCTCCCCTTCACAGTTCACGGCATTCCCTACCTTCCCTTCACTATTCAGATACTGCACTATTTACAAACTGAAGGTGTAAAAGACAAATTGGAGGTCTGAAGCAATCCTGTATTGAGCAAGTGCATTGGACCATTTTCCCCAAAGCATGCACTCACTTCCCATCTGCCATTTAAAAAAAAAATTCCGACACCAAACATCAGTTTACATAGTGTCCGCGCTTCAGGGAAACAATTTCACGCCAAAGTATCTACTATTGTACCCCCACTGCCACAGTACCAAACCCTCCACCAATCCATCGGACGCCCTGCCCCCTCTCCGGTAACCAGAGCTCTGCAGTTCTGTCCAGAAACAAACGCTAAATTGAGAAATGAACAGCTTCTTTCAAACAAAAGATAAACATAACTTTTATATGTACTGGGAAACCAAGCATTTCAGATGAGTCACTTCATGGCAAATTCGCTTCACAGTGGCGGTCTGTGAGCTGCGTGGGCAATCTCTTTGAGGTGTGCCTAGGGACCCCAAGCAGCGTACTTGTGGGCCTGACGTTTGCTCAGGGGCTAAACTCCACATACACCAAAGCAAGGCGGCTTCTGGGATCTACGAATGAAAACCACCCTTACAACCGTCAAATGAAAATGATTCTGGGTGCTTACTTTACACACAGGGTCAACTCTGGTTCAAGCCCTGGCACCATACGGTCCCCCAAGCATGGCTGGGAGTGATCCCCCAAGCACAGAGCCGGTAGCGGCCCTTCGTGGTACGGCCCATTACTCCCTCTGCCCCATCCCCGTCCCGATAACCAATAAGAAAATGATTCCGGCCTTTGGAAACATCTTCCATCAGGGAACTTTTGAAATGAGGCATAGCATGAAAACAGTTGGGCACTTACGCAGTCATGCAGGTGGCATTTTGTGCTCACCCCGGGATTGTTTTCTTGAGGAACTGTATAATTTCAAAACACTTACTATGTTAAAGAAAAGTACTTATTTCCACAATTTAAAGGCAGGAGAGAGGTAGAAACCCAACACAGCCTAGGTTAAAAAAGAGCTAATGATATCATGAAAGACTACGGTAGGCTTGCCGCGCGGGCCAACATGGGGCTAGAAGGCAGCGCTGGTGCCACTTCAAGTGTCAGCAGAGCGACGGGCAGAACCAACAGGTTTGATCTGCAGGAGGCCTGGCGCCTGGAGCTCTGCTGGGAGCCACGCCTGAGTGTGAAGCCGGAGGCAGCCTCTGAGCAGTGCTGGTTAAGGTCCAAAACCAAACAACAATGAAAGAGGGACAAAATCCAGTCAGTGATAAAAATGCTGAGTCCCCTGAGGCCATCAAACCTGTCTGTGGGCACCAATATGAACCGTGTTTCTCCCGGGGAAAATTATATGCGTAAAACCCACCAGCAAAGGGCAGGAGAGAGAGTCCAGTGGGTAAGGCACTTGGCCTGCACACAGCCAAGCCAGACTCAATCTCTGACACTGCATATGACCCCTCCCCCCCACTACTGCCAGGAAGAATCCATGAGCACAGAAGGTGGTGCCTCCTCCAGCCCTGCCCAACAAATAAAACCGAACACACAACCCCAAAACCATACAGGCCAAGGGGCCTGGGTCCAGCCGCTGGTCCCAGCTCATCTCCCTGGGGTGACATCCCCAGCTCACCATGCCACGCCACCTAGGTAAGGTAGCCGCACTCCTATCCCATGCGCCTCTGCCCATTCCGCAGCTCTTGCAGGAGTTGCCTCTCCGTGTCCCGGACCTGGCTCGGTCCTACTCCTCATTAACACGCAGCTCAGCTGCTGGCCCCCTCCCAGGAAACCTCGCCTGACCCGCACCACTGCACCCCTGCCTGCCTGGACTTCCCCCGGGCACCAGAGTATCCTTTTACCCACCAATCAGCACTTCCCACTGCGTCCACCTGTGACTGGCCCCGCAGCTGCAGGCTCCCTGAAGGAAGGGCCGTTAGGAATTCATCCTTCTTCCCCAAGCCCAACACAAGTCCCAAGTGCCCAGGAAGCCCCTTTTCCCAGATAGCAGAGTGCTGCGGCAGCCCTCCGCAGGGCAGGGCTGGTGCTCTGCCGGCTGATGCCGTTGCTAGGAGTCAGCTCCTCCTCCCGGCAACTGCGCTGCGGGCCCCTCCCCTCCTCGCCAGACCCTCCTGCAGGTGGCAGAAGCGAAACAGATGACTGGGCGTCACTGCTGCAGCACCACCAGGGAAAAACCTAACAACTAGGGGGAAAAATCCCTGTCACGGTGCCAAAGTTTATAGCTCATGTTCTTGCCTTCGGCTCAGGTGATGCCTCACTGATTCTTAGCTTTTCTTCTTCCAGAAAGGGTAAGCATCTGGACCCGGCAATCTCACCCTTGAATCCTATTAGGGTAAATCCCCTTTATTCCTGGAACTGAAAATCCGGAGCCGGACCCTACCTGCGGATCAGAAACTAAGCGACAGGACTGGCTCCAAAAAAAAAAAAAAAAAGGGAACATCATTTTAATAGGAGGAAGGCAAATTCTACAAAAGATAACTGACCTACTAGCACAGTGTAAGCTCGCCCCCGACCAGGTCTACAACAAACTCTCCAGTAACTGCACAAATGAATGGAAGGAAGATGACTTTGGGGTGGGGGTGGGGGCACTCAGCAAAGTCTGATTGTAACCAGCAGAGGGCACAAGCACCTTGGAACCAGGATGAAGGCAGACACCCAGGCCACCCCAAACCCTGCTGGCCCAGGATTCCAAGGAACAGTTTCTAAAAAGGCCCAGTTGGGGTGCCTATTCAACTTTAAGAGACTCACCAAACAACAGTCTCTTTCTAAATGGTTAAAAAAAATGATAATAATCTCCAAAACCTCAGTATTTCCTGAAAGGTAAACCCATACATTTTGTCCCAAAGCCCCAAGGCCAGTTGTCCTGTCCTTTAATGATGGTTCTTCAGGAGCTAAACTTGGTTCAAGGAATCCTGTTGACCTATGGCTTCTATTATTAAATCCGTGCATCTGTCTTCTGCCAACGGCAGCACCCTGAGAGTTTGTGGGGTGCTAAAAAAATGAGCTAAGAATGAAGTTAGTGTAAACCTCCCAAGGTTAACATGTCAACAGAAATTCATACAAACCTTCTGGCTTTGCTTCTACCTGCTACTGGATAAGGTAGATTATTATAAAGGAAACCCTCAGGCGACGGGATCTATACCAAGGCACCCCCCCCCCCCATAAGAGGGAACGAGGGAGGCTCAAGGGCTGAGGACATGCTCTGCACGGGGGAGGCCCGGGTTCGATTTTTGGCCCTGCATGATCAACTAAACACTGTTAAGAGTGATCCCTGAGAACCTCCAGGTGTGGTTCAAAAACGGCCATAAAAGTGAAAAATTGGAATCTATATAACACTGTCCAGAGTAGATGTACATTCGCTGTATCTTACATTACCTTAACAGTGACGGGGCATTACGGTCATCTTCCAGTCCCCTCTAAAGGAGGCAGCTTGCAACCACACACCCTCAGAGGAAAAACGGCACAACAGTGCATGTCCCACTATTTGGTCCCCACAGATGAGCCAACGCTTGCCCAGTGCATAAAATACAACTTTACTACAATAAAAACTCATTTCTCTGCAGTCTCTTTGAATAAGATGGTGAAATAACACGAAACACGACCGGCTTCTTTTCCAGGCCTCGGAGCCCTTTTTTTTTTTTAACTAAGCCCGAAGCATGACTATCCCAAACAAGAGGAAGAGTGGGAGGGATAGGATTAAAACGGGGAATTGAGTCAACGGCTCTTTCACTTAAAAAAGGGAAGAAAACACATAACTTGGGTAAGTCCACGACCCCCGCCCCCCCAGAAAAAGAAATTATAGCAATGATGGCGATGATGATGATGATGATAATGAGCTGACAGCTTCCGAGATCCTGCCACTCATCAACCACCTCCCAGCTGACAGGCCTGGGCCAGGCGTCCTGCAAAATGACCTCACGTCCGTGTCCGTCACTCCGGACACCCCAACCGGTCAGGGTTGCCTTTTCCTTGACAGAGGAGGAGAGGCAACTCTCTGCAGGAAGAAAGGGAGCCAGTGGCAGGGCCAGCACCCCTCTCTAAGCTGGCATGCCTCCCGGCTCAAGTTCTCCCCGGGGCTGGGTGCTGCCTCTCGGGGGCAAGGGGGGCCCCGTTTTCCACAAGGGACGTGCAGGATGGGTCGCACCCACCTGTCTGATTCCGCGGGGCGCCCACGGCGCAGGCTGGTGGGGAGGGAGAAACACAGCCACGTCGGTGGGCACGGCAGCAGGCATCGGAGGGGGCAGAGGCGGGGAGGGCGAGGCGGCCCCCCGGGCCGAGAGGCACAAGGCAGCCCCCCACCCCGGGGAGCATCGGGCACACGCGGGCCTCCCGCCGCGTCCGCACCCCGCCGGGTTCGCGTGGAAAATGCGGGACTCCCGGGAACACGCCTCGCCACCACCCCGCCCGGAGGGGGCGCCGAAGCCCCCAGGGCAGCCCCCGTCGCCCAGGCATTGTTCGAGGCGCCCTCCCCGCCCCCGCCGGCCACCCGCCCACCTGCCGCCTCACCCATCACCGGCTCCCCAGGGCCCTCCGGGACCCAGCAGCCGGCCAGGTTTCAGTTTCCCTAACCATCCCCCCACCAAAAAAAAACCCAACCAACCTCGCGGGGGCTGGTGCCACCGAAGCCGGTTCCCACCCGCGACCCCCGCGGCCCGGCGTCCCCGCAGCCCTCCCGCCCCCGGCCGCCTGCACCTGCCTCCGCGGCGCCCCGCCGACCCCCGCCCCGCGCCGCAACTCCCCCAGCCCCGCCCCCGCCCCCGCCCCGCGCCCCGACCGCAGACCCCGCTCCCCTCCGGGGCCGGCTCGGGGCTCCCCGGCGGGTGGGCCCGCGCCCCCCGCCCCCCGCGGCCGCCACCTACCTGGACCCCGGCCCGGAGGAGCGCTGGGGGTGGGGGCGGGGGGAGACGGGGCGCCGCGCGCCGGGCACAAAGCTAGGGAGGGGACGTCGGCCAGGGGGAGAGGACGAGGAGCAGGAGGAGCAGGAGCAGGAGGAGGAGGAGGAGGAGGAGGAGGAGGAGGAGGAGGAGGAGGTGGAGGAGGGCGGGGGCAGGGGGCCACCAGACGCCCGGAGACCGCGGGGCGGACGGGGGCGGGGACCAAGGCGGGGCTGGGGCCGCGCGCGTGCGCGGGGCCGGGGCAGAGGGCGGGGCCTTTAGGGGGCGTGTCCGGGTTGGGGCGGGGCCCTGAGGGGGCGGGGCCAGGCCCCGGTCCGGCGACCAGAGGGCCCCGGGCGCGGATCCGCGGGGAGAGACGCGATGGCGTGACTGCGCGTGCGCGCCCGCTCCTGGGCGGCTCCCTGGGTCTGACGGGCGCCGGCGCGGAGAGGCCGCGTCCTCCCTCTGTCGCGCGCCTGGGGAGGAGGCCCAGAGGCGGGCCTTGCGGAGGTCCGTGCGGGAAGCGGAAGGCCTTCGCGGGAGGGAGAGGGGCCTGCGGGGAGGGTGGAGCTGAGGGCAGGGAGTCGTCCTGGGCCGCGCCCCGAACTCCGTGCGCGGGGCGAGTCTCAGGACGGGGACCCGCAGCGCCGGGCCGCCGGGTCCTGAGGGCGGGAGGAGCCGGGGGACCGCTCAGCGCGCGCCCGCGGGCTGCGGGGCGGGGCGGCTCTGAGTGGGGGGTGGGGGGAGCCCGAGCGCGCGCTCGAGAGCCGCGGGGCGGGGCGGGGCGGGGCGGCTCTGAGGGCGGGGGAGCCCCGAGCGCGCGCCCGAGAGCCGCGGGGCGGGGCGACTCTGAGTGGGGGGGGGGGAGCCCCGAGCGCGCGCCCGGAGCCACGGAGCGGGGGGGCGGGGGTGGAGGCGGGGGAAGCGCTAAGCGCGCACCCGGGGCGTGGGGCGGGGCGGCTCGGGGCGGGGGAGCCCCGAGCGCGCGCCCGGAGCGGCGGCTCTGCGGGCGGGGAGCCCCGGGCGCGCTCCGGAGCCGCGGCGTGGGGAGGCCGAGGGCGGGGCGGCTGTGCTGGTGAGAGAAGGGCCGGGAGCCGCGGCGCGGGCCGGGGCGGGGCGAAGGAACGAGCTCGAGCTGGCGCGGTCGGGCGGGAGCGAGCGGAGCAGGCGGCCGTGCGGCGGGCGGCTCCCGTCCAGGCCCCTTAGCCCTGGGGGACACCCTGACCAGCCCCCAGACTGTGGGCGCGGGAACGTTTTGGCTTTCCCCCCACCCTCTACGGCCAAGAAGGGAGGGAAACTTGCAACCTAGAACTAAGCCGCCCGACGTCGCTTCGCGGCCGCGGCGCCTTTAAGGAAATGCACTTCCTGGTGCGGGGGCGGGGCGTGTCGGGGACCCGGGGCCCGGATTGGCTGAGCGCCCGGAGCCGGGCGAGGGCGTGTCCGGCTTGATACCCCTCCCGAGGTCCACTCCAGACTGGCCACTTCCAGGGGTACCGGAACCCAGGGGCCAGCCAGTGGCCTGGGGATGAGACTCGAAAGGTCACGTGAACTGGAGAGAAAGGGTAATCCTGGCCCTGCTGGGAGTAGAAGACGGGATCAGGCATCAGGGAAATTGACGCTCATGGATTTTTTTATTTTTTTTAAATTTCCAGTACTGGAGTCCGAGCAAAGGAACTTGCACGCGGCCGGCTCAGGTTCAGTCCTTGGCACCCTGAACCCCGCCAGGAGTGATCCCTGATCACAGAGCCAGGAGTAAGACGTGGGCACTGCCCTCTGTGCTCCCCCTCAATCAAAGAATTCCCCAGGCTGACACCCCAGAATGCACTCTTTTGATAAACGGAATCCCGAAGGGAGTCTGTGTTTTTAAGGCACCCCCGCGTGAAAAATCTGACTGCACCCCAGACCTGCTGTTTTGAGTAGTGGACACAACCTGTATGCTCACTTGTCTCTCTTTGAGACTGGTTTATCTCTTACTAGCACAAGAAAAGAACTTTAACATGTCATTTCTTCATAATTGGATCATTGCTTCCAATACAAGAAGTAGGGAGGATGTTGGGGGAGACAGAAAGTATGAACCGAGTTTGCGATTCAAGTTTGTATTTGCTTCCCTCCTGGTAAATAGACATCTTTATACCTCTACTACCCATACCAGATACATGTGTCTGAAACAGCACTTAAAAAAAATTTATAAAGCCCTTTCTCTCCTTAGACTATAGACTATATATCCTATATAGTCTATAACCTATTTTTTCAGCCCCAAACCTAAGCTGTTTGGTGTTTTGTTGGTGGTGGTATTTTTTGTTTTTTGTTTTTTTTTTTTCCACATTTTGGTTGACATCCAACAATGCTCAGGGGTTATTCCTGGCTTTGCACTCGGGAATCACTCCTGGTGGTTCTCAGGGTACCGTATGGGATGCTGGGGATCGAACCAGAGTCTGCTGCATGCAAGGCAAATGCCCTACCTGCTGAACTACCAAACCTAAGTTTTATCTACTACACTTGTACCTTTTGGCACAGATCACAGCTGATCTGGGAAACCTTCCTGCTTAAAATTATTACCTGTTCAGTGTAGTCCAGACTCTTGGAGTTGTGAAAGAAAAAATCGAGTCCTTTTTTGCATTTGTGAACATGTGATTTGGGGGATTGGGAGGGAAGACCTTCCCCACCCCAACTGCATTCAGGATGTCAAGATGCCCAACGTCCCTCCTGAAAGTCTTGGATGGGTCAGTGTGAGGAACAGAGGATGGTACTCACCCTGTACTTCCTGGGATTCCCCAGCCCATCCTGTCAGTGTTTGGGGCCTTCTTGCTTACACCTACTGATGATGCCCAGGAGAACATGTGGTAGTGTCAGAGATCCAACAAGGTTGTCTGCCATGCCACTTAGCCCCTGTAATATCTCTCTAACCCCTATCCTTGTGATTTTTAGAAGTTCTTGTCATGGAGCTGAGAAGGTAAGTGATAGAGCACATGCCTAATGCGTGTTAGGTCCTGAATTTGACCCCTGGTAGGAATGTCCTGCACTCAGCACCATCAGGTATAACTGGCTGTAAGCAGAGCAACACTCAGCTCTGTCCAAGTGGCCCCACCCCCAGTAATGCCAGATGTGGTCCCTATTAAAAAAAAAAGTCGTTTCTCTTGATAAATTATCTCTTGAAATAGTTCTGATAATTTCAACTTCCATGCAATATAGTTAATATAGATTATTATAAACTTTTTGCTCTCCTTTGAACAGTATCAGACCTGATATTGTCCTACTTAATATATGCTATCTAGGACTGAACACCTTATTCTGAATATTAATTATTAGTTGCATCTTGTCCATCTTCTTTGAGTCTGCGCTTGAAGGCAAAAATCAAATCTTCGTCATCATCTTGTCATAGGTTATAATTATCTTCTATTACTGGCTTGGTTCCTGACTATTACATTTGATGGAATGTAGTTTCATCTTATCAGAATTAATGTAAAATCACATTCCATTACATTTGGGGCAGAACAGTATATTCTTGCCTTATAGTGACTTTGTAATCAACCAAACATAGATTTTACACACCCAGATTAAGGGTTGACAAGTTTCTGTAAAGGGCCAGATAATAAATATTTTGTACTTTTTGGATCCTATAGTCATAGCTGCTTAATTGTGGTACTCTGTCACAAAAGTAACCATAGATAGTGTATACATGACCATATGTGGCTATTTCAAATAAAGCATCTTGGATACTAAAGTGTGGGTTTTACACATTTTGCCACAAAAATTTTTGATTTAAAAGTATTTTTAAGGGGGCTGGAGTGATAGCACAGCGGGTAGGGCGTTTGCCTTGCACGCGGCCGACCCGGGTTCGATTCCCAGCATCCCATAGGGTCCCCTGAGCACTGCCAGGAGTAATTCCTGAGTGCAGAGCCAGGACTAACCCCTGTGCATTGCCAGGTGTGACCCAAAAAGCCAAAAAAAAATGTTTTTAAATGTATAAAACATGTTTAGCTCATGGAAGATACAAAAACAGTTGGCATTCTGAATTTGGCCTGTAGGCAGTGGTTTATCAACTTCTGGTCTAGATCAATCCTTATGATGTTTTTGGAGGAGAGGGAGAGTTTTGGGCCATTCTTGGTTTTGTGCTTAGGGATCACTCCTAGCAGTGCCCCAGGAATCATGTAGTTCCCAGGATCAAACCAGGGTTGGTCTCATGCAAGACAGTTGCCTTAACCCAACTTCTGTCCTACCTGGCCCCTCTTGTGTTTTGCTTTTTATGTCTCAGTGTTATTGGCCCTTCCTTTGATTTTGGTTTGGGGGCTATACCTGGCGATGCTCAGGGGTTACTCCTGGTTCTGTTCAGGGATCACACCTTGGAAGGCCTTAATTGTGCTAGGGATCAAAACGGAATGGACTACCGGCAAGGCAAGCACCTACCCACTGTACAGTCTCTCCAGTACCATTGTTGGCCTTTCTGAGGTCAAATATCTTACTAAATATAGTAAAAATCACAATATAAAATGAACTTTATACCAATAAATGCAAATTTCAGGATTTGTAAAACGCCTCACGAGAAAAATGATCTTGAAATAGTGAAAAAAAATCTAGACTTATAGGGTCATGTAACCCATATCTTACACAAATTGTTCCAACAACTGCAAAAACAGGAAACTCCAAATTCTTATGACTGGAGTACAATTAATTGTACAAATCCAAAACAATATGGACCAACAAAGGGAAATTATGTTAACAAGCTGATTCCCACTCTGGATGCATGAAAAATCGTGATTAATAGCATTTAAATCACAGAATCAAAAAAAATGTTAAATACAAAATATTGGGGCTGGAGTGAGGTACTTGCCTTGCACGTGGCCACCCCGAGTTTGATCACAGGCTCGCCATATAGTCCCCTGAGCGCACCAGGGGTGATCCCTGAGCATAGAGCCAGGAGTAAGGTCTGAGCACAGCTGGGATATAGCCCCTACACCAAATACATATATGTATGTATGTATGCATGTTACATATATGTATATATACACAAATGTTATATACACAAATGTATATATTTACGTGTATGTAAACTATGTAGATGGAATGAGGAGTCAGAATGAGAAACATATAGAATGATCTTTTCCATGTGTGATATAAAGGAATATAGTAAGGAAATAATAAGTGGCCAAAGGCAACAGAACACAAGAACTTGTCTGTAAAATTGAGCTTACCACAGTGTGTGTGTGTGTGTGTGTGTGTGTGTGTGTGTGTGTGTGTGTAGGTTGGGGTAGGGGCCCATGAGGCTGCTGGAGAGAAGTGGGCACTCTGGTGGAGGGTGTGGCATAAGAACATGTGCGTCAAGCCTACCGTTCATGGTACCATCTCTATCGTGGAGACTAAAATTTAAAATATAACACACATTGGCCAGAGTTTATGGTGGTAACTGGAGGTAATATAACATTTTTAAATAATTTTTTGGGGGGCTTTTTGGATCACACCCAGCAAAGCACAGGGGTTACTCCTGTCTCATGCACTCAGGAATTATTCCTAACGGTGCTCAGGAGATCATATAGCATGCTGGGAATCGAACTCGGGTCAGCTGTGTGCAAGGCAAATGCCCTACCCGCTGTGTTATCGCGCCAGCCTCATTTTAGAATAATTTAATTTGTCATATTAGCACCCTATAGAAAAATCCATCCTTTTGGTAAATATTAGTGCTTTTGATCAAATTCAGTGTTCATGCATGCTCGTTCCCTTTAGAAGAAAAAATAAAAGCCAGAGGAAGAGACTTCTTGACCTGATGAGCAATGTCATCAAATCCTTTAGTAACATTTAATGGTGAAATGTTAGGAATATTGCTAATCTAGGAAAGAAAGAGTTTTCAAAAATAACATTTTAAGTACTTTGCCTCATGTTTGGCCAATAATGAATGTTATTTCCACCCTCACCCCACCCCACCCCAACGCTTTATTAAAATACTGGTTTACAGAGTGGTTCATGGTGGTTTGTGACGGGCATTCAATATTCTAACACCAACCCCACCACCACTGTCACATTTCCCCACCCACCCCTCAGACCTCCCCCTAGCAGGCCGACAATCACTTCTTTTCTATTGCTGGTCACCCTTAAACGGCTAACAGAAAGATCAAAGATTGTTTCCATAGAGGAAAATTCGTGAAAATGGTTGTATCACACCATGGGGATGTTAAGTGCTTGTCTGAGGGTTTCGTAAGCTTGTTAAAGTTTAACCTTCAGTGTTAATGTTTTTGTTAGCCGAGAAGGGTTGGTTTCTCCCACATCCCATCCGTCTACTTCAGTGGTGTCAGTATTGTAGACATTGGAGATGTCACGGCCACACCCTCCTAAAATTCAGAATTCTTAACTGAGCAGTCCAGTGGGCTTTAACTTTTTTAACTGGGTACAGCTTTGGGATAGGGGAGTGGCGGCCGGGGCTTTGTTTGGGCTGGAGCTGGTCCACCCTTTTCTGAGAGCACCCCGAGGTCTCAACCGGGACAAATGTCCTGAGGATTTTTTGCTACTAGGTGATCTCTTTGGAGATTTATGTGAGTGCCTGGAACTAGGCTGGTAGATGATCTTACTTGGCGCAGTGGTGGGACATGGGCGTGGCTGTTGGTCTTCTGGAAGTAGAAGGAGGTGGGGAGAGGTTTCCAACCCCATCCAGAAAAGGCCTAGAGGTTTTCAGCCTCAAGAGGCTGAGGTCGTCAGCGGATTAGATTCTCTGTGAGGCTCAGTCCTGAAGGTGGGGAGTCTGGCAGGGGCACGGCAGCGGCTCCGGTGTGGGAGCAGCTGCAGGTTTGCAGGTTTGTTTGGCAAGAATTTTTTCTTTTTGGGTCACACCCGGTGATGCACTGGCAGGGGTTACTCCTGGCTCTGCACTCAGGAATTACTCCTGGTGGTGCTCAGGGGACCATATGGGATGCTGGGAATTGAACCTGGGTAGGCCACGTGCAAGGCAAACGCCCTACCTGCTGTGCTATCACTCCAGCCCCAAAAATGTTATTTTTAAGAGCTCTTATTTATTGTAGCACTGTCGTCCAGTTGTTCATCATCCAATTGTTCATCAGTTTGCTTGAGTGGGCACCAGTAACGTCTCCATTCGGCCCTGTTGTGTGCTAGTGTAGCCCAATGGAAGCTGCTTCGTTTCAGGAACATGAAGTGAGACTTGTTGTTACTGTTTTTGGTATATCAGATATGCCACAGGTAGCTTGCCAGTCTCTGCTGTGCAGGCGGGATACTCTCAGTAGCGTGCTGGGCTCTCCAGAGAGCCGGAGGAATCGAACCCGGGTCGACCGCTTGCAAGGCAAACACCCTACCTGCTGTGCTATCACTCCAGCCCTCATTTATTGTAGCAATGAAAACCATAAGTCATACAAAAGTGAATCTAACAAAAGAATATCTAACAAAAGTGAAGGTATGTGTAGAGAAAATCATGAAACATCATAAATCCATACCAATCTGGATTCTAAGGAAACAAACTGACCCTGGATTTGAAGACTGAAAACTATGTCCGTTCTCTCCTGGCAGACCTCAGAGGGCCACATGGAATGCTGGAAATGGAACCTGGGTGGGCTGTACGTGAGGGGAGCACCCTACCCGCTGTGCTCTCGCTCCAGCCTCTTGGTTTCTGTTTTTCAATTTTTTTGTGTGCTGCTAGAAAGGAGCCCAGGTCCTCACTTTCGTAAGGCAAGCAGTCTACTTTTGAACCAAGAACAGGGAGTTTGAGTGTTAGTTTTAGTTTCAGTTTACCTCAGATTTTATAGATCCAAGTGTGAGATCATGACCCTGTTTTCATCAGGACTTTGGGATCTAAGTTCACCAGCTGGTAGAAATGTTTGCTGTTCAGTTCACACCAAGCTTCCTGTAAAGTGCCTGTCAACGGCTGACTTCTTTGATCTTCTTAGGAGTTGGGCTGGGTGGGGGCTGGGTGGGAGCGTGCCCTAGTTCCCCTTTAGCTCTGGTCCACAAAGCAATAGGTAAATCTTAACCACGTCGCAGTGAGTGAAAGAAGGAAAAGGGTAAAATGTATGACTGTTTATAAAATCCAAAGGTTACAGTCTTGGGCATAAGACCCATTCTTACAGTGTGAAAAGTATGCAGTAATTGTGAAGGGCGATAAAGAGGCTTCTCAAGTGCTGGTAATTTTGTTTGGGGGGCATATCTGGTGGTGTTTGAGGACTACTCCCTGCTCTGTGTTCAGGGGCATTATTCCCCCATAGTGCTTGGGAGACCAAGCTGTGCCACAGATTGAACCAGGGCCTTCTTCATGGAAAGCATGTGCTGGGCATATTGAGCTGTCAGCACCACTGGTAATTTTTAATTTTTTCCAGCAGGATAAGGGTTACCTCAGTGGTGGTTACCTAGTGTTTATCCTTTGTGGAAATTTATTGTTTTCTGCTTAGAATTTGTGTTCTTTGCTGTGTGTGAATTCAATAATGGTGGGGGAGAAGCTCTTGCACAAATCAACTCACCAGCCCATAAACTAAGTTAAAAATTAAGCCACAGAGTAGGCGAAGATATTTGCAATACATAGTAGAAAGCACTTGTGTCTGGAATATTTAATTTTTTAAATTCCCATGGGCCACATAGTACAGAAGTTATGACTCTTGCTTTGCATATGGCCAACCCCAGTTCGATCATTGGCACCACATATGATCTCCTGAACACCTCCAGGAATGACCCCTGAGCACCATTGGGAGTGACTCCAAGACCAAAAAGTAAAAATAAGTACACTCCTATGAATCAAAAAGTATAAAAAGACAGTTCTGTAATAGTTCTGGCAATACAAAATGGAGTAAAATAGAAGAGGCTGGATATTATTCCACATCACTAGTAAGGAAATGTAAATTGAAACCTTACTGAGACAGCATTCCACACCGGTGAGATTGCCTAACGCCAAAATATCTTGCAATACTAAGCAAGTGGGCATGTGAGAAAATAGTCATAAACTCTTTTTCGTTACAACTAGAGAGCAAATTCATCCATTATTTTTTTTTAAGATGGTCTAAATTTCTACGTTTTACTTTTTTTATTTTTATACTTTTCAGTTTGGAGTCACACCCAGCAGTGCTCAGGGCAAACTCCTGGCTCTGTGCTCAGGGATCCTCCTGGCTGTGCTCAGGAGATCATATGTTGTGCAAGGGACTGAACCCAGGTCTGCCACATGCAAAGCCAACCCCCTGCCTGCTGTACCATTATTCTGGCCTGTACAAATTTACTTCTATAAAGAAAAGACTCCCCATATATGTGCTATGGGTATTTCCACAAAGCTGTAAGAACAAAGTATTGGAAATGATTTAATATCATTAGAAGAGTGGAGAAATAAAAGCAATTAAAATAAATAAAATAGGGGGCAGAGACAGTACAGGAGGTAAGACCTTGAATGTAGCTGACACTGGTTCAACCTTAGCACTGTCTGGTCCCCTGAGCATCACTAGAATTGATCCCTGAGTACTTCTCGGTGTGGCCCCAAACTCTCAAAAAATCATAGTAAATAAGCAAAAGATTATTTTCACCCTTACATCTCTGCTTAAAAAAATAATGATGTCTACAAGTGGTACTACATGGAAAGTATCATGTTAAGTCAAATGAGTCAGAAAGAGAGGGATAGACTTTATGTTCTGGGGAACATAAAGTAATTAAATAGGAGACTAACACCCAAGAATGGCGGAGATCAGTACCAGGGATTTTGCCCCATGGCTTGGAGGCCAGCCACACATGCTAGGGGAAAAGGCAGCTCAGATAGAGAAGGGAGCACCAAATAAAGGGTGTTGGGAAGATCCTCCCAGGATGGGAGAAGCATGCTGAAAGTAAACTTTTTTTATATTAGAAATGTAGCTGTAAATAATTTTTTAATTTAATAATGATTTAATTTTATCTTGTGAACTTTCCATATAATTAGATGTTTTTTAATTTTAGAAGCAGATAAATAACTATCAGAGTAGCTGAAAACTTGTTTTATGGATGTTCCCTGGGAGAGACCAGAAGTTTTCTTAAATAAACAAATGTGTTAGAGTCCCTCCCGTTTGTTGAATATCTTAGTTGCTAGACTGTGTGCTAGGCAACAGACTTTCTCTCCCTTTTCTTGGATAAGGTTCAGAAAATTCACAAGTAGCTCTTGTTGTGTCATTTGTTTCATTTTCAGATTTAACACTTCAAGATGAAAAAAACAGACCTTTGTTTGTGCTCTGAAGGGGCTGAAGTGATTTTAGCTACATCAAGTGATGAAAAATATCCACCTGAAAATATTATTGATGGGTAAGAGTTACTAATACTTATTAAACTTCTTGAGTCCAGGAACTATGTTTCTATAACTAGTGCTATTAAATATTTAATAAGTGTTTGATGAGTTATGTCATCTAACAGTATATATATGTATATGTATATACACGTATGTATATACATATACATATATATATGCCAGAAACTAGTGTACATTTAAGTGTTTCTTTATCCTTCTCTTTATAGTTTCTAAATTGATTTTTTTATAGTTTCTAAATTGGTTGTTTCTTAATAAATGGTTTATCAAGGCAAAACTGCCTCATTTTATGGGAGTGTACATTTAAGTGATAATGTTTTTCTTTGAAAATTTTCTTTGTAAATAGTAACATATTGTATCTACTGCTTAATTTCTTGTCTATGCATAATCGGCATTAAACTGAACGTTTCACTTGAAGCTAGCCCCCTGCATTGGTTGGTTCCTAGCTTCTTGACAACCATTCCAGTTTCTGCTTGTCAGAGTGCTAAAGCCCTTACTAAAATATATATAAGTATCATTCTTAGACATAATTTTAGAGGTAGGACAACCTCAATATACGTTGTATGTAAGCCTTTCATTTTAGGGGCCCTGGAGATAGTTCAAAAGATGATGCATGCTTAGCATGCAAGCCGCCCAGGTTCAGTTCCCTAAGGCATGCTGTCCCCTGAGTACCATGGGGAGTGACCCTCAACCCCAGAGCAGTCAGCCACGAGCAGCCCCTGAGTATTGTCAGGTGTTACCAAAACTTTCCTCTCCGTTTCCTAAAACATTTTAAAATATTTTTTAAAAAAATCTTTCATTTTATACTTGTGATAAAAGAAATCTAAGAAGGTCAGATACCCATTGTTTATTTGGGGGGGGACACATTCAGGCACTACTCCTAGCTCTGTGTTTGGGGGCCATGCAAAACCAGGGATCGAACCTGGGCCTTCTGCATGCAGGGCACGCACTCAGCCAGTCGAGTTGTCTCTCTGCTCTTACTGCTTACGTTATGAGTTGAAGACAGAGAAGGTTGTTAAAAAAATCTTGTGGTTGTGTTCTGAAGCTCATGTATCTGGATAAAATCACTTGACCTCTGCCTTTAGGCCTAATGATTTCCTTTTCTTTGACATCCATCCCCTTCCTTCAAGTAGGACTACTTTACGTTTCTGTTGGGCTCCCATAGTGCTGGGTGTGTACCTCTATTACCTTTCTGTTTTCTTCTATTGCATTATTATTTATTTTAACTTCTTCTCCTTTATCAGATGAATGACTTGAAATCAAGAGGCTTGTTTTATCTTTTTTCTTCTGTCTGACCACTGCCTTATGATTGGTTTGTGTTAATATGGACATTCAAGGGTTCTTCACGCCTCCCTAGAGAAATGTAGTCGCCATTACACCTTCCACCAATTTTCCAGTGCCATTCCACTCTCAAAAAGACTCCCCGTCCTCATTTCTCCCATTCCCCTCTCTTCTCCCTCTGGTAACACTGATTTTCACTGAGTCTGTGAATTACCTTTGTTGTTCGTTTCTTGATTTCTTTTTAAATTCTTTGAAATTTTTGGGGGGGACCACACCCAGTGATGTTCAGGAGTTATTCCTGCCTCTGCACTCCGGGATCTCACCTGGCTGTGCGTAGAGCACCATATGGGTTGCCAGGGAGTGAACCCCGGTCGACTGCATGCAGATGCAAGTGCCTGCCTACTATGTTATCTCTCCAGTCCTGCTGCTATTCCTTTCTTTCTTCCTTTTCTTTCTCTCTGGGTCACACTCAGCTGTGTCAGGGTTTACTCCTGGCTCTGTGCTTAAGGATCACGCCTAGTGGGGCTTGAAGGACAATATGTTACTAGGGATCAAACTTGGATTGGTGTGTGCAAAGCACTTACCCACTTTACTCTCTGGATCTCAACACTGCATTTTTATTATTGTTTTTATTATTTTTATTTGACAGAAAAGCTTGGGCCTTATCCCCCCGCCACCCATCTCTGGCCTCCAGTAGTGTGTTTTTCTGATTATAGATCTATATAGACCAATGAAACAGGGTAGAAAGCCATATATACAAGGTAAATTAATTATCCACAAAGGCTAAGGATTTAGAAACAGATACGCAGGGAAGAAATAATTAAACCATATGTAAACATTAATTTTATATAAAGACACCAAGATAATTCAATAGGAAAAGGAAACTTTTTTTTATATTTTATTTTTTAATTGAATCACCTTGAGATACAGTTACAAAACTTTCATGTTTGAATTTCAGTCATACAATGATTGAACACCTATCCCTCCACCAGTGCACATTCTCCACCACCAATGTCCCGAGTATACCCCCCCCCCCCCGCCCTTTCCAACCCTCCGTCTGCCTCTGTGGCAGACAATTTCCCCCATACTCTCTACTTTTGGGCATTATGATTTGAAGTATAGATACTGAGAGGCTATCATGTTTGGTCCTTTATCTACTTTCAGCACACATCTCCCATCCCAAAAGATCCCTGCAACTGTCATTGACTTAGTGATCCCTTCTCTATTTCAGCTGCCTTTTCCCCCAGCTCATGAGACAGGCTTCCAACTATGGAGCAGTATTTCTGGTCCTTGTGTCTACTGTCCTCGGTTGTCAGTCTCATAATGTTATTTTATATTCCATAAATGAGTGCAGTCATTCTGTGTCTGTCCCTCTCTCTCTGACTCATTTCACGTAGCATGATACTCTCCATGTCATCCACTTATAAGCAAATTTCATGACTTCGTCTTTCCTAATAGCTGTATCGTATTCCATTGTGTAGATGTACCAAAGTTTCTTTAACCAGTCGTCTGTTTTCGGGCACTCGGGTTATTTCCAGGTAGGAAAAGGAAACTTTCTAACATACAGTGCTAGAAAAACTGAACAAATACATGCAGGAAAATAAAGCAGGCTGCATTGGGAGGCTGCCTCCTTCAACGCATGTTCATTTGGGTTGCCCCTCCCAATTTCCCCTTCCACCCTCCTGTGTTTCTCTGAATTCTAGAATTTTAATTCCTGGCTAGAACTTTAATTCCCTTGCTAATCTCAAATAAATCCATTTTGTGATTTAAAAAAATTATATATAGGGACCGGGCTGGAGCCATAGCACAGCAGGTAGGGCATTTGCCTTGCATGCGGCCGACCTGGGTTCGATTCCTCCCAGCTGTCTCCAGGCCCTGTTCTAGATCTTGACTGGGGATTGGTCACATAAGCAGATACACATATCAAACTCTCTGGATCAGATAGCTAAAAGAGAAATAATCATGGATCCGGGAGACAGCTCCAGTGGTAGACTGATGCTGGTGTGGAGGGCCCTGAATTTTCAGTTGCCAGCACCGTGTCCCCTCCCCTGCCCAGCACTGCCAGTGTGATGGCCAAGCACTGTCAGGCTGAGCATCTCCATAAGTGGCCCCTATTTAAAAAAAAAAAAGTGGGGGCCGGAGAGATAGTATGTAGGGCACTTGCCTTGGATGCATCCAACCCAGTTTTTTTTTTTAATCCTTAACTTGGAATATTACTTTATTTATAAGGTCATCTACTTCCTTGGTTTTTTTTTTAATTTTATTGAATCACCGTGAGAAAGTTACAATGATCAAACACCCATCCCTCCACCAGTGCACATCCCCCACCACCAATCTCCCCAGTATACCCCCCTTTCCCACCCTCCCCCTGCTTCCATGGCAAGAAAATATTCCCCATAGTCTCTACTTTTGGGCATTATGGTTTCCAATACAGACACTGAGAGGTCATCATGTTTGGTCCATTATCTACTTTCGGCACACACCTCCCATTCCAACTGATTCCTCCAGCCATCATTTTCTTAGTGATCCCTCCTCTATTCCATCTGTCTTCTCCCCTCCACTCATGAGGCAGGCTTCCAGCTATAGGGCAGTCCAACCCATGTTTGATTCCCGGCATCTTATGTGGTCACTAGAGCCATGCCAGGAGTGATCCCTGAGTGCAGGGCTGGATGTGGCCCAAAAGTTAAAAAAAAGAAAGACCCAAGAATAGCTGAGATCAGCACCAGGAGGATTACTCCATAACCTAGAGGCCAGCCGGGTATCCTAGAGGAAAGGGCAGTTCAGATAGAGAAGGGAGCACCAAATAAAGGATGTTTGGAGGATCCTCCCAGGAGGGGAGATGCATGTCGAAAGTAGACTATGGACTGAACATGTTTGCCACTCAATGCCTCTTTTGCAGACCACAACACCCAAAAGGAGAGAGAGAACACAGGGGATTGCCCTGCCACAGAGACAGGGGGCATTGGGGTTTGGGGGTGGGAGGGATATTATCCATGGTGGTGGAAAATGGGCACTGGTGGAGGGATGGGTATCTGATCATTGTATAATTGAAACCAAAGCACAAAAAATTGTAAATTTACAACTGTAAAAAAAAAATAAAATAAAGGGAAAAAAAAAAGAAAAAAAAAAAAGAAAGACATTATTGTTCCTCCATTCATTAGTATCGATTGAGCTGATTGCTTGCCTGTTTTAATTTCCTTTCAACATGCAGGTGTTAAACGCACCCACTCTGAGTCAGCCATCATAGTAGTTGTCAGATATATAAAGATGAGAAACAGTGGCTAGAGTTGAAGAGTTTCGTATTTAACAAAGGCCTTAAAAACAAGAGGTGGGACAGGGAGGTGGTCCAGTGCACTGGAGCACATACTGTGCATGCAGAAGCCCTGGGTTTGGTACTGGCACTGCATCATCCCCAGATGCAGAACCCAAGAGCAACAACAAAAACTGTTTTAATAGTAATAGGGCTGGAAAAAATAGCACAATGGACTGGGGCATATGCTTGGCATGTAGGTAGCCTGGGTTGGATCCCTGGCAGCACAGGGTTCCTGGAGCAGCTCCAGGAGCGACCCTGGAGCACTGAGCCAGAAGCTGCCCCTCAGCACTGCTGGGTGTGGCCTCCAAACCGAAATAGTCATAATAGTACTAATAGTTATTTTTAAAAACACGGGATGAGTTCTGATCCAGAATGGATGCTAAGTAATGTGGTGAATGCAAAGGAGGATGTGTTTCTGACTTGTTCAACTGGAGAGATGGGACCAAAAAGTAAAGACAGTATGCAGAGGAAGAAGGACTGTTTTGTTCAAGAGCCCTTCATGATCTAAAGCACAGGCACATGGTCAGCATGATGTGAATATTTCATGTTCATGAAAATGAATATTTTTTGGTCTTTTATTTTTTATTTATTTTTAGTTTTGAGACCATATCTGGTACTTAGGAGATACTCCAGCTCTATTCTCTGGAGTGCCCCATGGCAGTGCTCAGAGATCATATGTGGTGCCCAGGGTTTTGTACCATGTTGCGGCCATCATAACCAAATGCATGGCAAGTGCTGTGCTTCATATAACTACCTTACTCTGGCCATAGTTGCAGTTTTAATTGAAGATGATTTGGAACCAGATTATACAGGTTATAAAATGCCATTCTAAGGAGTTTAGGTTTATTGGCAATAAGTAGCCACTGAAAGGTTTTGGATAAGTGTGACGGGAATTCAGTGTTTAAAAATATTCATCTGAGAATGGTAAGGAAGAGTGAGTTAAGTTGGGAAGAAATTAGAGGCAGAATGAACAGTTAGGAAGGAATTGCAAGATCTCATTTTTTTTTATTAGAATGCTGTGATTAAGCATTTTTATTTGGTTACTCTGTCCTCTTTTTCTTTAAAATGAATACTAGGAATCCAGGAACATTTTGGACCACCACAGGAATGTTCCCCCAAGAATTCATTATTTGTTTTCACAAACATGTAAGGATTGAAAAGCTTGTCATCCAGACTTCCTTTGGTAAGCAAGTCATCCATTAATTTTCATTCGTCATTTTTCCATAGGCAGAGGGCATGTCTGTAAACTTGGCAAAACGCAGACTTTCTTAACATCATGGAATTCAGTTTATTGCCGGGGTGTGGGTGGAGCATACTGGTTAACTGCCGTGAGAACAATTAGCCTCTCTGTAACTGCACATTTGAAACCCATCCAAAACCGTAATAATTTCCATGCAATTTACTATGTGAAAGTCTTTGGCAAAAGACACCAAGAAGCCAGCTTGCCAGGATGCTAGATTCCTGACATCTTTATTCCAGATTTATTTGCCTGAGGTTCTTTTTTCAATTCTTTCTGAATCTCTGATAATCCTGATTATTTTCACTTAATAGTTTTGCTTTTTCTTTTCTTGCTCTTTTTTAAATTTGACCCCACCCAGCAGTGCTTGGGAACCAACTTCCCACTCTGTGCTGGAGTTGGGTGTCATTCTGGTGGTGCTCAGGGTACCATGCAGTGCCAGGAACTGATCAGTTGAACCCTTTTTATGGTCCCTTTTTGCTGTTATTGTTGAAGGCATTTCTCAGGGATTTTGGAGGATAATTGGAACATCCTTCTTATCCTGTCCTATGTTTAAGGATAGGTATTAGGGGGAAATTGTGGCAGGAATTCCACAGAATACTTCCTATCTGATTCAAGGGAAGAGATTGATGGGACTGATTCCCCAAAATTATGTTCTAGAGTAAGGGAATGAACCATGAATGGTGAGACCCCGGAATTCAGCGGCCATCTCCGGCCAGTGGGGCGGGGGGTGGGCAGAAGAGCCATGCTGGAGTCCATTGAGGCCAGAGCGGGAGTCCACTGTGGGTGAGGCTCTGGCTGGCAGGAGAGAACAGTGGGAAGGACAGTCAGAGACATGGCACTGAATCAGATGGGAGGGAGGAACCAGCAGCCTCATCTCCCTTCTCCAGTGCCCACCAGTTCCTTTCCAGCGCCTCCCTTTCGCCATATCCCACCAGTAGCCAGTGGGCATGTGAATCAGCCTGATGTAGCCCAGTGGGCCCCCACAGGACTCTGGACAGAGAAGGGGAACAATAGGTCAGGTGGTGGTTGCTGGGGTAACAGGATGGCAAGTCAGTTCAGGAGGGAGAGGGCTGCGTTGCCCGTCAGTCTCTTCCACCACTGTGGGGGTGCTGGCCTTATGTACACCTGAGTGCATTTCCCTACTGACCCTAAGAGTTCTCTGCACTGACACTAAGATACCCGAGCTCCTTGATTGCTCTGAGCTCATCTCTGCAGCAGTGCAGTAAGTTAACGATACCTTTCTCTGCCAAGGCAGCAGGAGAGCAGCTCAGGTGCTTGTCCTGCACATGGCTGACCCCACTCTGATCCTTGGGGCAGGGGCACTGCCAGGTGTGATCCCTGAGCACAGCCGAGTATTTATGGCCCACCCGATCTCCCAAAGCATCATAATGCCTTTCTCTGAAGACATAAGTTAGATGTGAAAGGAATATTCCAGGCTCATAGTAAGGTTCCCTATTAAATACTCATGAGCAAAAACACTAATATTATTACCAGGAAGAAGAAAATAAACCTGGATGGTGCTTGATTCAACTTGTTCTGGGTTGTACTCTTGCAAACATCCAAAAGTCTACAGTTACACAAGACAGTGTTTTGCCATAGGAGGTACGGAAAACCCCATAGGAATTACAGAAAACCCAAATGAGTGATCTTCAAAATACTATTTTCCCAATCCTCGTATATTGATGGAGTGCTAAATTGTCAATTCCTAACAGTACTAAGGGGAAAAAAAAGAATGTAGGGATGACAGCACATAGGGTCACGTAGATAACTAACATTTTGATTAATTTTATTTCTGATCTCAGTACGGACCTTGAAGATTGAGAAAAGCACATCTAAAGAGCCGGTTGGATTTGAGCCGTGGATTCAGAGAGGTATGTGCTCGTTTTATCACTCGTGCTCTGAGCACGGGGACACAGAACTGTCCCTTTACTCAAGATTTCTGCACCAGTTGTATTTTTATGAAAAATGGTCACCCAAATAATTCTTGTAACACAGTTGGATCCTAAAAATAATACAGGTCTGAGTGCAAAACTGCTTCTCTCTAGTTATTGGTTATGTAATTGTTAACATGTCACTTGATTTCTCTGAGTTTCAGAATCCTTGTATGAAAAATGGGGCTGATGCCATACATGTAAGGTTTCTGTGAACATAGTACCTGGCATATGTAGAGAAACAAGTAGTAGATTTTCACCTTCTTTCCTTCCTTCCTGATTAACACTACCATTTAAATATCAGCAGAATTGATAACCTCTCCTTAAGCGCTGAATGTTGTCCCCATGTGTCTGTCTCCTTTCCTGACTTGCATGTGTGCAACTTACCCTTCACCACACACACACACACACACACACACACACACACACACGGAAAAGCCTGAAACTGGGATTTGGGCTATATCTCAGTGGTAGAGCTCATGCCTTGCATATCTGAGCTAAGGACAGGATCCCCAGTACCATAAAAGATGATCGAATAGTAAAGAAAAAAAAACAAACTTAAGAACAAACAATTAAAACATATAAACAAGAAACAAGGAGACCAAGCAGATGTGGGTCAGCATATTTATTATGGAAGAGGGGCTGCAGATGGAAGAATAACTTGAATAACTGAATGGAGGGGCTTATAACTTAGGTGCTTATCAAGGAGAAACACACTGGGTAATCCAACATAACCCTAAAAAGGTCTCAAACTTAAAATCCAAAGCTACTTTGAAAGTATGAGTAAGATGGGGATTGGAGAGAGAGTACATTGGGTAGGGCTCTTGTCTTGCACACGACTGACCTGGGTTCGGTCTCTGGCACGCGATATAGTTTCTTGGACCACACCAGGAATGATCCCTGAACACAGAACCAGGAGTAATCCCTGAGCAGTGCCAAATATGTCCCCCAAACAAACAAGAAATAAGAATAAGACATGAGCCAGAAAACAAGGGTAATTAGTTTTACACCTAATAAATAGAGTGATTGAGCCTGAATATTGTCTCCTGCCCGGTAGAGCTAGTTGGTCACTGTAGTCTCACAAACCACCCTTAGCAGGTCATTCAGAATGCTGTATACAAGGTTTAAGGTCTCAGAGTGAGACACGGTGTTAAAAACAAAAGATCTGAGTGGAACTGTTTGTTATATTGAAGGCAGAAACCCCAACACCCTTCATGTATTCTGCTGCTTCTGACAATAACCAAGAGTATAGTGACAGCCTGGAGATTGGAGGATTCCTCTCTGGAATCCTGAGAGAAGAAGAGATTTATGATACTGACAAAAGCACATTTCTCGGTTATCCCCTTCTTGTCCAACATTCAATGAATGTGGCACATACATCTTTCAAAAGATTTCCTTATAGTTAAGCAAAAGATGGGCAAAAATCACCAGGCCTTAAATCCTGAATATAATCAAGCCTTTAGTTTACTTGTTTTTTTTTATTTTGGTTTCTATTTTTTTGTTGTGTTTTTCAGTACCAGGGATTGAGTCCAAGTATGTGTGTGTGTGTGTGTGTGTGTGTGTGTGTGTATACTGTCTGTCAGTGCCCTGCAACATTTTTGGAAACTGCACTGCACGGTAGCACTGTCCTCCTGTTGTTCATCGATTTGCTCGAGTGGGCCCAGTAATGTCTCCATTGTGAGGCTTATTACTCTGTTTGGCATATTGAATACGTCACGGGGAGCTTGCCAGGCTTTGCCGTGCGGGTGAGATACCCTCGGTAGCTTGCCGGGCTCTCCGAGAGGGGCGGAGGAATCGAACCTGGCTCGGCTGACCCAGCCACGTGCAAGGCAAATGCCCTACCGCTGTGTTGTGGCTCGAGTCCAAGTATATAAGGCAAATAAATAAATGCCCTCCTGCGGAACTGCATCCCCACCTTAATTCTCATTTCTAATCTATAGGAAATCCAGGAACAAATCGACTATCATTATACTATTAATGCTTAAGTAATATCAGTTATTGTGTTGACTATATATGTCCTATTTCCAGAAGAACTCAGGACCAAGTAAACTAATCTGTAAGTAAAACTTCTCTAGTAGTTGGATCCAGGAAAGGTCCTGGTCAGGATAATTGAGCATCACGGTGAGAAAAGAGCCCTAGCTGCTGCTTCTACGTGTGGGGAGAGTTCCTGTCAGCCCTTCGGCAAGCAGCTTGCCTACAGAGAGACTGCACTCTGCTCGCTCTTTACTTTGTCTTCCATTTCTAGAATTCATATTTGTTTATACTCACTCTCATGAGATGTTTACAGTTTATCGTAGCCCTTTCATGTATGGTATAGCAAGTTTCATTGAATTTTACATTGATTTAATGTTGAATTTTAACTCCCCTGACACCAGTCATTCCTTAGATCTGTTTTAGCTATAGTTGATCAGATAACTGTGTTTCGTTGCGCATCCATTTTGGTGTTTATCCTCATGAATTTTGAGCCTTAACTCACTTCTGCTCGTATTTGTGTTTTAGATCTAGTACACACAGAGGGACAGTTTCAAAATGAAGAAATTTTGGTAAGTAAATATACTTTGTAGAAATAGACATTGCTTATAAAATAAGTTACTTTGGCTCTGCTTTGGGGGCAGGATTTGGAGTTCGGGATGAAAACATTTGAAATGTGGTGGGAAGGTGTAATGGTGGTGGGATTGGTGTTTGAATATTAAATATAATCAATTATTGTGAACAACTTTATAAAAGTTTAAAAATTTAAAAAATGAATAAAATTTTTAAAAAAGAAACATTGCTGTTAGCCTGCACGTTGAATCTAAAATTCAAACTTATTTCCATTTTCAAAAAGTGAATACTCCCATGATACTATTCTCTACCTAATCAGCCAATAGTGGTTATTGTTTTTGTTTTGTTTTGATTTGGTGGCCACACCCGAATATGCTCAGGGACCACTCCTGGTGGTGCTGGAGAAACATACGTGGTTCTGGGGATCAAAACCAGGGTAGGGCACCTGCAAGACAAGCACCTTACCCACTGTACTATCTCTCCAGCCCCTAGAGCTTATTCTTACTAATGTTAGTTAATATATAGATTTATCTATCATAGAACGAGAATAAAGATAAAATAGAATTTACTTGTCTTTTATTCTGTGGACTAATTTTGGCGTTTTTTTTAGCTTTGTTTTTTCATTTGATTTGATTCTTTAGATCTTTTAGAATAGGAAGCTAAAAGGGGGGAGGGGCTTGGGGAGCTTCCAGAATTGGATGTTAATTTAATTGGATGTTAAAGGACAAGGGAGATTTCAGTAGGTTAACTGGAGCATAGGATTGTTAACAACTTTGCCAGAGATGAGGTGGAAAGAGAGTCAGCTTTTCCCCCCACCGTGCCATTGGGCTTTGCCTGGTAAAGTGGAATGCATGTCAGCTCAAGTGGCTGCCTCATTAGGAGTCTCTGTTCCTGCTAGGGCGTCTGTCCTGGGGTCCTGGGTTTAGGCAGATACACATAAAACAACTGAATGTGTTTAATTGGGGGTGGAAGTATCAGCTTAGTCAGTTTTTCTTTAAATTAAGGCTAAAGTGTTACTGTCTCTGTTGTTCCCTTTATCACAACTCTCGGATGCCGGCCCCTATGGAATCATTGTTTCAAAGATTTTATAGAAAGTTTATGAATTCTGTGAATTCCCCTCTCTGCCACCCAAACGTACCCACTGACTGCAGAGACTCACTGGGTCAGAAAAGTGATTAATCATACTGATTTGTTCTTTTTTTTCTACTTTTGTTTTATTTTTATAAAGTAGTTCACGATATTTGATTACATTTGATATTCAAACATCAGTAACACCACCATTACACCTCCCCACCACCATAGTTTGAATGTTTCCATCCCAAACCGCAACCTTGCCCCAAAGCAGAACTGACATAATTTATTTTGTACTGTTTGTTATGAATAAACCGCTGAAAATGCTCCAAAAACTTTCCTTAAAGGAGAGTATATGAAGATTATTGTATTTTACCATGGGCTATTAAGCCCTTCTATAAGAGATTACTAATATGTTGTTAAGACTTGAGCCTTGTGAGTATATGTATATTATCATAATATACATATATCTGTAAAATGTAGATATATATCTGTAAAAATATATTTCACTCTAAGATTGGTTGCTTCTACTTTAAACCCATCAAATGTGGTGGGCCTGGCAAGCTACCGAGAGTATCTCGCCTGCACGGCAAAGCCTGGCAAGCTCCCTGTGATGTATTCGATATGCCAAAAACAGTAACAACTTTAAGTCTCACAATTTGTTGTGAGATGTTACTGGTGCCTGCATCGAGCAAATCGATGAACAATGGGAGGACGGTGAGTGGTGTGAGGTATGAGATGTCGCGTAGCTGCAAATGTGATTGCTCGGTCCGGGGATAGATTTCCTTGTTTACTTGTGGGTGAGACTTGTCAGAGCGTGTGGAGAATGGCCATGAGCATGCCAGCAGTTGAGTTCTGGAGGTTTTCAACTGCCGGGACTGGGTCCCTTGAAACTGGGAGGGGCCTCACTCACCCCCCTCTGGGGTGTCCTGAATGAAACAGCCTGGTGCTGGGTCCAGCAGGATGGCTATGACAAGTCATTTTTGTTTTTCATTTATTTTTTTTCTTTTTTATACATTTATTTATTGAATCACCGTGAGAGCAATTACAAAACTTTCAGGTTTGAGCCTCGGTCATACAGTGATGAAACACCTGTCCCTTCACCATTGCCCATTCTCTACCACCAAAAGCCCCAGTATACCCCCCATGCCACACCCTCCCCCTACTGTGGGGCAGATGATTTCCACATTAATCGCTCTCTACTTTGATCACATTCAATATTTCAACACCAGGCCCACCATTATTATTTGGGATTTTACCCCAACACTTATATCCGCTGAAAAGGCAACAGTAGACAATTTGTTTTCTATTGCTGACTATAAATAACATATGATGTCGTGTGGCCTCAGTAGTGGCCGCAGGATTTTGGAATTCTGAAATTTTAACAATTAAATCTGGAGGGATTTCTGTCAAAACCTGCCGGGTTCCGAGATTTGTTCCTGAGAGTTTGGGATCATGGCCGTTAAGCAGCTTGATCAGGAGCCAGAGAGGCTGTTCGTGGGCGGCAACTCGGGATCTCTTGGGGCGGGGAGGAAAGGGCCGGCTCCACCCCCATCCCATGAGGCCCCATGTCTTGTCACTGTGGGCCCAAACCTGACTATCCAATGGCCTCTGGGTGATGGTGGCCACCGAGCTGCCAAGGGGGAGCAGGCGGAGGGACAGCACCCTTTCCCCTTGGGGTGGCCTGGCACTGGTAATCTACTGCAGGGTTTGGACGCATTTCTGCCAAAAGCCGCTGGGTTCCAAGATTTGTTTCTGAGTTTCTGGGATTATGGCCGTTAAGCAGTTTGAGCAGGAACCAGAGAGGCCTTGCCTCCGATTATATAGCTGAGTCGGAGGTGGTTTGTGGGTGTGTCTCCCACATACCTAACTTTTGTCTGTTTGCTTTCTTGGTAAACGAGGCCCCAAATTGTTGGGGTCTGGCCAAAGGCACAGCAGCAATTTTGGGGTATCTTGAAGTCTGAAGGCTCCATCAGGCTGCTGGTGCACTCGCCTAACAGGTACAGATTGACCTGCTGGCAGCACCATACCCCATATGATGAGTCTTTTGTTTTATGCTCTCTTCCGAGAGAGGAGGACAGTGAGTCTGTGGAGCGGGGTCGTTGATGAGATTATCTGGTGCTGGTCAGAGGTGACTTATGGGCATGACTGCCAAGATGCTGGAAACGTGGGGCGACCTGGGCGGACGTCATCCATTCCCAGTTCTGTTGAACCTGGAGTTTTGAGTCACAGGTCCTGCATACTTGGATTTTCTGCAGATTCACTCGTGGGTTAGGTTCAGCCCGAGCATGTGGAGAGCAGCCCTGAGCATGGCGGCTAGACTGATTGGTTCATATGCGTTTTTTCCTTTTTTACTCATGGATTGATTCTCGCGCCTCTGCTCAGTGTTTAGTTTCAGAACTTGCAGAGTCACAGCACTATCCAACCTTGTGGAAAACAGGAAGGGGGAGGGGGCGGAAGACTGAATCACCCAGTTTTATTGGTCTCTACATCTCTAACTATATTTATTTCCTTGGAGTAGTCAACCATGTGCAACATCTGTAATTTACAGTGATAACTTTAAAACGTTGTTTATTTTTTTAAGCTTAATATGGTATCATGAGTTTCATAATGACATTTAAAATAATTCTACATAATTAAATACAAGCAAATGATCAAATGCTAACTAACCTCTTCTGTCTGTCTGTCATTCTACAAGGGACATCTTATGTTACCAAAATTTTTTACCTTTGATAAGATTAAATTTCAAGGAATGGAGTAACTGGACCTACAGGCATAGACATATTAATAGCTTTTGAGATATACAGCCAAATCTCTTGCTAGACAAATTATGAAATACAAAAAGTCTAGCAATATTTCACAGAAATATATTTGGAGACATTATTGAACAAAAGAAATACCTCACTGTGAAAATATATTTTAGAAAGACACTTTTTAAAACTTGATTAGAAATGTAAAGTTGGGGACAGAACAAGAGTGCAGTAGTACAGAGGGTAGGGCGCTTACCTTGCAAGCAGCCGACCTGGGTTCGATCCCCGGCATCCCATATGGTTCCCAGACACTACCAGGGGTGATCCTGAGTGCAGAGCCAGGTAACCCCTGAGCACTGTTAGGTGGTCCCCAAACAATAAATAAATAAATGGGAAGTTGCCTTTTTTTGGGTCACACCCGGCGATGCACAGGGATTACTCCTGGCGGTGCTCAGGGGACCATATGGGATGTTGGGAATTGAACCGTGGTTGGCCGCGTGCGAGGCAAACGCCCTGCCTGCTGTGCTATCTCTCCAGCCCCGAAGTTGCCATTTTAAACTCCCCCTGCTATTTCTCACCGGACAATGCTTGAGTGCCACGTTTCAGAGTCCCTGTACTGCTTTTCATATGTGCTCTTCTGAATGCTGCCTTCTGTCTGTATCCAGATAATTACTTTAGCCGCCAGTCCTTTGTTTTGTGCTTGTTTAACAGTTAACTAGAGTCACTAACAGCATCTGTATTGATCCCCCGCCTCGCCTCCACCCCTGCCCCGACAGGTTCGTGATGGCCATGCTACCTACTTGAGGTTTATTATTATCTCTGGCTTTGACCACTTTGCAGCGGTGCACAGCGTTTCTGCAGAAGGAACAGCCATCTCAAGCATCGGTTAGAACAAAATGTCCTTGCATGATTTTTTTTATACAGTATATTTATTGAAGCACAAAGTTGTCGTTGATTAAAGGCATTTTTACTCATCTGGCTCTTTTTATTTATTTTCTCTGGAAACATTTTGCACGACAGTGTTTCTTCATTGCTTGGCAGTGATGGGTCCATGTGGAAGGAAGACTTCAGCTGCCAGCCACATCAAGGGTGTGACTACAGGAGCCCCAACTGAGCGTGCCTTCTGCTCCAGAGTTCTCAGCACATTAATTTTTAAATTCATTGATTGACGCATAGGGCTAAGTGAACAGTACAGATAGTAATCAATGTCTGAGTTCAGAAAAGAGAGACTGCTTATGGGAAGGTTTCACTGAGGTCATAGACCCTGAGTGAGGCTCTGTAAGGCCATTTTTTTTTTCCTTGATACAATTTGTCCTGATTTTCAAACTCTTAAGGGAGTTAGGAAACCTATATTATTACTTCACAGAGATAATTATTATCAATTTTATATATACATATATGATTTTGATATCTATGTATTATAGATGTACTTACATATGTACATATAACATATACTATATACACTACATACAAACACATATATAAGTAGGGAAGATGAACAGAAAGATGGGAGAGATTGGAGAGAAATAAGACTTTATTGAATAGATAATGTTTTTTGCTTTATGTAAAAATATTTCTCAGGCTGGTGAATATATCTCCACTTCCAGTGCATCAGATGAAAGGGATGCGGATTATGAGTCTGCTCCTACTTCCTCAGATTCTGAGTCCGAGAGTGACTCAGCGAAGCGGCCTCCAGACTGCTCGGGACATGCTCCCAGTTGTCCAGTCCAGGCTGAGAAGAAGCAGCCTCCATCTTCTTGCAGCTTAAGAATGGATTCTCTCAGTCGTTTCAAAAAGACCTGTGCCTCCCACAGGTCTGCATCTCCATATTGGAGGGAGTATCTTACAGACTGGAGTAAAAAGGCTTACTGGGCACCTCAAGATTTTCACGTGGTTGCTAAGACGTGCTTAAGCCGTTCTCAGTACATGCAGTGGAGGATGTGGTTCAGTGATGAGGCCAAGGCAAAGCTTCAGGGCCTAGGCCGTGCTGGACAAAAATTTTCAGGGGTTAAATTGACTTATGAGATGTTAATAGGTGAAGGGAAATGGCGAGACCCAAAAAGGCCAGTCACCTTGCCTCGTGCCGTTTTGCTCATGTCTGTGACGCAGCCCTGCATGCATGGGAGAAAATTGGAGCAGATGTGGAATTTAAAAGAAGTTTACTACCGAGAGTATTTCACCCGCACGGCAAAGCCTGGCAAGCTACCCGTGATGTATTCGATATGCCAAACACAGTAACAATAAGTCTCACAATTTGTTGTGAGACGTTACTGGTGCCCGCTCGAGCAGATCGATGGAACAACAGGAGGACAGTGCAGACAGTGCTTTTAAAAAGATAAAGCAGTGCTTGCTTCGGCAGCACATATACTAAAATTGGAATGATACAGAGAAGATTAGCATGGCCCCTGCGCAAGGATGACATGCAAATTCGTGAAGCATTCCATATTTTTAAGTCTACAAATGTACCTCATGGTGTTTCACTAATAAAAATTAAAAAAAAAATAAATAAAAATTAAATAAAAAGATAAAGCCCCTGGAGGTGCTCGGGGGCTCTTCCTGGCTCTATCATCGGGAGTCACCCTCATGGTGTTCATGGGGGTAGATTCAAACCGGGGCACTAGGTGCAAGGCACCTTAACCCCTGTCTAATAACTCCAGCCCTCGATAAAATTATGTAACTTTATTTTAAAACAATTACCCCAAAATTTAAAAATCAAAAAATATCGATGGGGCCAGAAAAATGGTCCAGCGTTTAAGGCACATGCTTTGCGTGCAGTCTCTGTAGTTAGCCCCCAGGCACCAAAGGGTCTGCCATCATCTGGGTGCAATCCTGCAGGGCCCGGATGCCACTGGGTATAATCCTTGAGAGCCCCTGTGCACCAGCATCTGGCCCAGGTACCCCTGGCACTTTGGGACCTGAGCAGCAGATTTTCTGCTGGCCCTTGAGTTGAACCACCAGCACAGTTGGCCAAGAAGCACTGGAGGGGCCCCTGGGCACTTCTTGGGAGACCCTCTTCCCACAAAAAATTAAAAACAGACGTAGGACCCTAGCTTGATTAGAAGTTGACAAACACACGAGGCGAGAGAGATGGCTCAGTGGACTGGGCTCAGGCTCTGCACACAGGAGGCCTGAGTTTGATCTCTGACACCACCTGGTCCCTGAGCACCACCAGGAGTGACCCCTGAGCCCAATCTGGGAGTCCTCACCCCCAGCAATCCAGATGAGGCCCAAACATTAAAATATTATTTTTTTAAATTAGGGCCAGAGAGATAGTGAGGGGCTTAAGATGCTCACCTTGTATCCTGCTGGCCCTGATTTGAATCTTTGACACCACATGGTCCCCTGAGAATCACTAGGAATAGCCCCTGAGCACCACATCTTGTGCCCCAATTTTTTTTCCTTTTTGGGTCACACCCGGCAATGCACAGGGGTTACATCTGACTTAGGCACTCAGGAATTACTCCTGGTGGTGCTTGGGGGACCATACGGGATGCTGGAAATCGAACCTGGGTTGGCCGCATGCAAGGCAATGCCCTGCCCGCTGTGCTATCACTCTAGCCCCTGTACCCCAATTTTTAAATAAACATGAAGAAAAGTGACTTTATAATATAATCTTTTTTTTCTTCACACTGTATATTTGTTTCTTGGAACTACCATTATAATTTCCCATAAACTGGCGGCTTAAACCAATAAAAATTTATTATTTCAGCTCTGGAGCTGCAAATCAGAAATTAAGGTATTAGGGAGTTTGTCCCCACTGGAGGCTCTGAGGGGGAATATGTTCGTGTCTTTTTCTTAACCTTGGGTGCTGATGGCAAGGTTTGGTGTTCTTTAGTTCATGGCATCAGAACTCCTCCACTTACCTCTTTCCTCACATGGCATTCTCTCTGTAAATCTTCACATCTCTCTGTGCTTTTCTATTCTTGCGTGCCTTGTGTAATTATACTCAGGTATGACCTCATCTTAACAAATTACATCTGCACTGACCTAGTTTCCCAGGAAGGTCACCTTCAAAAGTACCAGAGATTAGGACTTAAGCATATCTTTTTGAAGACAAAGATCAACCTAAATCACAGTCTTAATAAAATATATTTGTGATCCTTAATGTTATGCATCACAAATATATTTTGATTATATATGTCACTGAACCACAGTGCCCAAATAATGCTCAAACATTATTCTAGATATTTTTATACGGCTGAGCTTTAAACTTAAATTGCTGAACACTGAATGTTCAAGAATAAGATTAGTGTTTTTAGATGAAATTAATATTTAAGCTGGTGAACTTAATGGGGCCAGCAATGTATTACAGTGGGTAGCGTGTTGGTCTTGCTCCTGGCTGAAGTAGATTTGATCCCTGACACCCCGTAGAGTCCTTCAAGCACTTCCAGAAGTGATCCCAGAGCACAGAGCCAGGAGTAAGCCCTGAACACTACCAGATGTGGCTCAAAACACACACGCACGCGCGCACACACACACACACACTTGTTGAATTTAAGTGAAGCAGATTTCCCTCCATAATAGTATGTATGGGCCTCAGATGATCAGTTGAAGAGAACAGAGAAACAATACACGGAGAAGGCACTTGTCTTGCATGTAACTGACCCAGGTTTGATCCCAGCACCCCATAAGACCCCCTCAAGTGACCCCTGAGCACAGAGTAAGTCCAGATATGTCCCCCTTTATGTGTGTGTGTGTGTGTGTGTGTGTGTGTGTATTCACAGGAAAAACTCAAGAAGTAAAATCTTAGGGTCCGGAATAAGCTATTCTTAAAATAAACAAATATAAGTAAAATAAAAAATAAAAATGAGAGGCCTGGAGAAAGCCCAAGGGGGAAGCACATGTCTTGCATGCAGGAGGCCCAATTTGTTCCCCAGTCCCTCATGGTCCCCCCAACACTGCTTGGAATTAACCTTGAGCGCTGAGCCAAGAATAGCCTCTGAGCACTGATGAGTGTAGTTAAAAAACCAAAAATAAAGTGCCCAAGTGCCCTTATTTATTTGAGTAAAATTTCTTTTACTCAACTGTAAGAACAGTTGAGTGGATAAAGAAATATATATATATAAAGGTAAAGGCCCTCCCGTTGATCGTCGATTTGCTCGAGCGGGCCCAGTAACGTCTCCATTGGAGACTTTGTTGTTACTGTGTCTGGCATATCGAATACTCTCGGTAGCTTGCCGGGCTCTCCGAGAGGGGCGGAGGAATCGAACTCGGGTCGGCCATGTTGGCCGCTTGTAAGGCGAACGCCCTACCGCTGAGCTATGGATATATCATATTGCGTGGAACTAAGGGATATCATCTTGAGTGAAGCCAAGCAGCAGGAGAGGGGCAGGTACTGAAGGAGCTTATCTGGGATCTAAAGTAAGGGAATAACATGGTCAAGGCATCAGAACCTGAGAATTGACCTATAGAACCCAGGGGAGTAGAGGGTGGGCGGAAGGAACACTGATGGAGAGGTGCTGGCACTGATGGCGAAGGTGTGATGCTGGAATAGTGTGTGCATAGAACTAATAATAATAATACTGTACATTTCAGCACCTCAACAAAAATGGGGGAAAACATAAAAGTAAAGATGCAAGTATAACAAATTAAGTAAATTTCTTCTGGTCTAATTTGAATTGAAAATATTAGTTTGACCCCCACCCCAATCCTATTAAAAATACATATTTTGGGGAACAGAGAAGTAGTATAGCAGGTAGGGCATTTGCCTTGCACACGCAGACTTGGGTTTGATACCCAGCAGCCCATATGGTCCTCCAAACACCACCAAGAGTGATTCCTGAATATAGAGCCAGGAGTGACCCCTATGCATTGCCAGTGTGGCCCTACAAAAAAAAATTTTTTTCCAGAGCAGTAGTACATTGGGTAGAGCTCTTGCCTTGCTCTTGGTTGGCTCCAATTTGATCCCCAGCACCACAGATGTTTCCCTGAGCACTGCCAGAAGTGATCCCTGGGCACAGAGGCAGAAGTAAGCC